GTCTCTCCGACCGACCCAACCACCTGGTCTTCCTGTTGGCCTTTCTGCCCACATGCCTCGATTATGTCGACGCTACAAAAGAGAAAGAAGACAAAAGGGAAAAGACAATTGACCCGAGCGATGCGGGGAATGCTGCAAGTTGGGCATCAGTATGGGCTGGCTTCTCCTCTTGGTGATCTAATATCGTGCCAAGTTGTGTGGTGCGCGACATCGAACATCCCCGTTGGGATGGTCGTAGTCAGGCCATAGCCTAGGAGAGCCCAGGAAGACCTGGTTCAAGGTTCACTAGCTACAGATGACAGATGCTAACTAAAAGGCGCACAGAAACACTCTATCAATCAACTCATGACTGTCAGAGCCATGGCGCAGAACAGGCAGCCCACTGGGGGCTACAAACAGGAGCCGGACAATGTGGGTTTCTCTACACGTTATTTCTGTCAATTCCCCAAACCCTTTCGGCAAGAAAGAAAAAAAAAACACCAACCATGTGCTGCCAAATGGCGGTGTGTTTACGTATTTCTTTTTGGTTTTCCCCCATGATCGTTTTCCCCCCCTAATTACTCGAGTTTCTTGGGGCGCATAAGGTTGTCTGCCTCAGCTTGACCGCCCAAAGGTCTGAGTTGTCTGAAGAGTCGTCACTCGGCTATCTGCTTGGACGGCGAGTCGTGACAGGCGGCAAACACGGACCTCGTTGACCAAAGCTCTCAAGCGGGAGTTGGAGAACAGGTCAAACATGGATAGGGTTTGAGCTACACACATAGCTGGCATCGAGAACATGGGCGCTCTGGGATTTCCGTCGCTTCCAGAAGATAGCGACGCTGTCGCAAGCTTGACCAGGTCAGGACTCAAAGTCTGTGAGATTGGCAGGGTAGCTCCTGTTTCACCAATGACCGGGGCTGTCGCAGGCTTCATCGCATGAGTGGAACCCTCCTCCGACCATTCTCTCCACGACGCTATTCCATTTTTATCCTTTTTTTTTTTTTTTTTTTTCAAAGTTGGGGACAGTTGGAGAAGGGAGAGCGAGGGTGTGGAAAGCAAAAGTGGTGGGCAGCAAACAAGGCCAGGCCAGGGTTGGGCAGGGCAGGGAAGGGCGAGTGCTACCCAACCCAGCCATGCTCCGGGGGGCTGGTTGAACCTTGGTTCCCAGAGCTCCAGAGACATGCTGGCGGTTCTGTCAAGTGCGCAAGAACTCAGGGTCACGGTAAATGTCTCTGGGGTTGCCCACGGGGATTTCTTTGCGCGACGCCATGAGGTTGTTCTGTCTACCTTGCCTGCTTGCTTTTCCATGCCTGCCCTTACGAGCCACCATGAACAACTCTTTTCTGTGCCGTCCCTCTTTCCCGGTGGACGGAGATGGGACATGGGGGTTATGAGATTGGCGCATGCGCGAGGCCAAGAGGTGGCTGGGTCGTTGGAAATGAGATACACGCAAGGCCAAACGGCGGCCAACGGCTACCCGGGCCTGCCTACGTTGCCTAGTGCTGTCTCGAGTACAGCGGGTACCAACCTTTCAGCTTTTTAGCCTCAGTGAGGTGTATGGCCTTACATTTACCCCTCACAATTCGTCATGGGCGAGACACGGGGGGGGGACATGTCATTCATGTCTTACAAGTACTGTCCTCTTATCCTGCCCACGTCAGAGATGAGAGAGAAGAAGAAGAAGAAGAAGAAAAAAAAAAGAGGCAGAGCAAAGAGCAGCAGGTCGGTCGCATGTCTGCGAAGAATCGGCCGAAGCAGAGCAAGCTCTAGGCGATGGGCTCAAAATGCGCCGGAGGTAGTGTACCTTGGCGGGCATGTCCTGGCAAAGCAAGATGAAGATGAGGTGACGATTGTGGAGATCTGGAGGCGTCTGGGTGGGGTTCCTTCTGCTTCGTGGTACAGCTCTTGTGGTGGGGCTAGCAACAGCTTCCCCAATCATGGTGGCTGCGCGAAGGGAAGTCTCCAGCCGGGCGTATCCACTTCTCTCCCGTTTGCCATAATGATTCAGAATCGGCTGTCGGGGGAGAACATCTGCGAGGGGGTCCATCTCATCGATCGTATCGAACGGGGCCACAGCTGGCTGGTATGGCGATGTCAGATGTGGAAGCCAGGAGGCGAGAAGAGAAAGGAAAAAAAAAAATAACAGAGGGGCTTTTGGCCGGCCGACCGACTATCCTGCCTGCAAAGCAAGCTTCAAGATGGAGAGATGAAGCTTGAACATCTATCTGTAGCCGTTGTTCCCACCCCAGAGCGACGGCGTCGAAGATGACATGGCTAGCGCTGTCGTAAGGAGCCAACAACCCCCATCTTCTATGAGCTTGCTTGGGTGAGTGAGGACGTACCGGCGACTTCAAAGTAGCTTGTCTAGCGGCGAAGCTTTGGCGTACTCAGTACGGCGTTCCCGCACCCACTGGCTGAGGGTAGCCCGGTTTGGTCGTGCCTGGGACGCGGGTGATACATGGGTTGGGGGCAAGGTCTCAAGACGCAAAAAGGCAGAAGGACAGAGCATTGAGAGAGCAAGCAAGGGCCCAACATCAAGCGACATGGGGCCTTGCAAGCGGCAACGCGGGACTCATGTCCCAAGGGGCCAGGATCTGTTCAGGCCTGACCTCATGGGAGAGAGCTTTCCTCCCATCCAGGAACCGCGCCGCACGGCACCCAGTCTCTTCCACCCCCCCTCATCTCAGTCTTCACACTTTCGTCCTGTTCTCTCTCTCTCGCTCTCTCAATCTCACTCTCCCCCAGTCTGCCTTCCCTCATGGGTTTCCACACCGCCTTGAGCCAAACAAGCCAAGTGGCCTGGCCAGGCAGGGCCCAGGGGGTGGTAGTGGTGGTGATGGTGGGTGGGGGGGCAGGGAATCGGGAATTGGAGTGGAAAGCTTTTTTGGGGGTTGGTGGCTGAGGGAAGAGAAAGTGAGGTACGGCAGTGGATAAGTCCCCTCAGGTGGTCTTGGATGAGAAGACACCCGGCGACATCCCGGTGATATCCTGGTCCGCTGTCTAGCCCCGGACAAGGGCTGCCTGATTGGGCAGCTGCTCCTGCTCGGCCCTGCAAGTGTATGCCGCCATTGGTCATTTCATCTACTATGCAGGAGACCCCTGTCACGTTTCTCCCATGCGCTGTCCCACACACCCCTCACACCTCGAAAATTCTCTTCCTTTACCTCACACCTTCCTTGCCTGCCCACTTTTCCTTCGCTGTCTGCATGACAAACCCTGCCCACACCCCCCCCCCCCCTCCCCTTCCTTCCTTTCCTCCTCCTTACCTGCTGCCTGCCTTACTGTTCTGTCTACCCACTGCACCGCGCAGTATACGGCATCCACACCAGAACCCACATCACTTTCTTTCCTCGCCCTCTCCACCCGTGAGGCTTGCTGTTCACACCCCCCTCCCCTCCAGCCCCTCCTGTCTTGATGGAAGGCGACTTGGACGAGGGAAGGACGCAGAACGAGGTCGTCCATGCCCTTTTTTCTCCGCTCCCACATCCCACACTCCCACTGCTGCTGCCAATGGCCACGCCTCCCCCGGTCGTTATATCCCCTGTTGTTCCCTTTTTCTTCCATGCCTCTGCGAGTTGCAGCACGAAAAGCATCGAGAAGCTCTCTGCTCTATTCTGCTCTATCCAAAGGTGCGTTTAGAACCTACACACGATTTCAAAGGTTGAAGTTGCTCTGCTATTTGCTCCTGCACAAGTCGACGCGACCGATCGCGCGCGCGCTCTTAACCCTAACAACCTTTTTCCCCCCCTTCCCCTTCCTTCTGCATCTTCCTCAACCACTCAGCTTTCTCGCTCTCTGCTTGTTGCTTGGCTGGCGCGTTTTTTGCTCTCTATCTCTCTCTCTTTCGCCTTTACGCTGCTCTCTCTACTCTGCTATCTTACTACTACTGCTTCCTACTTTACTCGCCCCTCCTCCAAATCCACAACTTGGGCATATTCACACAAAAATCTGTGGGTTAGTACATGCCCTCGCCGCCTTATCCTTCTCTGCATCCAATTTGCCCCACGGCTACGATAGCGCGTTACAAGGGCATTGCCGTCGAGTCGACATCGCCGTCGTCTTCGATATCTCTTGTCCCTTTGCCTCGCGTCGCATCGTCTAGCCCAAGGTACCGTGCCGTTATATCGCCCCTTGTATTACCTTACATTGCACCTCATTCTACCCCGAACATCTAGCAGCGGCATCCGCTCCACTGCGTCCGCGCCCCCTGGTCTGTCTGGCCCGGCCTGGTCTGGTATCCGTATCTCAAGCGAGAAGAGGAAAGGCTGCCAGGACGCGCCTCCTGTCTCTGTCCTTTGCCATTTCCCATACACATATATCATTCCCCATCATATATCCACTCCAAATCCTACCTTGCTCCAATGTTCAAATAGCTCCCCTGTTCCTCTTCTATCTCCTCACTCGCCCAAGCCGCGACCCCCCCTTCTCCGTCGCCATATTCTGCTGCACCCTCGCTCCGATCGCCATCTCTCACCCTTCCTGCTCCCCTTGTCATCTCATTGCAGTCTCTTTTGGTTCTTTTTTACCTTGTCACGCCAAAGACCGCACTATCTGCCGGTAGCCAGTCAGGCTCGACTACATCTCGAAACTTCGGGCTCTGCTCCGAGTATTCTTGTCGCTTCGTCTCATAACCGAGAGTACTTGATTATCCAGGGGTAAAGCCAAAAAAATCCCTACTGCCTCTCCAACAGAGAGAGACACTCTCTTGGATCACTTACTCACACCCTCTTTTTTTCCTCGCTTCCCCGATCTGGCGCTGTAGTACGCGACCAGGTTTTGGAGCCCTCCAAGTCCACTTTATATCAGAAAGGGGTCCCGAACTGGGTCTAGCACGCCTCACCCGCGCAATCCCCGTCGAACCCCCCCAGGGAACGAAGACCACCTGGATGCCCCCAGTCCCCTGACAGTGTCAAGGTGCAAAAAATAAAAATACAGACGCGCCCTGCTTGCTTCCTTTGTTTTCTTCTTGCCGCTACCAAAAATCAACTTAATACGTCGAAGCGTTCGTGGATGAGGGACTAATGGGTCTTTTCTCTATGCAGCATCACCCCCACCATCAGCCCCAGGGTCCAGCACCTACTCAGCACCTGCAGCACCAGCAACATCCTCGACCCTCGAGCATCGTTCATCAGCAGCATCATCCCCAGGCTCAGTCGCAACAGCACCCTTCCTACGCGTCCGGCCATCCCATCGCCCCCGCCTACCAGCAGACGAGCCAGGCTACGAACAACCAGCACTCCCAGGAAGGTCTGCCGTACTACGCCCATCCGAGTCCCTACAGCACCCCAGGCGCGACGAGCGGATACACCTCCGCTGGTGAGTTCTTGACTTCTACCTGACGAGACGTGAAGAGAACAAAGACGCGTCTCGATGCCTTCGCAACAGCCAGCTAACCTCATATTCTAGACCAATCCGACATGATGGCCGCCGCTCAAATGCCGAGACCACCTTACCCTCCCATGTCCTACCATACGCCGCAGTCGAACTCGCCCGCGTCGGTAGCATCGCCCTCCCAACATGACCAGCACCGCAGCATCTACGGCCAGCCGCCGTCCCAGCCTCTCCAGCAGCACATGTACTACCAGACTCAGCAGGCGCACTACCCGTCTATGCAGGCGCAACCCCAACAGTCGCCCTACGCGCAACACGCTGCCCAGACGCATCAGCCCATGTCGTCGCAAACCAACATGATGATGTCTGCTCAGACGCAGCAGCAGCAGCAGATGCCTCAACACCCCACGCAACACACTCAGGCGCAGATGACGAACAGCCCGCGTGGTCACATGAAGACGGAGCCCCAGGTGCCTCTGCAGCTTCAGAAGCCTCAGTCAACTCCCATGCAGCACGCCCAGCACCCCCAGAACGGCGCTGCTCTCAACACTCCCACTGGCTCGACTCCCGGAGGCGTTAACCCCAACGCGGCACCCGGTCCCATCCCGGCCACCACCCCCTTGGTCGTCAGACAGGATCAGAACGGAGTGCAATGGATCGCGTTCGAGTACTCTCGCGACCGCGTCAAGATGGAGTACACTATTCGTTGCGACGTCGAGTCGGTCAACACGGACGAGCTCTCGGCCGAGTTCAAGACAGAGAACTGCGTTTACCCTAGGGCCTGCTGCCCCAAGGATCAGTACCGCGGCAACCGCCAGGTTTACGAGACGGAGTGCAACACGGTTGGATGGGCTCTTGCCCAGCTTAACCCTCCCCTGCGGGGCAAGCGCGGTCTGATCCAGCGTGCTGTGGACAGCTGGCGCAACAGCAACCAAGACCCGCGGCTCCGAAGCCGTAGGGTCCGCCGAATGGCCAAGATGAACACCAGGAAATCGGTTCAGGGCGGCCCTCACCCTGGAGGTCATATGGGCGGCCCCAGTCCGCCAGGGATGCCTCAAGGTGCGGGTGGCATGGGTCCCGCGGGTGCATCAACGAAGATGCCTGGAATGAACATGGGTCATATGCCGCACGCCAACGCTCCGGGTGGAGGGGATGAAGTCGGTATGTTTCACCAGATGTGATTAAAGAGCCCTCCGCATCTGCAGCGTTTGCGAGCCCAGTCGTTGTCTGTTGTTGATTGTCGTTGCATCGCACATACACACACTGCCCGGCATCCCCCCCCATAAGATCGTTGATTATGTGATACCTTTCCCCCTTCCCCACATGTTGGCCGTGGTCTAGAGCGACACGAGCACATCACAAAACATACACATACAATTTTTTACCTCTGTGCCCTTTACCTGCATCTACTTTTTACTCTGCTAGTTGGTCAGAAGTCTTGGGAATGGGTTTGTTACACTTTGTCTTTTTTTTGCGCTTCCTGTCCGTATAGCGCCGGCTTCCTTTTTTCGGTCGCATCAAAGCAACTGCTTCTCGATACAGCAAAGCTCGCCGCGGGTTGAGAGGGATTTCCTTTTCTCTTCGGCACAGATCTGTACATTACCATAGTTGCTGCACGCAGTTGCCGCTGTTGCTGTCGTTAGTCACTTGTCCCGAGTTTGTCGGGCAACATATCGCGGTCCTCTTAGAAGAGGTACCGGCAAAAAGTCGCATTGCTTAGCGTTTTTGGCATTCAACCCTTGTTTTGCGTCCCAGTCACATGGTCTTTCTATCCCAGTCCTCTCCGCTGAGAGGGCGAAAGAAACCTAGCTCATGTTACCGCATATTTGTACCGCAAAAGCAACCCCCCAATCCCTTCGTTGTCTTGACCGTTTCGCGTTGCCGTTGGTTCCTCCTGTTGCCAGGGATGCCGATCAAACATGTTTACCCCTCCCACTCCGCTCAACTAGCAGACATTCCGAAACCCGCTTTCAACCCGTCATTGCAACGTTGGCTGACTTATTATGTATGAATTAGGCGATGGAGAGTACATGGATGAACATCACCATCACCACCAAGCCCCTACCGGCCAGTCGGGCGGTGACGATGTGAGACAGTCGCAGGTATTCTCCGGAAGCTACGGCGCTGGCGGCTATCCAGCATCCAGCTCTGGCTCCATGCCGCACATGGGCAGCTCCCACGGCGGAGCCATCTCCGCACGCCGTCACAGCCGGAGCGAGAACGACGAGCCTGAAGATCTGTTCCCCAACATCCCCGAGGCGAAGAAGCGCAAGTTCATTCTCGTCGAGGACAACGTCCGAGGCTCTCGCCTCCGTGTTAGAGTCACACTCGACAGCGTCGATACCAAGGAGATCCCCGATTCCTTCCGCAAGGGCGCCTCCGTCTTTCCCCGGTCATACTTCCCTCGCGAAATGCAGAGCCCGCCACCTTCGGCCACTGGTTCCAAGTTCTTCGTCGAAGACGCCGATGAGGAGGACGACGGCGTCGAAGAGACTGACGGACGTGGCTCTCGGAGAGCTCGTGGTAACAGCAAAAGCATGGTTAAGGTGCCCATTGGCGAGAACACGGAAGGAGAGGTCGCTATTCCCCGGATGAGGAAGAGCGTAAGGGGCAAGGAGGTCCGACTGAACGACCTTGGATATCGGATGGCTTGGCTCCAGAGCCGTGTCTTTGCGGGACGGACCGTTTTCCTCCAAAGAGCTCGTAAGTTTGCCCCCCAAGTGATCTGTTGCCGATGAAAGATGCTAACATGATGACCCAAGTGGACTGCTATCGCAACAAGACGCGTTCTGCGATCGAGTCCATTATGCAGGACGTCAAGACACTTGCGCCGCACTACGAGACCCGCGTCGGCAAGCGGAAGTGGAACGAGAGAATGAGAAAGGGCGAGGCCGAGGAGTAAATTTACACCCGGTTCTTGCTGTCCATCCAGTACGCGCGGCCCAACGGTCTTGACGTCTTTCACAATGGATATCGCGCTGGCACCCAACTCAGACTACGCCATTTTCAAAATACGTTTCCCAGTGCTTGGTCGTTCACACAAAACCGCATTATCCCACGGACCACATATCAGCATCATCGAGCGAGTCCACTCATCATCGATTCATGCGTTTTTTTATTCTTTCGTTCCTCGTTTCCCCGCATCGTTAATACCGAACGTCTCACGACCCTGCACATCAACCCGAAAAAAAAAAACATTTCTGTATATCATATGTTGCCTATCCCGACAAGTTCATAAAGAAGGCTATAAGGAAAGGAGGAGAGGAGACAATACCGAAACTGGTTTCTCCATGGTGACGACGTAACGATGATTTTTTTTCTCTTTTTTACGAAGGATGAAACGCTTTTTTTCTCTCCATTTTCTGAGAATGCAGAGGGGGGACTCGACTGGCCTAACTGGCCAACGTCTGAAAGGAAGTTGTCAGTTTTGTGTGTTTTGTTCTTGCAGCAAGCAGTACATGGGCTTTGCTACGACGCCTTGGACCACGACAAGACATGGGGTGGCTTTTTACTCTTATCGCTTCATCGCTCGGCTTTCATTTATTCTTTGGCTTTTTTTCTACAGTCTAGTCGCGAAATTCTGATCATCACAGCTTGTTGGTGATCGGGGAAGGGGCGGTGGTGGAGTTTGTTTTCAGTCTGGTTCGACTTCTCGGTACATTTTCCCCCTTTTTCTTCAAAAATTCTCTTCTCTGGTAAAGGTCATATTGCGTTTTGCTTCTGGTGGGGAGGAACATGGATTCATGTTTCTAGGTTTGTTTCCCCTCTTGGATTTGGGGGAGGCGTCGGAGAGCGTACTTGCTGGTAAGATATGCTTTGTCCGACGGCAAGGGGGTGTCGTCATCGTTCATAGATTTTGATATTTAAGATTCTTCTTTCCGTTATCTTGATGTTTGCCGACTCGGTGATGTACTGTGAGAGAGGTGAAGTGCTCACAGATGTAGGACTTGTGTGTGTAATCACTACTCTATGTGTCGGGCAGATGAAGCAGTGAGCGTCTACACCGACTGCTTTGGAAACTACCACCGTTAATCTTTGTGGCGCTTTCGCTTTCCCAAAGTTGAAACGGCTGAAGACGAACCTCTTTTTTTGAAGTGTTCTGCGCCAGCCCCCCCCCTCCCCCGGGGCGTAACATGCACGTCGTTGTCGATTCCGCAAGTGCAAACTTGCTTGCCCTCTTGAGCCGCCTTTTGCTGTTGGCGCTAATATCTGGCACGTACGACCGACCACACCCACCCACTGGCATAACTCGGGGTCGATCCCGTCCGTCCGTCCGTCCGTCCGCTCTCCCCATAGATGAGCCCAATCCCCATAGACATTTAAGAATGAGCGAGGATCCCGGGCTGACTTGATAGGACGAAACGGTGGTCCGGCGGTTTTTTAAGGTTTTGCCTTGGTGCCATTCCGTACTGTCCATATCCGTTTGAAAGTGTGCCTTTTGCCGTTGGGAAAGGCCAACGTTTCTGTTTGCGGATGCGAGAGAAATCTGTTGTGAATCTCTCTCTCCTTGTCTTGGGCTCCTTCATTAGCTGGAGTAAGATTCGATGCTTACATGTGTTTGATAACTTTTCGTTTTAGCTAGTTAGCTTTTACCTCTTTTTTTAAATCTTCTTACAAAGTTAGATGAAGTACGACGCCTGATAATGAGGAGAGGTTCAACAATGCTGCCTCTTCCGGTCCACGCTTACAGAGAGTACACAAGTTCCTGCTGAAAAGGTCTCTCTACCTACAAAGATCTCGACTTGAACTACAGAGGGGCATCTTCGCGGGTCTATTTTCCTTGCTTGGGGTAAGCTAAATGAGTATCGTGGAAGCTCTATGGACTAGCCACATTTATGCCAACCCTTAAATTACCTTCATCCTTGATATGGCCTGGCACACCCTGAGACAGTGGGGGCCATGGAAAACCGTTAAGACAAGTCGAAGACATAGAGATGTATCACCAAGTACTTCAATAAGTAGTACGGAAGAGTGGACTCTAGCCAGGGTTCATTCTCGTCTAAGTCGCCATATCGGCACCGGCCAGTAGTTATTTATCTGGATGTTCACTTTGGATCATCCAAGAGATCCGGATACCTGCTGAAGAGCCAAGATACTAGCAGTTCCTCGACAACGTCAAGCAGAAGCGGCAGCAAGCAAAGATCTCACCGGGTTGATTATGAAGAGGTGGTTTGATGCCCCCGTCGTTCGTCGTTGAGACGGATACACCGGAGCAATGGTGGATTGACCATCGCGAGCAGTTTTCTCCTGTTCATCAGGGCTTGCTCTTGATATCCTCGCTATCCCAGCAATGGCAGCTGACTGTTGGGGCAGAATTCAGCTCTGCAAAGCTGCTGTCTGTCTCGCGGAGGTTGAGTGTGTCAGCGGAAACCATGAAAGCTAGTGAGATCCCGAAGGATTGGATGAAGGCTGGGATCAGTGTTGTCTCTGTGGACGAAAGACCGCCAGTCTGATATCCGACTTCTAAGAGCGAACATTATGGCATTGATGGGTAACAGAATATTCATAGTCATGAGCAGTTACTTATAGCTTCAACTTATATTATAGTAGACATGGTATAATGGCCTCCTTGCTCTGAGATTCGGAAACGTGGAAGGTTCCCTTTATATACTGGGAACAACCTCATCCTACATAAGGAATGCCAGCCCCGGTGCCAACACAATCAATCAGGTTTTGCCACGCGGCTTGATCAACCAACCATCTTAGAGGCCAAAGTTGGGTTGGTTATTCGAAAGCAGCGGTGCTTCTAGCGACGGCATACACTGTTAAGCAGTGGATCAGTGTTTTGTTAGTGGCGTAGCAAGATCGAGGGCCGTCTTAAACCTGTCAGGGGACTTGTATGAGTGGTAGATACTTGGCTTTCTTTAAAGAAGAGTAAAATCCGTATTCCTTTGATTTTCGGCCTTCTCGAGTTCTTGGAAAAACTCGGGAATGCTGTGCGCTCTCAGAAGGTGATCTCCAGATTTTCAACCAGACTCTTGGTTGCTTCGCTGGTGAGTTAAGTTCCACAGGTCTGAATGTGCGCTTTGATCGTTTGAACGCCGCAGCGATCGTAGATGGAAGGTGAGAGCGTAGTCTAGGAGCTAAATACCAATTTGAGCTCCGTGATGAGCAGCATCGTTCTCTCAATGTGCAGGAGCGGGGCCAGCAGTAGATATTGCTGCCTGGAGTGTGATGATAAAAATCAGGTAATGGTTCATAGGTCAGACTCTGAGTGTTATGATTGTTGTTGCTGCTGATGTCGTGATCAGTCTGAGACGAGACACTGCTGTCATCCACGACAGCATCTGGCACGAAACCAATGAAATCTCGCACGTGGTTTATTTGCATGCCTTCGATAGGACTCTGTGACGACCGCACTTTTGTTTCCTTGTTTTCATATGGGTTGCCGTTGTCGACAAACAGATCCCAGCTCCGAGTTGCGAGTGGCCGAGGTTCCATAAGTCAGCAGTGACGATGCGACTTGAGCAACAGTAGCCTTTTTTTTTGTTTTTTATGTGAGCGGTATATCCAGTATACTGTACTCTCTCATAGCATTCTCCTTCAACGAGTAGTCATTATAACCTCCACGCTCAAGCTGGTTGACATAGCAATAGCCAAGCCGGAACCCCGCCGCTTTCGAGCGCCCCAGCCGGGACGTCTCTCAATTTTCCACTACAGCTAATCGCTGACCACAACGAAAGCCATCAGTAATTACACGTTTTAGATGATAGGTATGAGGACAGAAAACCTAGCAGGCATCGACGTTGCCCAATTATCGGGGGCGTCATGACAATTTTCATTCAAAAGTGTCGTACCACAAGTCCGTGACGTGACTTTGTGTTTCGGAGTAACACGAGTGCTCTGTGGCTTCTCATGCATCGAAATAAATTGACATAGATATCTAAATCGTTGCCGTCACACTGTGACCTGACTTCTGATATTGCCGTATCATATCCTCATACTTCTCTGTGATCTCATCACGACTGACCCCAATAGCATAGAACAAATCCGCAAAGGCTGTGGCCCTGGGACTGGCAGCCGGGTCCGCACCGTTCTCCAGCAACCATCTAACAAAATCCCAGTCCATAGAGTTTTTGGCTTGTGATAATGCAGTAGCCTCGTGCAATTTAACAGGCATCTGAATCCATCGTCTGATCAGGCGGTATCTATTCATTTTCATTAGCCACTTCAATTTTAAAAACCCAATGGAATGTAACATATCGAGTCGGAAAGCCCAAAAAAGGAAGAGGGAAAAAAAAATAAAGCACTGTAGAGTCAAGGGTTCTTACACATTAGCCACCTTGTTAATATCGTCGCCTAGAGCAATCAGATGTTGGGCCATGTCGAGCCGGGTGGAGAGAGTAGGATACTTCATGTCAGGTATCTCTGTATACAACTCCTTTAGGTATTCTTCATCCATCACCTTGATAGCCGCTGGATCAGGCCTTCGCCGGGCAAGGCTATGCAACGGTATACCGTGTTCTAGCTTGGCTCCGTGCGATACTAGTAAAGTCACGGCTTCCTTGGCACCCAAATTGACCGCTAGCTCCAGGATATGCCCTTCAAGCCTCTGTACAGGTTGTTCGGCAACATCGAAATAGGGGTCGCCGATTATATCCCTTGCTATAGTCGGATCCGCTCCAACGTCCAGCAGAAATCGCAGGATGTCCATATCCAAGATGCATCGTGGATAATGCAGCGCTACCTCTTGGCTCCAGGGATGATAGGGTAGCCGTTGGCTACTCTGCAGGGGGCCGAGCAGCTGGTTCGGGTGCCATCCAAAGTCGACGAGAATCTTTAGGAGGTTAAGAAGCTCAGGACTCCCGCTCCTAAAGATGCTTTGCGACGACGACATATCGGTGAGCTTGTAAGTGTTTTCGTCATCGGGAAACTCGACACACCTACGGAAGCATCGATAGTGTAATTCCGCCTCTGGCTGCCGCAACAGGAACCGCACGACCTCGAGCTGTAGGTTCTGGCATGCCTCCTCTAGGGCGTAGGAAAGATCCGCGGGTGTCGGTGCAGACTGGTCGACAAATGTACGAACGCGGTTCAGGTCACCTTCTGCACAGGACTTGTAGAACGACATTGAAGCATCATCGTCGTGGTAGCCAGGCGCATCGCCACCCTGCATTACGTACCGAGGACTAGGCAGCTGAGGCGGTAGAGTCGGCAGGTGTTTATACTTCATCTCGACCTGCTGAAGCTTCTCACGCCTCACTTCGATTGCCCTCGTGCGGCGCGCCTCTTCCGCGTCCCTCATGGCTTTCTTCGCCTTCTTCCAGGCTGGCGTATGGGGCACTCCAACGCTTTGGGAGGGTTGCGGTCGTTTTTCGGGCATGGTGTTGTACTGACTGGACTGAGTTTGAAGATTTGGGTGAGTTGGTTGAAAAGGTTTGGAGTAACGGGAAGCTGCCAGTATACAATGTGGTAAATGACTTGATTCCGAGAAGTTACGACAAAGGGGCAGAGGGTGGCCTCGGGCTTTTATAATTTCGACTGCCAACCAACGCCAACAAAAGGGTACGTACATGCGGAGTGTGCAGTGCCTCGGGTTTCTTTTATTTTATTTTTAATCACATAATTCAAAAAGCCTGATTTTGGGGTACAAACACTAAGTACTATTCTAGGGGTGTGAAAGGCAGGGTCAGGCTCCGTCGGTCCGTCTTCCAGCTAAGTACGGAGGGGAGTCTTTTTGTCGAATGCAGCCTTAAACGTCGAGGCGTATTTGTTCTTGGGTATCGGGCGCCCTTGCGTGTGGCACAGGATCTATCTTAGCGAAACCTCAAGTCTGAGGCCGTAATTGCTGCCTTGCCAGGACTTGGCTGCATCTTCATTGCGGCACCAACAGGCGGGGGCCAGGGGCCAACAGGCACCGCACCCTATCTATCATATGCCTTGGAGAATGGAATGAATGTGACTAGTGTACTCAATAGTCCACTGATGGTATCTGAGGCTTTTCTAAGACTAACCGCGTACTTAGGTTGTCTGAGTGTGCTGTACAATCATGGATTTTGAAACTGTATCCCGAGTATCAAGTAGGACCATGACTACACAACATATCGAGACTTTAGCCCCAGTTTGTCAACCTCGCAATTTGGCAGTCATCTTTCAGGCCAGCCTTGCAAATCAAATCTCTTGTCTGCCATGCCAGTATTCCAAAGGTCTCACGGTGGAGGCGGTCCTGGAGCGCCAGTACGCGGATGGCATGAATATGGTATAAGGATGGCTAAAAGCCCTCTTCTGTGATCTTGATAATACTGGCTCCAAACTCACACATCAGAATACCCAAAACACTCAGTTACAGTTACACTTGGTTTCATTTAACTGAACCGTTCATTCCCCTCAAATCACATTGCATCAGCTCGATCAAGCCAGGTTTACCATTCACAGCGAAGAGCCCGACTGAAAGCCAATCTCCGGCAGCAGCAAGAAGCGAGACTGACCTCCGCTGGGTCCAGTCGGACCCGATACCCACAGGCATCAGATCTTCCACGTTAGGATCACGCCGGTTGGCACAGTTTGGAGCACTATGAACGAGGATAAAGCTAGGCAGATGGTGCCGAGGTGTGAGGTTGGCAGGTGGGACACTCAGGATACTTAGAAACCCGGGCAAGACTTTTACCGATCTCATCGAAGCTATTAAAGGCAGGGGTGGAAAGCTTTCAGTAAGTCTCATTTATGATTCTGATTTCCATTCATTGAGCACTTATTTGTACGCGCGTACAGACAAGGGATATGAATTGCCGATGGCAGTGTTGATTGTTTGTCGAAATAACCTTGTAATGCAGCGGGAGATGTTTGTTGAAAAGAACCATTAAGGCAAAGCCCTTTCCATGGTGTATTTTAATTATTTGGGTCACATTCATTCAACCTAGTCGTCTATGGTCAGTCTTTCACTGCAATCCATGTGAAGTCCACGAGCATGGGTTTTTTTGGCAATACTTCCTACAAGATGCCAGTAAAACGAGAACTGAACGTCGAGGAGCGAGCTGATTTATGCTTGAGCAGAGGTATAAATAAGGCTAGAAAAAGTAGCCTTATGTAGGAGCCCTCGGGTCCAGTTAACACTCAAACGGCTATGACCAATCTGGCGGTTGTTATCACCGTTCCAGGTGGTTCTTCATCGGCGTCACTCACACTTTTACTCTTCGGGCCTAAAAACAACCAGCAGAAACTGGAATTGCAGCGCCTGCTAAAAGTCATTTCATGTTCCCCGGAACTGGCGGTGTTTTTTTTTGTCTACTTCATTTTTGTCTTCGTTCCCCGGCGATGGATGGTGATTTTGGGTGTTGGACAATACATTACTCAAGACGTTTCAACTATTGAGGTCGTTGTGGTAATCTAATGAAACGCTTTTCTTATTATTTTCTCTATTTTTTCCCTATTTGGTTTTCAGTTCAAGAATATTACTCCGTTTTAGCATCCTCGGCAGCGGCAGGCACATCCTTAGGCGCCCTCTCCCCTCTCTGGAAGACAAACAAAGCCTCGTCTTTGCCAGCAAAGCTCGGCAGCGGAATCTGCACGACCTTGGTCCAGTCCTTGTGCTCTCTCTCCATGTACTGGTCCATGGTCACGTCTTTAAAGCCCGTGTACCCGTTAGCGTTCTGGGTACCCACCACGGCGATGGTGTCGCCCTCATACGCCTCGACCAGGCCTCTCGTGAAGCCTCCCTCCGAACCGCCCGCAACGCCGCCGCCTACGACGGGGTACACGAGGAGCAGGACTAGGTCCTTGCCGGAGTCGCGCTTCTTGAGCCACTTCACGCCGTCCGCGATCTCTGTGTCCGGGATCCAGTTGACGCGCCATTCGGACTGCATATTGTCCACGGCGTGGACCGTCAGGCCGTAGAGGCGGAGCATGAAGGACCAGTAGCCGTTTCCTGATCCTATATCCGCTACGGTCCTGCCCGCCGCAAGGGTTTTGATGATGGAGAGGGCTTCGTGGGAGGGCGTGGCGCAGCCGAAGTGGTGCATGAAGATGGGCAAGATGTGGTGCGATTGCATACGTTGCGCGGAGGAAGGGTGTGGGCCGCACCATTCTAGGTTCCGGCAGGACCACACCCAGAAGTCGAAGTAGGGATTGGGCGGACAGGAGGTTGCCTTTTTACATTTAGGGACAGTAAGGGTAGAGGCGAGGGCTGGATGGATGTGGCGTTTTGATGACAGGTGGGATGCTACGGCGAAACGGAGAGAGGACTTTTTGGCGTTTGAGAGGAAGGATTTCAGAGCCGAAGTGGTGAGTGTTGTTGGGGCGAAGATTGAAATGTATGATTCTATGTCCGCTTGCGGAGGAGGATCGAGCTGTCATGTGTGAGTGTTGATTTCATGAGTTTGTGCATGGGGCGGGAGAGAGGGAGGGGCATACAGGCTTCCCCTCGTCGTCGCGATACCACGCATGCAGACCGTTCTCGCCGCCCATGTTGACGATGCCCTGCACCTGGGCGAGGCGTACGGATGTCATGGCATGGTAGACATAGGTGTCGCGCTTGGGGTCGATGCTGAAGGAGACGTTAATGGCGGAGTAGAGATTGTTCTGCGCGAGGAGCTCGATGGCCTTTTCCCGGCGCGGGGTATCTTTGACGTAGGCGTCTGGATCAAATTCGGGGGCGCCGACGCAGTGAACGAACTTGCCGCCCTTTGGAGCTGGCTTAACAGACATTTTTGACTGAGTCTCTCTTTACACGTATGAGTCGTGGTGAGGCTGTATGTCCGTATGAGTGCCGAATGACGTGCGGAATGAGAGATTTATCAGCGACGTTGAGGCTAACTGAGAAATGGGGTAAGTAGCTATATGTCGTGGTCGGATATGAACACTCAGTCACGGTCCGGGGCCTCCTGGTTGTGAGTCGCACTGAGGAGATCGATGGAGGTTTGTAAGGAGCGTTCCGGACCCTGGCTATAGGAGCTGGCGTGCCGAGTTTTCGGGGCCGTGTTTCTTCGGAGCAGACGGATGTCGTCATGGGGTTTGCTGGAAGGGACCCACTTTCTTTTCGGTCCGTGCCCGGTACAGTGAGCGGCGCTAGTAACACTGTACCTTCCACATGGGGAAAGACGCGCTCTGATGGCGCTTTCCCTTGCCTTGCTTGCACGGCCATGTCACGACTACGAATGGATTTTCATTCTATTTTCTTCTTTTCAGACAGTCTTTCGTCCGACTCTACTCTCTAAGATCGAACATTCTGGGTGATTATGTTGAAAATCATCACGAAACGTCATTTGACGGCGAGAGTAGCACCGCGCAAAGATAGCCCGGTTTGCCCCAAATGCAGATCTTCTCGTTCTATGCAGTACAAAACGATAACGGCTGCGTCTTTGCCTATCTTACCTATGTTGTTCAATACGGCATCCTGCTTCTGTCAGGAACCCCAATGTCTGCCATAGCATGTTTGTTTAATCAGAGATATTCACGTTTCAATCTGGCTGACACCACGTGGGGTTGATGGATTGAAAAACAACTCCTCGGCCCAAGACCCCACCCTCTTCTCATGTCAGAATTCTGGAAATGTCGGCCTTGACTACGATGCCATGACTCGGAACTCGGATGTAAACATAGCCACCGTCTCCCAACACCGCACAAGCGTTCATCCGTTCTCTCGGGAGTTGGCCGTGATCGATGGCTAAATTTTCTTGGCCAAGGTCTCTCCCCCACACAACCTAACCCCAACTCCCCACAACCCAAGGGGAAGGGCCGATTCTGCGGGACTATGCGGGGTGTCGCATGCCAGCATCCAACCCATCGGGCCTGTCGCGTAGAATAACGACCTGGCCAGATACCTTTCTAGCCCTTCGAATGCCTCCGGCTACAGTGACGTAGTCCGCTGCGCTAAGCTATGCCAGCATCCCCGCCGCTTGATCTCGTGGCACGACGCCGGGGTAAACCATACATGCTCGCCATGGCTTCATCTCCACGATGGAGTATGACCTAAGGCCAATATCCGACTTTCTCCCGGTGCCGGACCGGTTGAGAAAAGTACAAATGCCGGCCAGCCTTCCGGATCGACATGGTCTTTGAAGGAGAATTTTGCTGCAGTGTATGCTCACGAAGGCCATTGGCATTTGCATAGTAGACCCCTGCCATTATGCCCCGTCTTAGCCTGTTGGCCGCTCTCTCTGCGGCTTGTGCCACGGCATCTGGCCTCGCTCACAGACAAGTCTTTCCGAGCAATGACACCGCCGCTCCTACAGTCCAGGTAAAGAATGGCTCGTACTCTGGCGTCTACAGCCAGTCTTACGACCAGGACTTCTTCCTCGGAATCCCCTACGCTCAGCCTCCCGTGGACAGCCTCCGATTCCGTGTTCCTCAACCGCTGAACTCGACATGGAATGGCACTCGCAATGCCACGGAATACTCTCCGCAATGCTTTGGCTACGGCAGCGACACCTGGGTATTGGGCAATTACGTCTCCGAAGACTGCCTCACCATTAACGTTGTCCGGCCCCACGGCGTCAGCCCCGACGCAAAGCTTCCCGTCGCCGTCTGGATCCATGGTGGTGGCCTGACCAACGGCGGCAGCTCCGACCCGCGCTACAACGTCTCCTTTATCGTCGAGCAATCCGTCCGCATGGGTACCCCCTTCATCGCCGCCAGTATCAACTACCGCTTGCACGCCTGGGGTTTCCTCTGGAGCGATGAGATCAAGGCTGCCGGCGCCGGGAACCTCGGCTTCCGGGACCAGCGTCTCGCCCTGCAGTGGGTCAACGAGAACATTGCCGCCTTCGGAGGCGACCCGGAGCAGGTAACTCTCTGGAGCGAGAGCGCCGGATCTCGCAGCGTCGGCACGCAGATGCTCGCCTACGGCGGTCGGGATGATGGGCTTTACCGCGCCGCCATTCTCCAGAGCGGAACGGGTCTCGAGACGGACTTTGGTGAAGTTGAAACGACCGCCAACGTGTGGCAAGATTACTACGACACCCTCGTCAACAAGACGAACTGCACTTCTGCTGAGGATACCCTGAACTGCCTCCGCGGTCTGCCGGCATGGGACCTGAGCGACATCATCAACGGCACATCGAGCCCGTCTTTCAACGGCATGGCGGACGGCGACTTTCTCACGGCGCCGCGCTCGGAGCTCATCAACGCGGGCAAATTCGTCCACGTACCGATCCTCATCGGCGCTAACTTTGACGAAGGCACGCAGTTCAGCCAGAAGGGCATCAACACCACCGAGCAATGGAGGTCCTTCCTCCAGACACAGGGTGCCAACAACGTCACGATCGAGGTTCTCTCAGCGCTGTACCCTGACATTCCCCGTGTCGGCCTGCCCGCGACCCTCGAAGGCCGTCCGACAGGCGCCGATGCCTCTCTGGGCTCCATGTACAAGCGCGCCGTTGCGTTCGGCGGTGACCGCGCCCAGCACGGCCCGCGAAGGTACTGGGCGCGCAAGTGGGCCGAGGCGAACCAGACGGTTTACTCGTACCACTTCAACGTGCTCGTCAACGGCTTGACGCCCGCCGACGGCGCGAAACACTTCCAGGAGGTGGTTTTCGTGTTCGACAACACCGACGCCGTGGGCTACAAGACGGCCGTCGCGGAGGATCCCTTCGAGGGCAAGCCCGAGACGTTCAAGACGCTGGCCGACATGATGTCGCGGATGTGGGTTTCCTTCATCACAAAGGGAGACCCCAACTACAACGGCGCGACCAACGTCACCTGGCCAAAGTACGACGTCGACAACCCGCAGAACATGGCCTTTGACGTCAACGTCTCTTCCATTGCTTACGTTGAGCCGGATACGTACCGCACTGAGCAGATTGAGTACTTGATCCAAAAGTTGTGGACGTGAGCGTTGGATTTTCTTTGACGAATAGATCACTTTAATATAAGGAGTATTAATGAAGTTTTTTTTGCAGTCCAAATTCCTCCTCACGTGCCTTATTTTACTTGTTTTACGTGTCAAATACACCGGCACCATCCACTTTCGTGGTTGTAAAAGAGTACTTTGTCACTGCGGTCCTACAACGCTTGTTTCCTGTCACTTTCTAGCCTGCTTCTCTAGCAACTCCTTCAAGTGGATAACCTTGATGTGTCTGTACTGGTCCAGCGCAGACATGCCTGGGACGTATCGCGGTGCGGCATCCTTGCCATACCGCTCTGAGAGGCACATTTTGATTGATGAAATCACGTCAAAGTTTCACAAGCTTATTAAAGGTTAAAATCTCATTATGCTGGTCTTATCACATCCGACTTGATTTCCAAATGATAAATGCAACAAACCAAGCAGAAACATTAAAAGAAGATAGGCAAAAAATGTAAAGTCTAAAAAGAACACTCTCGGCCTGCGGATTCACCTTTAGAAATGCCATGGAAGTTTGTCCCCGGTCGATCCTCGCATCGGAAGCGTAATCACGTCCTCTAGCCGTGGGATAACTATTTCTTCATGGATAGGACCCGTGAGACACTCGTCGCATCCCTTTTGTCTGTCCAAGCCGTGAATGTCACACCATCTGATTGTGTAAACTGGGCGCCGGCGTGAGGGTTGCCGAGGCGTGGCTGGGGTCTCTGATTGATGAGAGTGAGAAGAAGAGGGGTCAACGGGGCCAAACGTGTCATCTCCTAACCCCATCGGTAATGATTGCTGACTTGAGGGGGGACCAGTTTTCTCTGGCTGGACCATAAGTGTGTCGTCTTTACTTTTGATTGTTTGGCCAGTCGAGCCAGCAAGGCGGGGCGAGTTGTCAAAGGAAATCGAGGGTAGTATCTCTGGTAGAGAGCTCGGTGCTGGAACGCACTCGACTTTACGGCGATTTGTGTCGCGCTTCTGAGAATGGCCTCCACTTGGGGGTGGTTTGAGTGTGCCGCTCATGGTCTCAGTAGGGCTGCCTTGGGTACCATCTTCCGATGTATCTGACCTAACCAGAGACCCATGCATTGAGCTCACCATGTTAGGAGGTGAGACGAACGTCACATGACGAACGCGAGTGATAAAGCTCCCATTGCCGTCGTCGAGATGGACCTTGATACGCTCTTCAGTCACCTCTGTCTCCTCAGATGTCTGCCTTCTCAGTCGCTGCTGCTGTTGCGTGAGTGACCGCGAACTGCTCCAGCCCACCAGTCTGTCATAAGTTGCTGCATGGCACTGCCGAGGGTATTCGTGGAGATCCAGTGCCTCCGTTTCTTCGGAAAGGCGAGTCAAATCGTCAGATATGTAAGTTCCAGAGAAGTCGCTAAAGGTATGCGAACGCCTGCCAGAAGAAGGAGTGTCTCGATGACCATCGCGCAACTCATGGGTGTCGTCACTTGATGGACTGACCTTGACATTTCTGTGCTTGATAACCTGGTGGCGGGGAGTAGTCAGGATGTTGTCACCAGATATTCCCTCTGGCATTTGAATAGGACGAGCAAGTCGGCTGGGATTCTTTCCTAGAAGCTTACGACAAGAACGCATTGGAAATTCCTCTGGACTTCCAGCTCTTTGGTTGTCGAACGGAGAGGAGAACACCTCTCCCATGCTAGGACGTTGCCGGCTGGTAAAGCTGCGCTCAAGACTAGAAGAAAAGCTTAGTTCTGGAACAAAGTCCACGTTTGACCTGTGAATGATGGTATCCGAGTCTCCCAGGCCATCTGCCCACTCGAGCGTGGACTCGCACATCTTCATAGCAAGTGCAGCAAAATTCTTGTCCTGCCTGTCGCCCCTGTTGCACAATTTACAGGAGCGGGATTCTAGCTCAAATGAATTCATAGCTCTGAGCAGTGTCCTCTGGTGCCATGAGATGCTGTTAGTCTGAGTGGTGTCAGCGGAACCGTGGAGGAAAGTGGCGAAGAACTTATTTTTCTTGGGCTTCGGAGCAGTAGGCAAAGATGGCGGCACCAACAGGAGCCCGTAAGCGGGTACCTTCCACGGCTCGACGAGGCCGTCCCACCCGTGCGCTTGTTTATAAGCCCAGTAGTTCTTGATGACGTTGTATGAGCTGACTTTGGGGTAGCCTACGTCAGTATAGATTGTGAAGACTTCGACGCAATCGTCACAAAAGCCGTATATGGTGCGAAGAGAATTCGAGTGTTGGCAAGGGGCAGCTAGGCATTCCCTAATGTGGGACTTGTTTGAGCCTTGATTTTTGGCATATTTCATGCATTCTATGACTTCCCATTTTCCGTGAGCGCAAACAGTGTAAAGCGTCTTCGTTGACCAGCACATGTTGATGTTGTAGACTGTTGTGTATGTGTTTATCGTGAGCGAGGAGTGATGAGGCTTTTCTTTGGGCTGTTGCCGAGAGTAGTTAATGTAGTGGGTAGTTGAAGAATAAGCATGGAGCTCTCTTGAGAGTTGTTGCTGATAGTAGTGTTCCGGAATTTTCTGAGAAGCTCAATGGGTTTCTCTTATAGTCCAGTGCCTTGTGGATTGACAAGTTATGTTCAAAGACTAGACTCGAAAATCTATATTTGTGCATTCATTGTCTAAATGAACAGTTTAGATATCTACAAAGATGGAAAGAAATAATAATCCGGGTTTGCGTATGTTCATTATTATTCACGTCTTTGTCAACGCTTGAACACCTCCATTCTGGACAACAATGGAGATGTCCACTAAAGAAATGACAACAATACGCCATGATGAATAATATGATTGTTGAACAACAAATACCAAGAAGTTATTGATCACGATATTGTGATCTGGGCCGTGAAAAGAGACAGACGTAGTTGGCTCATCAAAGTCGTTATAATTGATAATTTTAAGCGTTATTAGGTACAGTGTTTCGATGTCCCGTTCCAGGGCCTTCGTCTAGGTGCATCATTGGAGGCATCGCCTGTAGGCGATCATATGCACCAAGCTGCCATTTCCAGGCCGCAATGATTAGATGATAGACTCATCATCCCTCCCAATACTCCTTCAGGAAACGACTATTTTACAAGCCGTACTTCTTGTCCTTGTCCTCAATAGGGAAGTCCTTTCCGGTGGTGCCCTTGTACCTGTTCAAATTGGTTACTCGACTACATTCTCAAGACGTTGAACGACACCGCAAGTGCCGTGACGGGATATTTTGTGAATGTCGCTTACTGTTTGCGGATGAAGTCGCTGATCTGTTCGTCCTTCGCCTGCTCTGCAGCGCTTTCGTTGTTCTGGGGACCCTGGCCCAGAACCTTTTCCTGGAACATGTCGACAGCTGTACATGATGTCAGACTTTTGGTGTTGCTGAGCGGAGCGAGGCAAATATCAGGGAGCAAGGGGCTTAAGGTACAAACCCTTGTCGAGGCCATCCTCCTGCTTCTCGCTCTCACGGCCGCCGCCTGCCATGCCGTTGAGCTTGTCCATGAAGCCTCCCGACTCCTTCTTCTCAGGCTGCTGGGCCTGGGAGGCAGAGGCGTCGTTGTTGTTTCCGGTGAGCTTGTTGACGAAATCCATTGTGATTTGTTGGTTCTGTGGGCTCTGGTGATGAATGGTATCAAGTTTGAAGTCAAGGTTGAATGGATGGAACGCAGAGCAATAAACCAGACAACAAGAAGTGGGATGGCTTGGCTACTTGTAGTAGAATGATGTTGCACGCGGGAGGGATAGACAATCTAAGGCGGGGTCATCAAGATACAATGGTGGCTTAGACCAGTAGCAACCCCATCCCAGCCCGTCCAATTAGTCTTGGCAAAGGCCAGTGGCGGCGGCTTTTGGGGGAGAGGAAGGGATAAGTCGCGATACACCAGGTGGCAGCCCACCCGCCCGCTCACCGGTGAAGTTACATCATCAGCTTGCCAGGGCCTACTGACGCAGGCCAAGTACCAGTCATAATGACTTCCGAAAAGCACAAAAAGCCGGGAAAAAACAGCTGTCATGCATTTTATAGGAGGACTATAGTTAACTTGGACGTCACATCGAGTGCCAAGGAGTTGCACAAGCAATGAAGCCAAGACATGTGCCAAACATGAAGCTAATCCGCGCTTGGTGACGTGATGCCCACCAATCTTTCAGCTGGTTCTGTTGGAGGCCCCCTTGTCTTACCCCGCCAATACAATTATTCTTCAGCATTCATTGGACAAGAGCGATGGGCCCCAATTAAGCACAAATTCAAGCTCTTTGCACTGCCACATTACTCCAATTCTGTGTGGCTTCGGTAGCTTCTGTGGCTTGCAAGATTCTGACTTCACCGGCTGACTCAACTTTGACGACAAGCTATCAGTCACGCCGGTGTCTGCGCCCCGCCATCCCGAGCCTTTAATTGCTGTGACGGCGCAACGCTCCAACGACTGTCGCATGCCTTCTTCAGGACAAAAACCAAATCGCGATACACAGGACTGTTCAAAATGGCCGACAAGAACACACCTGATATCCTCCGCCGACCCCTCTATGGTCCGTAGCTTTCTCAATGCCCAACCCTTACCCCGCCATCCCACTCTAACTAAGCTGCAGTCTACGACCTTCCGGCGGAAGTCCTGACAACACTCTCCCTCAAGCCCGACGCCTCGATTCCCGACCAAACCCCGCCCTCTCCTCCTTCCAGGGAAAATTCCAGTTCCGATCTCGTTGGCGCCCAGGCGTGCTCTCTTTGCGGCGTCAATTTCTCCTCCGTTCTTGACCAACGCAGCCACCAAAAGTCGGACTGGCACCACTACAATCTCAAGCAGAAGCTGCGTGGCAACACACCTGTGTCTGAAGTAGAGTTTGAGAAGCTGATTGGAGGTATGCGCCATCACGGCAATATTGCGCGCGAAGGCAGGTAACGAGACTGACTGTGGGTAGACCTCGACGAGAGTCTTTCAGGCTCAGAATCATCCGAATCAGACGACGAAGAAGACGAAGCGGGTCGCAAAGAATCTACCCTGACAGCATTGCTAAAGAAGCAAGCAAATATCGCCGATAAGAGAAGCTCTCCAGCGCCGGGCGAGGATAATGAAGACGAAGACACATCACGACGGAAAAACAAGGGCAAAGCGCCCCTGATATGGTTCTCCTCCCCGCTTCTCCCACAAAACACCTACTTCGGTCTCTACCGTGCTATTCTTACCGGCGATGAGCTTCGCGACGAAACGAAACTAGTGGAGGTCATCAGGAAGAAGCAGCTTGAGCCAATATCTATACCCAGGATACCCAAAGATGGTTCCACGCCACTGCCAGCAGTCGCCTACAAAGGGCCGCATTTCTTCCTCTGCATGATCGGCGGTGGTCACTTCGCTGCCATGGTTGTTTCCCTAGCACCGAGGCAGAACAAGTCGTCGGGGGCTCTTAACAGAGAAGCCACTGTTCTCGCCCACAAGACCTTTCACCGCTATACCACCCGTCGCAAGCAGGGTGGTTCGCAGTCGGCCAACGACAACGCCAAGGGCAATGCGCACTCTGCTGGTTCTAGCTTGCGTCGGTACAATGAGCAGGCTCTGGTTGAGGATGTACGTGAATTACTGCGGGAGTGGAAGGGTCTCCTGGACACATCGGAGCTGCTGTTTATTCGGGCGACGGGCGTAACGAACCGGCGCACGCTGTTTGGACCGTACGATGGGCAGGTGTTGAAGCATAACGATACGAGGATAAGAGGCTTCCCCTTCAACACACGCCGTGCCACACAGAACGAGCTTATGAGATCATTCATCGAGCTCACGAGGTTAAAAGTCCGTGAGATCAATCCGGAAGACGAACCGAAGCCTCAAACGGAGTCGCCGACACCCGCAAAAGTACCGCCTCCGAAGCCTACGAAACCGAAGCTGACGGAGGAGGAAGAAACGGCGTTGTTGCACACATCACAAATTCAAGCACTGATACGCCGCACAAAACTACCCGCCTTGTTATCCTACCTGAAAACCAACAACCTTTCCGCAGACTTCCAATTCCAGCCACCTGAACAAAATCACCACTCCCCGACACCCCTACATCTCGCTGCGAACCAAAACGCGGCACCGCTCGTTCTCGGACTGCTCACGCGTGGCGGAGCGTCCCCTCTTGTGGCGAATAAGGATGGCAAGATGGCTTTCGATCTCGCTGGTGACAGAGCCACAAGAGATGCCTTCCGCGTCGCGCGTTCAGAGCTGGGCGAGGACAAGTGGGACTGGGACACGGCACATGTACCGGCAGCTCTGAGTAAAGCGGACGCGGACAAGCGGGATGAACGCGAAAAGAAAGAGAAAGAGAGCAAAGAAGCCGAGCGCAGGCGAGCTGAGGAGGAGAGGTTACGGTCCGAAGGGCCCAAAGTGGATGACAAGAGGAAGAAGGCCGGCGGTCTCGCCTCAGCCGTGCCTATGAAGTCGGCCCAGGAGAAGAGAGAAGAAGAAGCGAGGGGTTTGACGCCCGAGATGCGTATGAAGCTTGATCGGGAAAGGAGGGCGAGGGCAGCCGAGGAACGGATCAAGCGGTTGCAGGCGGGCGGTTGAAGCTGCGTCCTGCTAGATATGGACTAGAAGTTCAGTCGCTGTAACACATATAGAAATGGCTGGAAAAGCCGAATTGGGTATTCCTCTACAGGACATGATAACAAGACTTGTTCACGAGTAAAGACTTATACAGCACGCGTTGTTTGTTAGTCCAAGCTGGTAACCATTATTGAATGTCCTCGCTCTTCCAATAAAGCAATCCGTCTTAAAGTTGTCACTAAACTGCAAACCAGCCATCCAGTAGACAAGACCGCGAGACACCCATCTTCACATGCCGACTAAGCTCCAACTATGGAACGAGATCAGCGATTGAACATGTCACCACCGCTGCCTTCATCGGCATCCACTCACACCACTGCATCCCAAGATACGAACAACGGAAGCAGGGAACATTCTAGGCTCATGTTGGCCGTTGCTAGTGGTGCCATGAACCTCTAAGGGATGTGTGGCGAATTATCCAACCGCTTTTACGAAGCGTGTCCGTGCAAGAACTCAGACATGCTTCTGTTCTTTCTTTTTCCTTTTTTTTTTATTTATTTTATTTTTATTTTACTTCGTATGTGTACACACGGTCAAGTCGGCGGCGGCGACCTTTGTACGGGCCGCCGCCACTCACAATCATGCAGCTAGGCAAGACTCGCAGATCGGTATTTTCTTTTTCTTTTTTTCTTTTTTTGGAGTCACCAACAAAGTCTGTAGCCCTTTCTTCCCGATCTTGCCGGGAAATCGTCCTTTTTACAAGCACCCCAACGGCAGGAAGGAAAAGGAAAAAAAAAGGAGACTTTTCTAAAAGGGTAACCCTCGCGTGGGAGTTTCTTCCACACCCCCCTTCCCCTCGGCCTCCGAACGACAGACATCTGGACTCCAAGCCCGAGAAAAGCAATGATAGACGAGGCTAAAAAACGACACAGCCGTGAAGACAACAGTCGACAATCCACAAACACACACACTTCACAGTCTCCACAGCAAATGCTCAATTGTTCAATGCCGACGAGGCCGGGGAAAATTCATGACGAACAACTCGTGGATGTTTACTCCATCAGCATAGTCTCCGAGTCATCAACATCCCAAAACTAAACAGTAACCCAGGATATAGCCTGCCCCCCCGAGCAAGGGCCCGCTATCGGCACGGCAGATCGCCATCGCTCACCTGGTCGATCACCATAGCTAGAGTAAAAGGCAAAATGAGTGCTGTTTTCACAGCCACCTCCTTGAACTCTAGAACAAATTGGAAGTCGGAGGAGAGACAGAAAAAAAAAAAAAAACCTGTAGACCCTTTTTCCCACTCCTCCTCCCTAAAGATGGTCCTGGCATAGGTGGTACCCAACCGTGGGGAGGGATACCATAACTACCAACCAGTTCAGCTCGTGTCATGAAACCAAGCTAACCCCGCCCCCACCGGCCGACTTCACTCGTCCTTTCGTCCTTCGTCAACCCATCTCTGACTTTTGCCTCCCCACAGTCAAAGACGACGGAGAATAAAAAAAAGCAAATATGCAAGAAGGGACCGAGAGAACATCGTGGGTCGCCATCGTCGCCCGCGGTCAGGTGGGCGGAACTCCCGGGGAATTCTCGCCGCCAGCAAGGTTGAACCAACAAGCTTCACAGCCACTGGACAGCGTCATAATAGGGCCGCATCGCATGAAGGAAGATCCAGAGTTCGGATTGATCATTATGCATGTTTGGCGGGGTACTTTTTGGAAACAATCACGGGTTCGGTGTGTCAAGGAGATTTTTTCTCTGAAGTTTTTTTTCCTTTGCCCAAGTTCGGATGAAGAAATCTGATGGGATGAATAGGATAACCTGGATTATACGGCAGCCAGCAAGAATGGTAGGGAAGACGTTGCCCTGACTCGATGCGTGACTCGCCAATCCATGGCAAAGCCTACGTAGTACAGATACAGCATATGACGTTCGTCTCTTCAATAGGTCTCAAGGCTTGAATGACAGGCTCCTGATCGACTCTTGCTTAGACAAGGGAACTTGGACCACACCTGGAACAGCGACCTTTCGTATATGCAGTTTCAAACATATTTGATGTCCATCTCCAACATCATTGTCTCTCAGCGAAAAGTAGATGAAAGGCGGTATTCGGGATGCCCATCAACTTTCCATGAAACGTGGGCAGCTGTCGACAGTGACAGGAGACATCGAGTATGCCATTCCTTGCGGCAGGGGTCGGGCGATATTGTACACCTTTGGGATGTTAGCCATGACCCTGGCAGCAACCGTCAGGGTTACACCATGGAAGACTCCCCTTAGGGCATTGACCGAACGGGGAGGCCCCTGTCGCGTGCTCGTCAACTGGGTCATAGGAGCAGTTGTGAAAGCTGGTGGTCTTTCGAGGAAGTGGTCCGCTGTAAAAGGGGCATCCGGTGGACGGAGGGTTAGGAGCATGCCTAGCAACGGTAGTGCATCGGTGAATTGGCTCAGGAAAGGTGGTTTGGCCCGCTCCTATCCTCCCCCGTTATTGTTTACTATGTAGAGGATCCTCCAAAGTGCCGAAGAAACAAATGCAACCTCGGTGATGCGCAATTGGCGAGATTAGAAAAAGTAGGAACCCGGCAAAGCCATATGGCCTACCGCGGAGAACACACAGGTCACGCAACGAAACCAACCAGTTGGTCTTATGATCGGAACCAAGCCGTGATTGCACGCACTCTACAACCCCCCAATTTTGGGTGGCTAGGTTTCCTCTTTCGGCCAACCAAGGATGGAGCCAATCTGCGGGATTCAATGATCGACATCAAAACGGGGCAGATAGCGTGCGCTCCTGGGGAAAACTACGAAAGCTCCGGAGCTTTGAGTAAGAGGAGTATTTATTGTTTTTCCAATATTTCATCTCAACAGCTGCCATTGCATCGACACCGAGATGAGCATTGCGAGTCTCGTGCTTCTACTCGGATATCGGCCTGGGAAAGGAGATTACTGTTCAAATCTGGTCGAGGCTCGGACGTTGACGGTAAGATGCTGGTAGGCTGACAAGACGAGTCTCTTGTCTGGGTATACCTGTCGGAAGTCAAATTCCGCGGAAAGGATTTGGCGTTACCAGAGCGTCACTGACTCTGACTGTGGTCTGGGTTACAAGTGGAGGCTAACGCTGCCATCCAATCTCCCCCAGTTTGCCGAATCGGCTCAATCTGCACCTCATCGCACGAGCCTCAACCGTCAACGGATTCTTCGTCTGAAGTAGAGATTCTTTCGGTTTTCTGACAGCCGCAGAGAAGCAAAAAATGTTTCAGCCAAATGCAGGTGGAAATTGAAGGGCATTTCTGGACCTTGAAATCGGGGAAGAAACGGTTGTATCGATGGTAGTTTTGGGCTTGGTTCGTGTTCTCAGATTCAGGTGAGGATCCCGATTAGGCAAAGCCCCCCGGTTACGTCGGCTCTTTTAGGCTTGGTGCACGTCCGATATGGCAATCGACCGACGTCATGTGGGAGAGAAATCGTTGTGCTTCTGTCCTGTCGGTCGGGAATAGATGGCAGTCTGGATCATCAAAGCAACCTCGAGTTGCAGTATGCAACGCTTCCATTGAAGCTTTGCATTATTGGTCATCAAGACATGGCTTCTAGACGAGGTTGAAAGCGAGGATTGGCAAGCGATGCTGGGCGCTACTTCCTGGGTCTTGGGCGGTTCACAGAGTCATGGTTCCCAAAGACATCGTCATGTCTCAGATTGAATGTATGGACGACAACCATTGAAGGATTGCAATTTTGGCAGCGATTGCGGTTTTTGGACCAGGCGCTTGTATGTCAGCAGCCATCACACTGGTGCCGCGCGGCCACAGCCCTGCGCGCTGCTCGAGGTTGGATCGTTTGCCCCCGAAAGTCGCCGGTTATCGTGCATCAGTTCGGCCACCCACCGAACAGATGGATGCTTAAATCTAAAACGAAATCTAAACCAAGAAAAGGTTTATGGCTGGTCGATCCGCATACTTGAGGAGAAGACTAAGGATTAGAGGCCATTGGCTCTGTGAAGCGATGCCGAGACACCGCTAGCGTTGCGTTGTCGCTGACGTGGTAGCGCACTATGGACTTCGCTAAGCCGTTTGGTCTAACTTCCACAATCGATTGTGCTGGCCTCGGGTGGCTGACATAGTGAAACAAGGTGTTTCCCCAATTTAGCAGTCTGATATTGGGGGTTAGGCCAAGCTAGATTGGGATGACTCTTCGGCCCGCTGAGGGCCAAGCATCTTGACGTGGTGACACGGCATGACATGCCGCTTCTCTTAACAGTTGAAATCGGGAGCAGAAGACTGAATTGAAGCAATCCAGAGATGCTGGTTAAGGCTCCTCAATCGGCGCATCAAAGACAGCTACTAGTGACGATAACGGATAACAAAGTTGGCTCGGATGTATTTTGACAATGATACTACAACAGAGTGCCAGCTACTTTTTGGATCCGAACCCCACGAAGGAGGAAGAAAATGCCCATTTGTCGGTTTCGCTTCCGGGGATAAGGTAGACAGACTTGGAAATGCCTGAGGGGTGTAGGCAATAAGTTGGAGGAATATAACCAACACGAGATCATATCGCTTGATAAGCGTAGTAGCCAAACTTGGCCCCAGATCGAACGATGTGAACAGAATGTGTTGACAGTAAAAAGGAAAATGGAGCGTAGTCGGGATAGGAGGAGGACAGCGCTCAGAGCATCGTGGACCCTCTGGACCGAGGGTCTGAGCATTGTCAGCAGGGGATGGGTATCAGTGCCGATGGATTTGGAAAGCAAACCGACTCTTCACATCACAATCAGGAAAAGCGCACTTCGTGGATCTGGCCTCCTGATTCCAAGAGAGGCATGGCGGCTCTTTAGATCCCGGAGAAGTCTCTTGAATCCCAGTCGACAGATTTTTTTTTCTTCTTCCTCGGGATCAGGGGGAGGGAGAGTGCCTAGATCGGAGGGAGGCAACGTACCTACAATATATGTGAGCGAGTGTAAGGCCATTTTAGAATCCGTGTGGTAGTTTTCCACTTGAAGGGAGCAAGGGTTGTGCATGGAAGTGGGCAAAGTACTACGTCGTAGTATGGTTGAGAATCGACGTTGAACATGGGAGATGTGAGGGAGGTAGGCGAGCGGACGTGGAAAGTTGTGGGGCGACCAATCCCTGTTTCCAAAGGAAGATGACCAGGAGACCCCCAGTTTCTCTATTCCCAAAAAGTTTCCTTTCCGCCCCCCATTCATTGGCCCAGGGCAGCCTGTTCCTGCATTAGTGCGACGGGGGATGGCGCCGTGGCTGAGCGTTTCAACTTGCACTGGGTAAGAAGCCCCTCGCTGGGAAAGGATTAGGGGCAAAGGGGGCCGAGAAGGGGGAGGGCTAGCTGCAAGGCAAGGCCAGCAAGCAGTGACAGTCAGCAGGGTCGTTATTTGGAGGACAGCCCAGGTTCAATGCAGAAACACTGGCAACTTGCCAAGGGATCTGCCAGTTGAGGCGCCTCGTCTGTTGTCTTGAGAGCGTATAGTTTTCAAATGACCAAGCGGCTGTCATTGGCTGTCCCTTTCCCGTCGTCTAAACTTTTCTCGTCCAATCATCCCGTCACCCAGAATACTATTACTGCTACTGTTGTATGCGACGCATAGCATTTACATGCGTATCCACGGAGTGTATACCGCACGCACCATGTACTTTTTCTCCCCTTCCCTCTACAGGCTTTACTACCGAGAATGAACTGCAATGCAAACATTAGCGGGGTGGAAGTGAGGAAGACAGAGTCTCATGGGAACGAGCGGGAGCAGAGTAGGGTTGGTTGCTGCAAGTAATGGGACCATGTTTAGAACCATGTTTAACAACACAACAGCAACCTTCTAAAATAAACGGCCCCCCTATATGCCTTGTCAGCTATACCCGTAAAAGAAGCAAAAGAAAGGGTAAAAAGGCACATCCCAAAATGTTATTGGTGTCTCTCAATCTGATATATGGATTACTTGCATCGTCATTTTACCCGTGCCGCCGTGATTCCTCAAAAGCGCTGGGCGACTGACGTTAGGCGCGGGAGACCAGCGCATCGCGGACCTGGGATGCCCCATAATTAAGTGACGAATAAGAGTGGGACATGACTTTGGGGAGTTTTGGTTGGCTGCTGGTTAAAGCCGGAGGCTCCAGTGACGATCTTCGTCGATTGGTTAAAGTGGGGCATCTGGTCGGGCGGCTCTGGACCGTTACCCCTGACTAAAAAAGGGCACACACACCCACCAACCTTGGGGTTACAGTTGCAGTTTGCAGTTATAGTTGCCAGTGAATTAAGTTGCAGGGCAGCACTAGCAGTTGCAGTTTCCAAACGTCTTCAGCCACTCGGCACCTTAGGCCTCACCAATTTCCAATACGGGGTAAACAGCGCCACCCACAAGGCGCCACGGAGGGTCAACGGCGGCTGGTCATTTGGCATCTCCCAACGTCCGGCGTCTGGCTGTAAGGCGAGGGAAGGGGGCGCCCAGTTGTAAGCCATGTCTAAGGTTATGTGTAGTGTAAACTGCCAGTCAAGAAAAACACTCGACGATGACATGGAAGGAACAGTGATGTGGACCCCAAAAATTGCATGGCTTTTTTTTTGAGCTTTGACCTCTCATGTCATCGGATTTCTTTACTACGTAGATTAGCAAAGCCCCTGTTCCTGATCCTGTCTGTTCAACACCCACTCACTCTACATGATTGTAGTCTACGTACAGATGTGGGAAAGGGGGGGGGGGCCAAAGGAAGGAAAAGAAAAAAGTAAAGAGAGTACGTACTCTCCCCCCCTTCAAGCAGGAAAGCTGCAACTGGCAGCTGGCAGCTCCTACCTCTACTTTTTTACACCACCACCACAACGCTAACGCACCGACCTCGCTTCATCACGTCCACCACCTCACAGACTCACCTTAACATCTCCTCATCATCAAACCAGCCTGCCGCCGCTGTCTCGCATGCCTTCCGTCGCTTCCGCCCTCCACCACTGATCGACTACGCCTTCATCTCAAGCATAGTAGGCAGTGCCCTTCTAGTCTCAGCCCAGCATTACTACCATCTCCACATAGCGTCTGGTGCTAATCGTGTATTCATGGCCATCTCGAACTACAACAGTGAAGAGCATAGCCATACCGTCATTCCCCCGCTGTAGCCCGCGCTAGCATACGAGTATGCTGCATTACTTTGGAAGGCTGAGCAGCCTGAGCCTTACTGCATCTCCATGTCCACCGCATCCAATTCGCTCGCAAATGCCCGCTGGAGCACTCGGGAGTTTATGGACACCACCCGGCAGACGCAAACCTGACCTGACTAGCAGCATAATAAGGCAATGACGGGGCTCTAGTGAGTCCCGACTTTATGCTCATGGAGACATGGATGATAATGAGCATCCCAGGGGGGCCGAAAGTCCCCTCTCCGTCTTTTCCTGGCTCCGATCCAAGCAGAAGACGCTCAAATAGGAACAGTCCAGGTGCCGGATGAGAACAAGGCAGTGCTGTTTCTGGTGGCCCATCCTGCAATCCCCGTCCTCCTGTTGTTCATGAACTAGCCCCTGTTAAGGGCGAGTGACGGCCTCCAGTTAGACCAGCATTAAGCCCGGCTACGCTTGCTTGCCCGTCTTTGGAGCGCAACTCCTAGGCAAGGGCGACAAAAAGAGCGCCCACCGCGGCCACCATACCCACCTACAGGACCCCATGTCTAGTGCTGTCGTCCACATCCATGGCCATGCGACGGGTCCGCTGCCCAGCACGGACTGGACCTGTGGGCTTGCACCAGCACTTTGACCTTCACTACTGGACCCCACCCGTCCCCCGTCCCCGTCCAACTCACACTCACACTCACGCTCTTACCCACACCCCCCCTGGTTCATCGCCTCCTCAGGTGAGGAACCAGAAACCTCACAGCCAACCATCCCCCATGATGGCAGTCGTTCACTCGGTATATAGATCCTGTCTCTTCCCGCTGCTGTTTGGTGTTTCGATTCTTGTCCTGCATCGAACATTCTTTCCTACTTTCGTTCTATCAAACAAACTGTCCATTCGCTTTCTGAGAGTCAAAGTCATTCGCTTCTTTACTCTCAACTTAATACCAACTTAGTTTTTTACCTTCTTTTCAGAACAAAGTACACTCTCACTCTACCAAGAATCTTCCTCCATTTTTTCACCATGAAGAACAGCATCGCTCTTCTGGCCTTGGCCGCCGGTGTCAGCCAGGTCACTGCTACCGTATGTCACCCTCATCTTCTTTCCATCTTTCGAGACCTCCTAGTTGCAGATCACTAACACGCTTCACAGGGCTGGAACAAGTTCCCTTCTTTCACCTGCCCCGAGAACACTGACAACAAGTGTGAAGAGAAGCAGAAGGGTGGCTTCTCGTGGGGCGACTTGACCCCCGGATCGTTCAGCAACTACGGTGGATTCGACTTCAAGGGCTGGACCTGCGAAAATGATTTCTCCAAGCGCGATCTTCTCGCCCCTCGCACCTTCGGCAAGGGCAAGGTTATCTCCGGCTCTTGCGGTCAGAAGAAGGAGACCTCTCCTTCTTTCGGCTGCGGATCTAGATCCGGCTCCCCTGACAAGTTCTCCATCATCCACTTCGACGTTACCGTCGAGTTCGACTGCGACCTTGAGTTCCACTACGACATGCCTGACGGCTCTAGCTGCAAGCACCGCTCTGCTTGCTCCAAGTCTGGTACTACCGTCAAGAACTCCCAGTGCGGTGGTGCCAAGAACGTCACCATCGTTTACCCCAACCAGCCTTCCAAGCCCAAGTCCACCTGCGGCGTTGGCATTCACACCATCAACTTCGACTGCGAGCCTCCCAAGACCACCACGCCTCCCAAGACCAGGACCAGCGTTATCAAGACCTCCGCCACTACCCTGAGCACCGCTCACACCAAGCCTGTCAAGACCACCTCCGTCCCCGAGGTTGAGACCACCACCAAGCCCGGCGTGCCCACCGGCCCCAAGGAGACCGTCTCCTCTGAGCTTCCCTCTATTTCCATCCCCGGCAAGGAGTCGACCACTGCTGTTGTTCCCTCCGTCACCAAGCCTGCCGAGTCTGAGACCAAGCCCGTTGAGTCTGAGACCAAGCCTGCTGAGTCCGAGACTAAGCCTGTTGAGACCACTCCTGGTGTTCCTTCCGTCACCAAGCCTGCCGAGTCTGAGACCAAGCCCGCTGAGTCCGAGACCAAGCCTGTTCAGCAGACCACCTCCGCCCAGCTGCCTTCCGTCTCTTTCCCCGCCAACAACACCATCCCCGCCACTCTGCCCGTCAAGGAGACCGAGACCGAGGTTGTCCCCGTCCCCACTACTCCTGCCGTTCCTGAGACCAAGACTACCGTCTACGACACCACCTCTACTGTCTACACCACCCGTGTCGAGACCGTCACCTCTTGCGCTCCTGAGGTTACCAACTGCCCCGCTGAGTCTCGCACTGTTGTTGTCGTCACTGCCACCGTCCCTCTGACCACCACCGTCTGCCCCGTCACTGAGACCATTGTCCACACTCCCGGCGTCACCCCCTCCGTCCCTGCTGGCAAGCCTTCCAAGCAGGTCTCCTCCGAGAAGCCCGTTCTCTCCAGCTCGGTCACCAAGCCTTCCGCTACCATCCCCTCCGGCCCCATCGAGACCCTTCCTTGCCCTGATGTCGTTCCCCAGTGCTTGAGCACCTGGATCTGGTCTTCTGGCTGCACCGACAACTCCGACTCCAGCTGCTACTGCCCTGACGCTGCCTTCGTTGAGAACGTCTTCTCTTGCATCTACGCCTACGGTGCTTCCGATGAGATCATCTCCAAGGCCACCGAGTTCTTCCAGGGTATCTGCGCTCCCCACATCCCCGAGAACCCTGCCATCGTCACCGTTCCCGCCACCCTGACCTCTGCCATCACTGTCACGGCCACCAGGCCCGCTGCCACCAACCCCGCCGAGTACACCACTGTCACCGTTGACAAGACCATTGTCGTTCCCTGCGTCACTGAGGGCACCACCGTCCCTGGCTCTTCCACCACCGCCGTCATCAAGACCACCATCCAGGTCCCCCACGTCTCCTTCGCCACCGACTCTGCTTCCCAGGTCGTCCCCGTCCCGGCTCCCTCTACCCCTGCCGCGACTGTCTCTACCCAGGCTCCTGAGGCTCCTTACCCCACTACTCCTGCCGCCGGTGCCAGCAAGACCACCCCCGTCGGCACTGGCGCTGTCGTCCCCTCCACCACCGGCGTTGTCGTCGCTGGTGCTGGCAAGACCACCTTCGGCATTGCTGCCGTTGTTGCTGCTGCTGTCCTCGCTGCTTTCTAAGCAGGATAGCATGCCTTTTTTCCCCCAATTCCCTCGGCTAAGTTAAACCTTTAGAGGAGGAGAAGCACCAAAAATCATTTCCTTGTTTGTCTCAAATGTCGCTGCACGCAATCGAGCTCTGTAATCTACATTCCGCAATCATACATATCATTCTTACGATCCTTACGAAACAAATACTTGCATAGGTGGTGGTCTGACATAGACATAAATCCATATTTATCACACACTTGGCCGCGAAAAGAGCGCATCGGAAGGGAACTGTCGACACAGTCTTCTGGATCTCTGGCCCTCTCCTGTACTGTTTTTTCTCTTTGGTCTTTGAACAGCGTCAAAAAGGAGGCAGGAGGACTTGGAATCAGATATATACCCTGGCTGGTGGTGTCTAATAGTAATTGAAATATGCGCTCTGAACTCCCGTCCCGCTCTTGCATCTGTGATACTTTGTCGTTCATCTTTGTGAAGACTATTGAATTCTGGCACTGCATTTTGTTGGAAATTTACCTGGTCATAATCTCGATCGGCTGCCTCGGTCAGCGAGTCATGTGACGTTGTAGTTGAGACGGGACGGAAATGAGCTGTTGATATGCATCTCGCCTCCTGAGCGGTAAGGCCGGTCGGTCAAAGAACTTGGACTTTAGTCTCGCAGCCTTTCCCCTGTTGCTTTTTACTCTTTTTCAAATGGTTTCTTTTCTTTTTGGCTGATCCGTTTCTTCGGCTCTATGTTGACTTTGACGCCAAAGAATGGATGGATAGAGATCTGGGTGTGTTAGGATCAGCCAAACAGAGACCTTCGTATTTGCTCGCCATAGGGGTAAAACATGCCAGGCTGGACCCTACTGAGTCACGAATAAGGCTATTACCAAACTTGGGATTGGTTTGGATGACCAATGTCTTTGTAGATTCCTTCGGTGATTACCACTTATGTTCTCTGACACGGCGTTTCAAGAGACCCAACGTCTCGGTGTGCTGTCTCGGCGGCTTGACGCCATTCAATCAATACCCTTTGGTGCCTGTTGAACCACACTAATTATCAAAGGTTCCCATCTTGTCGATAGATACAACGCTAGCGATTCTGTGTATTGCTGTCTCTTATAGTGACACACAAATTGACTTTGATGATATTTACGGGTAATCGTTACCCCTATGTTACGACGCTGAAATTAGACAAGCCCGTCCCGGGCGTGCGGTGACCCAAGTGATTGGATGTCTTGAATATCTGAAAGGTGCTTAAGATAGCGACAAAGGCACATAAGGCGATGGTGATGATAACTCGTTTCTTTACACAACGCGGAGCAAGTCAGACGTGTTTCTCCTACGATGCAGAAAGGTGTGACCTTCAGTAGTGGCAAGTTTCACTGCAGGAACCGATCTGAGGGCGTAGGACATATGTTGTTTATTTTTGACGCTCCCGGGTTGTCGTTTGTAGATTTACGTCCTCATGTCAACAATGTTGATTCACTTTGGCATAGTGCTGTTGTGTTGTCCATCATACGAAAGCCGTCTAGTCTTGTATATCCAAGATCTCATCGACAATATTTTCCAGATTTTAGGCGAGCCTCTGCATCACCGCAGGGTCTTCTCGTCAAAACAGAGATACATTACGTTTCCCCTAGCAAATAATAAGTAGCGGCAATCCACGCTGCATTCCAAGTCGCTCCTCACAGCCAGGCAAATTACATCGTTCTGAATTTTGGATTGCCCCCCTAAGAAGGTCCCGGTGCAAAAGCTGAGACGACTTTCATCTCGAACCACTGCCGCTCATGCGAGTGCCCAATTAGCAATCTGTGACGACTATTTCGGGGCGCTCCAAGGCGTGCTTTGCACGAAACATACTGCTTCAGCTTGGATTGGGACAAGTCCACAGATGTTCTGGCTGGCAAATCTACCGTGCAGCATGTTACAGGCAGCAGACCACAGAGGATGGGGCTTTGAGATTATCCAGCTAAGTGCCCCTCGCTTTCTTGATGCACTGCACTGATGAAGAGGAGATTGACGGGCTTTCTGACCAGTCTACTACATACATGCCTCTTTGAGTCCGCAGAAAGTGGTGGTATTCGAGCGAGCATCATGATCGAGCCCTAGATACTCAAGCGTTGATTTTCATAACCATTTCTTCTCGGATGGCTTAGCCGCACTGCGGCAGCAACGGCACAGTTTCAAACCAGAGTGTGAGGACTCCTAGACGATCTGCAGGTGCTTACGCGTGTATGACAGTCGCAAGAGAAACAGGTTGGGAGGACAACAAAGGCCTAGGAGGAGTGTAGCGGTATGGTGGCTGCAGCGAAATCGTTCCCAAGGGTCGTTGTGGCCCTTGGCAATCTCACTCACAGGACAGATATCGTGCTGGAAAGGTTATAAAGACCATTGGCACTTGCACGGCGACTTGTACCGACTCAAACGTTCAAAAAAGGGCAACTCGCATCGTAAATTACTGTGTGCCTAACAGTTGCTAATAGAGCACAAGCGTGCCGCCCTTCGCGTTACTTAATCCAGCGATGACCATACAGCCTGACAAGTCAAACGGGTATTTGGGAGTCGTAAGACAGCCAAATACTCAACAAGCTCATTTCCGGCTTTTCGCTATTGGACGAGCTTTCCATCGTTGACTCTGAGCGATAGTGAAGGTTGTTAATCTCTAGAAGGCACGGTATTTCCGGCTCTCTGAGGTCTCGGTTTCGACTTCTTTGCCAAGTTGCAGTTTTTTGAAATGGTTTCGTTGAAGAGTTCCACGTAAGAGAACCTGTTAGAGGCCAAGAAGGTAGCCTGATATTACTGGATATCAAACAAAACGAGTTGGTAGTGGTCTGGCCACCTTGGTGATAACCCGACTGGGGCGTCAAGACGCAGGTTTTGAGGCGTACCAGATAGGTGTGAGGCATGGCATTAACAAGCGCAACCGCAAGTTAGCCCATATCAATCCAGACAAACCCAAGGATGCATGAGCCGATTTCTATCCTTCCTGGGTTATAGAGATTCAGTAACTCTAAGCCAGGAAACCCCATCGAGTACATAACAGATCACGTGGCACTTCACCACGGTTTAAAGGTTGGCAAGGGCTGTGATGTACGAACTGTGCGCGGTACGCCTGGCCTCTTGGGGCGGCTTGAAACCACGATGGATAACATTAAAATGGTAAATATGTATAGATAAGAGTGTGCGTTGAATAGCAGAACACCAAACCATATAGTGCTCCAACCTCGCTCACGTTTTGCAGATGGCCCCTCCCTCACTAAGAGTCGTAAATGCAGAACATGCTTGCGCCCAGCCCACACAACGCCCTATGCACCAAGTCAATCGTCCCTGCCGCTCTTTTGTTTTTAACTCCCCGATGGACATTATCTTCAGTCCCTTCCCGATTCAGAGGCGTAGTCATCTACTAGGCTCTGCATCTCGGCGTCGTGTGGAATCGCACGGCCCCGGAGTCGCCGCTCAAGGTGCTGCGCTTCCTCAAATGACCCCCGTCGTCCCCAGTTCCGAGGTTGGCGCTTGAGGAAGGCGCCGACGGAACCCAGATAACCCTCGTGCCGGAGAAAGTATGCTTGCTTTTTTCCTTGCGACCAGAACTTGATGGCGTAGCTGAGGGTGTTGATCGTTTGGCGATGGCCACGGATGAATGAGCCGCCAAAGTAGATATGGTCCAGGTTGTGAATCTGCGACTGGAGGAAGGCAATTTGACCGATATTGTTGGAAATGGCGTACAATAGCGACCTGGAAATGTCTGCGCCAGAGAAAGGCTGGTCTGAAGCGTTTTCCCCGGCCACTTGAGGTGCCTCCTCTGCTGGGCCTTCGGGATGCGTCACTGAAGAGGCGCGGTTTTTGTTGTCGCCGTTATGGAGGCCGCCGTGGTCTTCGGCCTCATCTTCTGCCGTGCGTTTCATACGGAAGACCTTGCCAAAGGAGGACGCAATAGTCGTGCTCTTGAGGCCAATCTTTCCATAGTCGCCGCCGTAGATGTCACCAACGAGCATGTCCACCTTGGCATTATCACCCTGTTCTGACATGTCGAGCATCTCGTCAAAGGTGCGGGCGCCCGTGAGGAGTGATAGAAGGCCCCAGAGCGTGCCACCGCCGAGCGATGTGCCGCCAACACGTTGGTACTCTCGAGGGCCCGAAACTTTGAGAAGGGAGACTCCGGAACCGATGTTGACGAGGAGGTATGGGTATATGTTCTCCGAGGGAGAGACGAAGTGCATTGGGTCGGTTTCGCTGTAGGTGAATACCTCTCGAGGGATTTCAGTGATGAAGAAGTCGAGACCTGGGTGGCGCAAACCGGGTTAGCTTGTGCGAACATTAACAAGAACGCTTACTGTACTCGCCAATGATCAGACACTCCATCTCCTCCTCGCGCAACACATCGACACCCAAAACGTCCCGCATTTTGTCGTAGAACTTGAAAGCGCCGCCACCAGTGGCCATGACACTCAATTCGTTAGGTTGGGAGCCATTGAGGGTTTGCTGCTTGTCCTTCAGATGGCGCATGAACTCGATGCAGTCATCGATGCGATCCGTCTCGAAATTGAGAAAGTTGAGGCGGCCGCCAGGCTCCTTGGAGCCGGCCTCGCGCGTAAAGTAGACAAGCTTGATCAAAGAGCCACCGATCTGTAGGGCGATGGCGTTAGCATAGGCACAAGATAACAGAAAGAGGGAAGGTAGTCGCATACATCTACGGCGATATGGCTGACGACGGCGTGGTGGTTCGGTAGGCGAATATCGCTCGTCTCATGATGGGTCGGGGATCCGCGGCCATTGTTGCTCGGAGAATTGGAGTCCGGGTCGACAATGAATGCGCCCTTGACATTGATACGGACAGAGCCCGGGCGGATGATGGTGTTGTCGATCTCTTCGGTGCTCGTCATGGTCCGGGCTCTCGTGCGAATGTTGGCGCCAGCCTGGATCACAGGCTCGGAAGCGGTTATGTCGTTGTTGTTGTTGTGTTCGTCGTCAGGTTGGGGATCTTCGATCGCTGAGCCTCCATGGTCGGGCGCGGGGCACATGCTCGGTCTTTATGGGCTGTCGTCCGGCGCGCGGAGGGCAGACGGAGGTTGGTTGGGACGATACAGCTCATGAATTGGGGGTCTAAGAGCGAGGTAGTGTGGTCCGCGAGAGGCCGGAGGACGGATGGGGACGGTGCGCGGCGGTTAGTCGGATTGGTGTCGCCGCAGGGTTCGCCTTGCGCCGCGTCAGTTCGCTTCGGAGTTGAGGAGGGGAGGTCATCGAGGGGTTTGGGAGAGTGGGAACACCCGTGGATTTTGAGTCAAACTGATTGGAACCTTGCCTTCTTTTGCGAGAGGCCCTGTGTCGTATCTCCGGCGGTTCTTATCGATAAGCAAGGAGGGGGGGAGACTCTCAGGTAAGGGGTAGGTACCAAGGGAAGCTGAGTGTCGAATGTACTATTTCCTGTTCTGGTCAATGCCTAGGTACTTTCTGGAGGTTCGCCCGGTACAAGACTTGATTGCCGTTTGACCGAGGCTTTTAGGGGTGCTCCCCACTGCGACCACACTGCGGCACAGCGGTTCCTTGCAGCACTCTTCTTGTTCTTTCTCTTAGCACAGCTACCTGTCCCCCTTAACAAAACCCGAAAAAAAGGAAAAAAAAAAAAACGCCTCCATCTCTCCGCAACTATCGGATGTCGCGTGTGGGCCAAGATGCGGAGGCTGCCAACGAGCTTCCCATTCGTCCAGTACAAGTATAGGTCACAAACTCCCAAGCCTTTACATGCGCCGCCCAAATGTCATGCTTTTTACTAGGTAGAGGTCCAAGCTGGGTGCCGTGAGTAAGCACCAGCCTATTCCTGCTTGACCAATGATCGGGCTTCGTCTTGGCACTATCCCGCTCACTCCTCACTCCTTACCTAGACACAACTTATACTTTGCGCCGAGGAATAGGCGAGAGGTAGCGATATTCCCAGCCTATGCTCCATTAGGCCAGCGGTTTGCTCGCGCTGTACACCCACAACGTTACAAATCCGCATTCCAGACGAGAACCGGGAAAGTTCCAGTACTACACTATAAATGAAGAGTGACATCATCACGGCACGGTTCTGCTGGATTCGCGTATCTCTCACAGTATCACATGTTGGAATCGACAGATCGAGCGGCTTGCTAGCATGAAACTGCACATAGCCATCCAGTAATCGGTTCTGGGCCATAATCACAAGACAGCGCCACGTCATTTGACGAGCCGTGCAGGCCAGTTTGGCCCCCTACAACGAGCTCAAGTAGGTCACCGAGAAGCACTGCCTTAGCGCGGAAATGACCACTTTCATCGCGGCCGCAGGGCTGACTGGAATGATCTGACGATCCCACTAAGGATTTCGTCGTCCCATTGTCAAGGTCTTTGACGGAACAGGTTCCGTTGTCACAGGAAATGCAACTGACCAACCAGGGTGTTGTTTCTTGTCTGGAAGCACAGGAGGCGTTGCCGCGAATGCCGCCTAGATATCCAAGCTCGTCTTTACATTCAAGAACAAGCTCTGACATGGACGCGCCGAACCGGATGCCGGACAGCTCCACATAATCGGCAGAGTGTGGGTACATGCATTCCGTCCTCTACCCTTTTCGGTTGAGGACCTCTAAAACTTATAATCCTTGTTGAATTATCGGTGTTGGAGATGAATGTTACCAGTGTTATTTATCGACGTAGCTTTTTGGTAAAATAATCTTCTATGATCTTACATAGAGAATATCTGTTTGTAAAGAAACATTTCTGCAATTTTCATCTTTTCTATTCTGCAACTCAAAGCTACTCATTCATCTGCATGTCCCCCATCTCGGCGTTTTGGATCACGCTAAGCCAACATCAGTCAGTAAGTAGAGCGTCGGTATCAGAAACCAAAACCTTCTATTCTGCCACTGATTATTCATTCGGCTATTCTTTAGACGCCTTAGCCTTGGACCACGCAAATCCACCTGCGCCAGCAGAAGCGATGACGCCGCCTACACCCTGAACGGCGCCGTACACGGTTGCCACCCCATAACCACCGGCCCCGGCGCTCTGGAGAGTAGCAAACAAGCTCGGTGCTACAACGCTGCCGATCCCGCTTTGGACGCCTGCGGCTGCGGACCCTGTAGGCGAGCTAGTGTGAGACTTTTGGACGTGACATTCACGAGACGGTATCGGGGAAACACGGGGGGGTTTCCATACCGGCGACAACACCTTCAGCCCCGAAACCGGCTGCCGCAAGACCTGGCGCGGCCACTACCGCCGGCGCGGCGACGAGGAGGACCCCGACGCCCACGGTGCCGCATGCCACCATCATACCGGGGTTGGCTTTGCAAGTTTCATACACCTGACCAGTTGCCTCCGGGACGCTTTCAGTGATGAACTCCTTGGTCTTTTCTCCGGCGGCCGCCAGAACTGCTGGAATGTCTGCGTTCGACACGGCATGCTGCGTTATAGCCACTCCGGTCAGAGCGGCGTTTCGGGCCGCGGAGACGAACGAGGAAAGTGAAGCTGCGAAGGGGAATTCGGGGAGGGCCATTGCGGATGTGCTTATTCGATTCGGAGACAACAAGAGAAGTGATGCGCGTAGAGCCTGGCTGAGGTTCACCAATTTGTGCTGATGCGATTATTCGAGAGCAGAAGAAACAGAGAGAGATGCCTCCGACCCCGCACGAGATGGGTATACAGTCCGTTGCACTGACAGCGTCCAAAAATCGAGTTTTTACCCCCCTAGGGTGGGGTTAATGCAAACCCATGCTAAACTCCGTTTTTTTCGCTGGGAAAATTACAACGGTCGCATTCAGCTGCATTTAGCCACCGTATCGTCAAATCTACTCATTTCAACGCGTCAGTATGGCGCCACGTCTCTCAAAACTCCAGCTGAGGAAAGTTAACCTACTTCTTCCCTCTGTTATTCAAACCGACGAAGAAATCGCAGAGGCGGTTGGCTGTAGCCAACGAACGATTCGACGATGGCGTCGTCGATTCGACATAACTGGCGAGGTAGAACAATACCCTCGAAGGCGTGAAAGCCAGCAGAAGATGGAAATACAGCATCGGAACGAACTTCTCGAATTATTAAAGTATCGTAACGACCTCCTATTCGAAGAGATGCAAGAATTCCTATACGAACAGTTCAACCTCGAAGTCAGCAAATCAACGTTGAGCCGCCACCTCCACGCAGCTGGCTGGACGAGAAAGAAAGCCCACATAATTGCTTCACAACGAAACCCAGAATTACGGTACGATTGGTTATATCGTATACGTCGATACCACCCAGAACAATTAATATTCGTAGACGAATCAGGCGTTGATAAAAACACTGGAAGAAGAAGGACGGGTTGGGCGCCTAAGGGTCTGACGCCAACGCGGTCAGTTCCCCTCGAGCGAGGTCAACGGATACAACTGCTGCCAGCACTCGCAATTGACGGTATCGTAGACTTGCTGGTATATACTGGATCGACGAATGGCGAGGGCTTCTCTGCGTGGATACAGCAACTTCTACTGCCAAAGTGTGGAATATTCCCTGGGCCTAAGTCAGTGATTATAATGGATAATGCTTCTTTTCACCGGCAAGGGGATATACGGCAAGCGTGTGAGGCCGCTGGCGTACGCCTCGAATTCCTCCCGCCGTACTCACCTGACTTTAACCCCATCGAGGAGTATTTTGGCGACCTCAAAAAGCATGTAAAAAAGACATTCCGTACGTGGAATACTAACGAACTAGACGAGCGTGATTTTGCTGAGTTTCTCCGCGACTGCGCGCTTGAGGTTGGGCAACGTCTCCCACAGATAGCTGGGCACTTCCGTAACTCATATATCAACTTCGACGGCACACAGGATATCTTCTGTGACGCTATGACGAGTAGCGATATGTATATTGAGGCAGGAGGAGAGTTGAATCCACCTCTTGTAGTAAATAGTTGTTGAACTTGTAGTAGGAGAAGTAGGAGAAGAAAAACATGAATAATGCCTGTATTTACAACCTCAAGTCAGGCCTATAGTGAAATAAATCGTATCCGTGGCGTATCAAAGTGCTCTGCTACCTACCTAACGGTCTTTGGGTTGATCCTCCCGGGTGTTGCAGGGCAGCTCACATCCACAAGCAAAGCTTTCCGCTAGCAGTAGTCGCTGCTATTTATCCTAGTTTAACCTCCTCTTCCTCTTGGGTATAAGGCGACGATATATAGTCTGAGACTTCGATCGGATTTTGTTCGGTATTAGGAGGAAGGATTGGTGGCGGCGGCGAGGAGACGAAGAGGTCTAATTCTAGTTTCTGGTTAGTTGACGCCGTCACTTCCGTCAATATTACTCACCACCTCGACCAAACTCAATATCGCCAGTTGGCAGCGGTGAGGAGATCCTACCCGCTGGAACGCTTATTTCGCCTACTTTACTAGCGCTTCGTTCGATATTGCCTGTTTCTCCGAATCGCTCGTCAAAAAGTCGGTTATACACTTCGTCTTCAACCTCACGGTCAACTGCTGGCTTTTTCGTTGCCTGTACGAGTGATTGTACAGCGGCGAGAGGTTCGCTCTGTTGGAGGTAAAATTGCTGTGTTGTAGTGAAAAGTTTGATCGATTTTCTCACTGCTGCGGTAAGTTGTGGTGAAAACCCTACCTCCTTGAACCAGCTGTCTGGGTAATCACGAATAACGCGGAGACTGACTATTGAAGCCTTTAACGGAGTAAATTTCACTTCGTCAATACCCAACTTCTTGCCGTTCACAGCTAGAAACCACGAAACGAACTCATCAACTTGGCGTGTTGCTTTTGAGGGCGAATCAGGAACAACTGGCGACGAAGAACGAATCGGAGCCTCTACTTGCCGACGGGCAGAGTAATCACCTGACTGCGGTTGAAATTGAGGCTCAAGATCCCAATATTGGGGCGGCATCGTTGGCGGCGGCAACTTTGGCCAATATTGCGTTGGGCCGCCTGGCGGAGGTAGGCCATAGAAGTTGACTACTGCGCTATTATTATTGGCAGTATTTGCTGGGTCTTGTGTGTCTGAAAGCCCTCTATTAGCAGACTTTTCACCTAGGCTATTTTGGCCTCCTCGATTTGCTGATTTATCGGGCTTTTTCATATCGCGTTGTTCACGCTGAACAAGATCAACAATTAGGCGGGCAGGCGGGTTTGATATTGATACGCCTTCCTCGCCCTTCTGAATAGCTTCTTGCCACTTCTCGAAATCAAATACGGTCAGTTTATAGTGTTTTCTTGCGTTGACCCAGCACCAGTTAACTGTTGGATCAGCTGACGAGGTATTCTGACAGGTTGCTGAATCGTTACACTGATTATGGCGAAGAAGGTCTCGAAATAACTTCCTCTTTCGATCGCCTTCTGTTTCAATCGCTTGAAGCATCGTATTTGTTACAGTCTGACGTTGACTAAGTCGAGACGGTCGCCCTCGTGGTGATCCTACGCCTTCTAGCTCTCCTACTGCGGCTACAGTAGGAGTGACAGAGTAGGCCAGTTCAACATCGAGAAGAACCTCACCAAGGCGACTATTCTCGATAATTTGCTTCGAAATATCATACCATGGAACAACCGGCCAGTTGCCACTGTCAACAGCGAATTCTTCGCGGTATACAATAGTTACTGCTTTTAATCCTATTCTTCTCCAGGCGATTTTCGTGGTAATCCAGCTCTTCTCGATATTATATTGTGCCCTTAAACGGGCGTCGATTCGCTTCGCCAAATCCCTCTCGATTTTCGACCACTGGATAATCAACTTATGACCAACTTCGCTCTCCTCGTCAAATATCCACTTGTATATAGTCTCAGGAAGCTTTGGCGGCGAGCGACCGCCTGAGAAGAGAGGAGTATACGTAACAGTTAAATTGATTGACTGTGGTTGCGTTCGTCGAGGAGTTGGGGTATCAGGTAAAGGCCGTCGACCAGGCCTTGCCGGCGTAACAGCAAAAGGATCCTCATCGAGGTTGAGGTTATATTGAAGTCGCTGGCCCGGCGTTGACTGCCCAATAGCTTGGTGTTCATAGTGGCCTGCCGGTTGGGTTTCCTCGACTTCGTCAACTTCGAGGTTTTGTTGAGTTATTCCTGTCTCTGTTTCTGCTAACTGAGCAACCCTCTGGGCTGGGGAAGGGATCACCACTACCCGACGGCGTCGAGGTGGCTTAACTGGGGTCTTCGCTGGCTCTGACGCCTGCGCCCTCGCCCTCGCCCTCGTACGTACGATAACTACCCTCGACGGCGAGCCGGTTGTTGTATTCGTCTCTAGGGCTTTTGCTGTTTTCAATCGCTTTCGCTTCGCCGGCCCAGTGGTATTATCAATTGAGGGGGCCCGAGCCCGCCGAGGAGGCATCACGAAAAGCTTTTCACGAGATATTGTAATTTACAGAGATTTCACTACGTGGGCCCCACGAAAGTGGCCCAATTGGGCTACAGTGGCCAGTTTACACCAGTTGGGCCAGTTGGGCCAGTTTGACCCCTGTTGTGATAGTTTACTGATTTTCGGGGTTAATAGGCTAAAATCCGATTTTTGGACGCTGCCAGCGAAACGGACTGTATGCTTCACTCGCAGCCTGATTTACGGCGGTAAAGCTGCCTTTCACAACCAACATGTATGCTTGTTGGGACCGATAAAATCAAGTCATCCGATAGGTCATCAATGGAAACCGTACTTGAAATATGCAGAAATAATCAAGGCCAATCGATTTCATGCAAGTTCCTCACTCGTCGACGGAATGCAAATAGGAAGCAGGACACGAGTTTCGCTTCCAATTATGTCTTTCAGGCACTTTGTTCAACAGAAAACCACCATCATTACCGAGACAGCTCAGACACGAAGTATGCGTTCTTAATGTTGCTGGGTGGGGTTCAGAATGGGATATAAGGATGGAATCCCAAGGCTTGGTGGCATAAACTGGACGCGTTAGATTTCCAGTGTTGATACGCCACGATTTCTGTCAAATTAGAATCAACAGTTGGCTTATATGCGCACTGCCTGCCACTTTAACAGAGTCCAAGATATAAGAGAGTCTCCAAGCAGGTATTGTACGTTGGATCTGGCTCACAGGCCTTGTTATTTATACTACAACAAGTCAATTATCGCTGTCAGGATCTGCTCGGTTTAATCCAGAGTATTTACTGGAACAAGATGATGTAGACTTTGCCTCTGTTAAAATGCATTCTTCAAAACCACCCTGCAGGGTGTAATGTTGTACAGTGAGACAGTCGTTCAATTTGTCCTTGTTGAGATATCACTGCACACAAAGTGGTTCTTGTTGCTACGCAGGATAACGCGATAAGAAAACACATGGTTATACATACCAAAGAGAAGGAGCTTTCTGGGGCGACTCTTTTGAACGGCATCAAGGGCCATGCATACTTAAAGTCAGAATATCCACACCATGACTGCCAGAAGTGTCCACACCCTTAAAGGAAGCGGCTCAACTTGGAAACAGGCCCTGCCTTGTGAGGGTGCAACCGATGGAACTGCAGAACCCACGATTCACAGCCTTGTAGGTCTTTGGCCGGCTGCCACGAGGGTTCTGCGTATTCCCAGTCTACAAGATACTGCAGGCCCGACCGTGGTCTCTTGCCGGTCCACTTGGAGTCGAGGATGGATTTAAAAGACCAGCGTTCTTCGTCGGGCTTGCTAAGATATTTTACGACCACGCGACCTTCATTGTCTGCCTCCGGCTCAGACACCTCTGCAAGAAAGACTGGGGGTTCAGGGTTGTCGGGGCGGAGAAGCTGTATGGAATCACCCCGTCTGATCCAAGGGTCAAACATGAGGGACCACTCAAGCCAGATCTCGGGCATAAGAACACCTGAAGGAGAGGGCTGGTCGTTGTTCAATTGCTCAACAAAGGGGGAGGTAGGACGTACAGACTTGCCAAGACGGCTCCAAGCAACATCAATCATTGGTGCATGAGCCCAGGCATTGCAAAAGAGGCCAACAATCGATATCAACGTCTCGAGGATAAGTCGGCGTCCCCCGGGTCCGAAACGCCAATAACCCCAAGACTCGAAGTGAGCGAACAACTTGACCAGGCACAGGACTAAAGCCCTGTTGGAGAAATCTGGACCAGCTGGGGTGATCTGGGTGACATATTTCTGCCGTTCGGAAGAGACTGTGCTCGCAATGGTCTCGTTCACGCTATTGATAATGTCAGCTTCAACTGGCCGTTGGCCATTTTGTGCTTCTGGGTTTTCGAGCTCGATTAACAGGGTGCGCACTACCGCTCTGACAGGAGGGAAACACATAAAGCTGTGTAGCTCGTTAATGTTGGCGCCACATCTCCGAGCTAGTTGAGCCAAGTCGGCGTGGATCGAATAAGAAGGCTCCGTTGGGTTACAACGTGGCTGACAAGACCTAAACCTGTAGTCCCTGGGCCATGCCGTTCGGTGCCTGGTCTCAGTGGCGAAAGTAACCCAAATGAAAGCGTCGTTTCTAACGATATGTCCATTATATCGCCATGTTGGGTCGACATGTCGCTCTTGAAGCGCCGAGTTCATAAGTCTGGTGATGTACTCGTACGTACTATGTGCCGGTGGCACGCTAGCAACTAGAAGAGGTGTTGGTGGGATCTGGGTCATGTCTAACATGTATGCGTATTAAATCTGCTACGCAATAGAGATGTGTCGATTGCTTTAAAGCTGAATTGGCAGATGAGGTTGAGGCTGTAGGGAGGTATCTTCTCGGCCAGACTTGATCATTACGGCAACTTTCCGTTTATATATTCAGTATTCAGATAAAAGACTTGTACTTTGGCTCATGGTATGATGACGGGGAAGGAGCAGCTCTTTGGAAAGGCTGCCGCCTGGAAAATGGCACGTCAATATGTTGATCAGAGCCGAAATCAACGACAAAGTGGCATCGAACAAAGCAAGCACGGCCAAAGACAGATACTTCTTATCCACCACGTCGAGTGAAGGCCTCGACGTTGTGATTAAAGACTTGCGTCGAAGGAACATTGACATTGTTCTCGCTGGTTGGGCACAGTGCCTTGTTCACGATTCAATGAAAGCACCGAGGCGAGTTGTGCTTTTGTTTCGTAAAGGTATCGAATGAATGGGCATCGCAACTCGTGAGCTTTGCGACGGGCTTAACATATTGACCTTCGAATGAGTGGGATAAAGCATACAATTGGGCCTGTTGATTCGGCGTCTTGCTGAGGTTGAGACGTCGGCGCCTGATGACGCTACTGGAGCAAGTCGGATATAATGAGAAGTTGCCAATGAAATTAGTCCAAACGCAGACCGGGGTTTCTATGCCCAACCCACGAGAGGAAGCTCATCGACCGGAATGATTACGGTAACACTGCCGTCCTTCTCAAACGCGGCATGCGACAGCCTTGCTGTCAAGACCTGGCAGGACTATGCGGCCCAGGGGTCATTGCAACCGTTTGTTCTTGTTAGGTGCCGCTTCCCTTCGCGTGATGTCGCGGGGCATTCATGGGCATCTGTTAGGAAACCCAAGCATCTGGGTTGACTACTGACTAGATATCAATTGGGAATAAGGCTTGATGGGCAACGATGGCAGGTGACGGGCGCGACTGGACGCTCACATGGCGAGCATAGATCATCTAGAAGAAGGCAGGGATACCGTCTGGGATTCACTCCCACCACGACAAGCCACTAAGCAGAAACAAAGACGGCCAATCAGGTGGTATGGCTCAGCCATCACCTCGACTAGCCCTGTGACTGAGAGTGTGGGCCAATAGAATTTTGCATATCAGATGAAAGGTCTCAGAGGGTACAGAGTAAGTAGGACTGGTAAAGACAGTCGGGTTGAAGGCCAGCGAAGCGGTGAGGGCAGAAGTAACTAGAATGGCGGCCCAAGGCGGCCTGAGCGAGAATGGAAAGAGGGGAGAGAAGCAGAGTTTGATGGGGAAAAAAGTTTTCTGACCCAAAGGCGTGGGTAAGATGCCGCTCGGATACAGGGAAAATGTTTGTTGAAGAGGCTGTCGAGTCGCGATGGATGGGTGATGGAACATGGAGAAAGCCTGTTGAATGACCTAAGCTCCATCCAATGAGAAGACATCAACCTGCAGTGCGCAGGAGGTACCGTTCGTATATTCCGCAAACAAACAGCCTGCATAGTAGGTGTCAAAAGATCCAGGGGGATGAGAAGGGAAGATTACATGGAGCACCAAACGACGATAAAGGAGAATCGCCTCAATATCGAGACAATGCCGGATGCGTCAGGTACCCTGCCGAAGGACAATAAAGAGTAGTGGCAATACCCGTGTGAAGTACCGAATAGTAACTGCCTGCTGCAGCGTTTGTGTCGTACAGCACACGAGGTCCAGGTGGATGCAGCTATTGGACTGACTATACCACTAGTCTTCGTCCGTACCTTGAGGGCGGGCTGTCAAAGAGCGTTGAGCCCAGATTGTTTGACTACCTACTGCATCTCTCTTTATGATATCATGTCCTTTACTGCAGGTCAACGGGTTGTCATGGTGTAAATCCCAGTTCCCCATCTACACTACAGGATATTGAGGTACACGTAGAACTGGCCATGACTAGTTGTTCTGCAAGGAATAATCAGCGACGGAAACAAAAACCAACCGAAACAGGGCTTCTCTGGTTGGTAGTGAGGTCACTGGTCAGGGTCCTGATGGAGCACGTTTGTTCTCACCTCAGCGGCCGCCCATTGCCTTTGACTGGTCGTACAGGGGATATTCCATGCCGTCCCCACTAAATACCCGGTCCCTAGTGACGATATGATGGCGTGCGTCGGTGAAGCTGTGATAGGGGCGTCGAACCCGAGGGTCTCCATTCTAAATCCCAGAGGAGAGAGACCCTTTCCTTGCTTCTCATTATCTGTTGCCTCTCACCTCTTGGGCGCGCCCAACACTTAACACCACTTCGTTGCTATTTCCACAGGCATCTCGACTTTTTTCACACCACCCACGATTATATGGGTCTCGGACAAACCACCAACGCCTTACAGAGTTGAATGGCAGCTTACACTATGCACTAGACCTCGTTCTTTCTAACTTGGTGCCTCATTTGGCTAGCTAGGCTCAGAGTGACACTTGGCTGATTTGTGGCTGAGAGCTCCCGAAAGCGCCCAAGACCATGGCGTTCTTGTCAAGAGGTGTCCGTGTTCTCTCTCAAGGTAAAACATATTCAGATGCCTGAAGGGACTGAATTATCTGTCCGTATTTTCGTTCCCTTTTTCTTTTTTTCTTTCTTTTTTTGCTATCTCTTTTTTGCACATACTGTCTCTCCTTAGCTCAAGCTGCAAAGAGGAACCTGTACTGGCCGAGACCTGGGGAACTCGTTGTTGGGCAGCAAAGTACATATATATCCATCATATTATACACATGCGACTGCGTCCTTCAATCTCACTCAGCAGTCAAGTAACTCATCGAATCCTCAGACCGTCTTTCGCGAAGATGCATGCGTGTGAAGCGCCTGAATGCTCTACTACATCACTATTAGCCCTGTCTCCTATCACTCACGAATGGGGAAGGCACCTGCGCTCTCTCTCCCCCCTCACCTTATCACCTCCTGCTCCCTCTACTTGCTGCCCCTCACGTCCATTCAGGCCAAGTCCCCAAGCCCCACCCCACATCTTCCCGCGCTTTCCCTTCCAGGCGCCACTAAATTCAGTCGTGCTCTGCACCTGCAACTTCCCCCATCTAAAAAATCCCCCCACTATCCATCAATGACGTCCTAGGCCTGGACAAGGTGAATACTGGAAAGGGAATGAGACAGAGTGAGAGAAGACGAACAGAACTTAGGACGGGATAGGCACAGAAGGCAATAACGAGCCGGCCCCGCCATCCCATTCATCACCTTGACATTTTGCACCCAACCTTTCTTTTTGTACCTTGCTGACCTGGTGCGACCGTGTTCCCTGGCTCTCTGCCCAACTCATTAACATCCGATCACGACTCTCTCTCCCTCTGAGCCTTCTGGGCAACCACTGCCATCCATTTTCTGCTTCTGTCTTGATTTTCTTCCTGGTTTGCTTCTCTAGACCTTAAGTCGGCACCGACTACCCGGACGTTGGAATACCATCTCTGAAATATCCATTACATGCTAAGAGACCGCCGAGCTGTCTATTTGTTAACTAACGCATCGCAAACATCTCGTCCCATCGTATCGGATCCTATCCCATCGCAACACGGCGCAGCACGTCTGATACATCTTAGAAGTCGACTCGCGTGCTGCTGACTGGACGCGCCTTGCTTCATTAGTACACCTATTTGGCAACTCCGGATATCCGGTCGCCACGCTCTTCATTGCCATTGCTCTCGTCCTCATCACCATCCCGCGGGGTGTCGCATTGCTCTCTTACCAAATCTCTCTGTCATCTTAATCACCCCCGTCCTCCCGATATCTTGCGCGACCCCGCTGTTGTTCCTGCGCGTCGATTTTATCAATCCGACTCATCTCAGTCGCCCCTCTCTGCGAGTTGACTGACGTACCACGAACCACCCGACCGTGAAAATCCCGCGATACCGACCCGACGAAGAGGTTGCTCAGCATTAACCACAAGCTCACCATACCAAAAAAAAAAAACTCGAACGAAGACGATACATTGAAGAAACCACGTAAAGGCGCCTCTCATTGTTGCGCTGCAATTGGTTGCCAAAGCTTAAGCCGCCTATTGTAGACAAAACGTCGCCAGTTGAAGACCACCGACGACACGCTCTGCCAGCTTCTCTACCTGTCCATCTGGACCAGGAAACTGGATCTGGACCTGGATTGGGATTGCACAGCTCGGGCTCTGCCCATTACTTTATCCTACGCTCTTCGTGCCGAACGCCATACATTCTTATCGCCTTCGTCATCATCTCTTCTGGTGTTATCTAACTGATATACTCGTGGATCCATCATGAACGGCACTCAACAGGTTCAAGAGCCAGTTGCGCAACAGCCTCTGCAGCCCGCAACTGCCAACGCCAATGCCAACAACAATGCGAATGGCAACTCGACAGCGGGCAAGAAGCGCAAGAAGGAGGGCTTGAAGCCTATCATTACAACCGAGACTCCTCCGTAAGTCTGATGAACGATTTCTATTATGTTCTGATTTCCATGCTCCCGTATCACTCTCTTTTGGGCGGGGGATTTTGATATTTTTCCCATTGCCTCAAATCTGAATGACATTTTGCTCCTCGAATTTCATTTCCCAAGCCATTATTATCACCCTCACGAATTATTACCCCTCTGTCCTGTTTAAACCCGGCATGCCCCGATGCCGCACGTCCTCCCCTGTGCACTGTGGCGGAGTGGAGGACGGGGGTAATGGTAGAAGGGCGGTTGTTTCCATGCAAACCAGTCCAGTTTTGGGTTATTGAGCCTGGCAAGTCCCAGTCCAATCCAGTCAGATCAGTTCAGTTCGGCCCCATCAGTTCAGTCTAGTTCGATTCGGCACAGCAGCAGCAGCAACACAAGAAGCAAAAGCCAGTCTGTGCCTAGGACCGCGCCGCGCAGATTGTCTCACTCCCGGGCATTTGGGAACCATGCAAAAGAGAATGGCCAACTTGAAAGACACGAACGGCAGCAGAAAAACACAGGAGCAGAAAGAAAAGAGGGACGGACAGCATTCGGAATCCAGCGGGTCACATACCCGACGGGAGCGGTCATTGGATTGGGCGCATCTCCTGCCGTTGCACAGGACAGTCATTGGAGGAGAGGGACTGTCGTTTGGCGCGCGAAACAACAACCGGAGAGGGACTGCACAGGGTGGTAGACGACGGTTCATCCACATGTATTACGGGTCGCCAGCTGTCACCGCCACCGTAGCTTCTGCCAGGGCTGATGATGCGCAGCACTGGTGAGGTGCATGTTGTTGATGTGGCCTGCGCCGCACCGCGCTCCGCCTGTGCGATGGATCACCAAGACTGATGACCGACAGGAAAAAGAGGGCTGGGGTAAGAGGGGGGAAATGACGAGGTTGCGCTTGTTGAGCACGCTGACTGAAGCATAATCGCGTGGTCTCTCGTTCGCACATGAACCAGCAAACTGAACTGGACTGGACTGGACTGGACTGACTACTGGATTGGACTATACGGAGCTGGAGCGTCTAATAAGTCGCATTGGGTGGGAGGTTTTACTCCTCTGAGCACTAACAACCATGGGCTGGTTGCATACAACCCTCCTTCTTTGGGGGTCGTGGCTTACCGTACCTTATGTTCTTTAGGGTGCTGCTGCTGGTAGGGCAGATTGCGGATATATGGCAGTCAGTGACAATGGAGCCGGGAAAGCTGGCTGGTGCGAGTGCACACCGTCACTGTCTCCCCCCTCCACTGTCGCTGATCTGACCAGACCAGACCAGACCCTGGCCAAGGTGGCCCAGACTTTCCTCCGCCAGAACCACTCACTCTCTTTCTTCCCCATTCTTGTTCTCCTCGCACATCACTGACCCCTCCCGCGCTACTTGCCCTGCTTTGCTTGCTACCTTACCTACCTTACCCCCCCAAACTACCTCAAGTTTTTGACCTGGCCCTTAGCCTGCACGTCTGGCTGACTGTTTCCCGCGCCTCGCCTCGTCTCGCCCGCTTCTCTCTCTCTCTCTTCCACTTCCACGTCCCATCCTCGCCCCCCTCCATTCCCCTCCCATTCCTACCTTTACCCACCCCAGTCGGTCACGACTAGACTTGCCGCTGTCACTACTTTCCCATGTTGTGAGCGGCGCCAGTTTCGTACTGGATCCGCCCTCTTTTTTTGATATTTTCCCCTTCATCTTGTTTTGATTGTCCACTCTTCGCTCGGTCCTCCGCCTTCCCGTCCTTTTATCCCTCCCCTTTGACCACAGGATTGTTTGCGCTGGATGCGCAATGTTGCAAATATGAGTTTTCTCAAGACAAGGTCTCTACCGCCTTTGCTCCCTTCTCAAGTTGTTGAATTCCGTGGTTGAGCTTCTGCTGGCGCCGCGAAATCTTCACACCCAACCTAACCAGCTGCTATTCTCCACCCCCGCTATCCCAACCACACTTGATGACGCCTTTTTTGCGCCGCGCTGTCTCTGTCTGCATGCTTCGATACCATCGGAATACGAGCTAACATTCTGTTTCCTTTTTTTCGTAGAACCCATCAATTGTCTGCTGCTATGCAGAACTCGCCAACCTCGACGTCCTCCGGCGACGACCCCGCCGAGAACACTGCCGACGAGGAAGATTCCGAAGATTACTGCAAGGGCGGCTATCACCCCGTCCAGATTGGCGAAAAGTTCAAGGACGGAAAGTACACCGTTGTGCGCAAGCTAGGCTGGGGTCATTTCTCCACCGTATGGCTTTCTAGGGACAATAACTCGGGCAAGCACGTCGCCTTAAAGGTCGTCCGCTCCGCCGCGCACTACACCGAAACCGCCATTGACGAGATCAAACTGCTCAACAAGATCGTCCAGGCGAAGCCTGACCACCCCGGCCGCAAGCATGTCGTCAGCCTCCTCGACTCCTTCGAACACAAAGGCCCCAACGGCACTCACGTCTGCATGGTTTTCGAGGTCTTGGGCGAGAACTTGTTGGGTCTGATTAAGAAATGGAACCACCGAGGTATTCCAATGCCCTTGGTCAAGCAGATTACCAAACAGGTACTGTTGGGCCTCGACTACCTCCATCGCGAGTGCGGCATCATACACACCGATTTGAAGCCCGAAAACGTCCTCATCGAGATTGGCGACGTCGAACAGATTGTGAAGAAGGTGGTCAAAAGCGAGCCTAGCAGTGATAAGGAGAACAACAGAAATGGCCGAAGAAGGAGGCGGACTCTCATCACAGGCAGCCAGCCGCTGCCTTCGCCCCTCAACGCCAGCTTCAACCATAACAATCTTTTTCCTTCCACGAACTCTCACACGAGCCTCGGCCAAATGCTGCACGAAGGTATGTCTCTCATCGCTACCACCATCTCTCGGCAAACCGCGGGTTGCGCCACCCCCGGCACCCTGGTCATGCCACTCCTCACCGTGCCGCACCTAATGACCGTTTTTGCGAGCATTTGAACTCGGGCTTACTCATTCTCTTCTCTGCAGGCAAAGGATCCAAGGAGCCTTCTCCCAAGCGCGATGCTGATCAACAGGCGCGTGAAAAGACAGCGTGAGCTTAACCCACCTTGCAAATTGTCGATGACTCGATTTGATACTGACCGCCTTTTCTATGCGCAGCGATCTCCTCACCAAAGAAGTTTCGGGTATTTCTCTTGATAAGTCGAGCAGCTCGCCATCGTCCGGAGAGAAGCGCAAGGCTGAAGACGCACACGCCTTCGACATTATTAGCGTTAAGATTGCAGACCTGGGCAACGCCTGCTGGGTCAACCATCATTTTACCAACGATATCCAGACGCGACAGTATAGATCACCTGAGGTTATTCTCGGTGCGAAATGGGGTGCGAGCACCGACGTGTGGAGTATGGCGGCGATGGTTAGTTCTCTCGCAAAGTTGCGCCTCTACCGAGGTATACATGGACGCTAACTGGCGCACACAGGTTTTTGAACTGATTACTGGTGATTATTTGTTCGACCCTCAATCGGGAACCAAATATGGCAAGGACGACGACCACATCGCACAGATAATTGAGCTGCTTGGACCATTCCCCAAGTCGCTTTGTCTTTCTGGCAAGTGGTCTCAAGAAATATTCAACCGCAAAGGAGAACTGCGCAACATCCATCGCTTGCGACACTGGGCTTTGCCAGATGTTCTCCGCGAGAAGTATCATTTCAAGGAGGATGAGGCGAAGCGTATCGCGGATTTCCTGACCCCTATGCTTGAACTTGTTCCCGAGAAGCGTGCCAATGCTGGTGGCATGGCGGGACACGTGTGGCTGGACGACACCCCCGGCATGAAGGGTGTCCGTATTAACGGAATTGACGTAGGCAGTCGGGGTGAGGGCATTGATGGTTGGGCGACTGAGGTGCGGAAACGGTAGGGGGACGTAATGAAGACCGCTTTACAGCTCGGGGGCCACTAAAGATATCAGCCCTAATTCAAATGAACGGTCACGGCCCCCATTCCCCTTGCTCGGTTCTTCAGCGCCTTGTCCCTCGTACTGGATATTGATTTAACCTTGACCATCTTGCACATTCCTTGCTGCAGGGAGGGTGCATGGAGTTTTGTTCTTTATGCCAGCGCCGAAGATGGATGGACAAAATCTAACACGCACACAAACACAAACACACACAACACACACACATACAAGCACAACACACAAACTTCATAAACGACATTACACTACTACAATATTGTCGCCGCCAAACGAATGCAGATGATGAAGTGAGGAAGGAAGAAAGGGGGCGGAAAGTTGCCCTCTTGACGGGAATGTATGGACAAACCAACCAGATTCCTGATACGAAGGATTAGATAGAAATGTTGTTTTTTGTTTATTTTATTTTTATTAACGAAGACGGTCGAGCACGGCATTCGTCTTGCATGCATGGAAGAGCGAGGGGTGGTGTCACGAGTTGATGACAGACAGCATTGGAGTAGCTCAAGGGATTCGATGACTTCTTGCGGGCAGTCGCGGGATGATCTTGTCTGCCTGCAGTCCTGTAGGGCCTATGGATCCGTTGGAACCAAGAGAGAGTTGGACGATGGTATCTGACGTAGCTGCGCCGTGCTGAAGCTTTTGGGAGTGAGATAGATACATTATGACTGAGCACAATGAGGCCGAACGAGTTCCCTCCCCCTTTTCCCGAAGTCGTGATTTACTTGGCTGGCATCTCGAGACGCGGTTAGATTGGTTCCTGTTGTCCTAATCTACCCCCTCTCCCCCCCTTGGGATCTGGATGCCATCTAGGTCTCTAGATACGCAAGCTCCCTCCATGGCCCCCTTTTCGAAGAATGTTTGATGCCCCGCGCATGTCCCCTTGAAGACCTCAAAGACAGGCGGTGGCACAAAAGGACGTGTGTGTGTGTGTGTGTGTGTGTGTGTGTGTGTTTACTAGGCGGACAACCACAGGCAACTCATTCAGGGCATATGGCCGACTTGCAATGTGGTGGTGTTTCAAATAGGCATGATCCATCACTCAAGGCTCTACTGGGGGAAAAGGGGGCCCAGTATATAGGCTGCTTCTCTCAACACTCTTGACTGACAAGCAGGAGTCTAGCCCATGAATTGAAATCCCTGTGGACAAAGAAAAGAAGGGTAATAAGAGGAAAAAAAATATGTCTTTTGGGCTCTCTATCTGCCAACTGTTCCAGTCTACCTGGCGATCTTGAGCCTCGTTTTCGTTTTAATTGAAAATATCGCATGCTTCCTAGGACATCCCTTTCCATCCTTGTCACACCTACCACGACGAACCAGAACGCCATTGATGCTCGAATAATACAAGCTGCCAAGTCTGTATCTCCATAACATTGATACAGAATAATAAAGAAAGCACTGGAGCTCTGCTTTGCCCATCTGCTGTTTGCCAGGCTCGACCGAGTCGTATTGCAATATCAGCCAGCGCAACCCCCATACCACAGCAACAAAGCGTGCTCAGAAGCTTGGACAAAGCCGTTTACCGCTTCTTGCCCTTCTGGGTGATCTTTCGGAACGCCTCCAAACCACCCGCACCAATGGGGCGATGATCCGGTGCGCGAGACACGTCGTATGTACTCTTAGGCGCAATGGTGTAGCTGGACGGCAGACCTCCAGGACGAGCACGGTTCGAGTTGATAACAGGCGCAAGCATGGCCTCACGCTCCAGTTCCTTAACAGTCTGTGAGGGTCGTTGGGTAAGAGTAAACTGCGAACTACCAGCTTGGCGCTGTGACATTTTGAGAGCCCTGGTAAAAGAAAAAAGTATTAGTGACACGAAACCAACCAAAAGCTGGGCGGGGAATAGTACTCATAATCGAACTCGCGTGTTTCAATGTGCCGCTTCTTGTAATCATCCGTTCGTTTGAGAATGGGTCGACTCCAGTCACCCAAGAGACGCTCGGCCATGCGTTTGATACCAGGCTCGGGCTTCTTAGAGCGAGTGTAGAAGTAGACAACCTTACCAATACCGCTGCTAAGTAGAGCCTCCTTCTCGATAGGTAGCCGGATAAGGGCCTGGAAAATCTCCCTCTGAATGTTGTACGCAGGCAGACTGCCGTCATTAAGAGGCTCCAGAAAGAACTTGACATGTTGGAGGAAGTTGGTGTCAGGGTCTAGAATAGCGTGTTGGACGTTGTTGCGGTTCAGCAGGTCCTTGACCTGGGGGAGAAGCTTGAGTTTGTGAACAGCAGGTTGACCTGCTTCGCGCGCAGAATTATCAGCCTCGCAAGCCCTCTCCATGGCGACCTTCAGGTCGGCGATCTGCTCGTCAATTTCGTCTTCCAAATCCTGTTCCCATGTCATTAGTGAGGATGCACACGGCTTTGCCCGGAAGAGGATGTAACCCACAATTTCGTCCTTCTTCTTCTTCCGCTTGGTTGGTCCCTTCATTGCGGCATCCAGCGCCCTATCAATCGCCCGGCGCCTACGCTCCTCAGGAGACAGATGAGACTCGTCCTCGATCTCAGGCGATGCTGCTTTCGGTCGCGGCTTCCTCTCACCATCGGCAGCGGCGCGTCTCGACTTCCGAGAAGGCCTTCCCACGTCGCCATCAGCCTCGCCAGACACCTCATCATCGCGCGACCTCTTCTTGTCTCGTCGTCCCTCCTTCGGTTTCCTTGGCTTATCTCCATCGGCCACCTTTCGCTTTCCCGCCTTGAGCGTCTTGGCAACATCTTCGTCGACGGTTATGGGGCGATCCTCAATGTTGGCTGTCGCCGGGTCGTAGTCCTCAAACTGGTCCTCATCAATTTCAGAGAGCTGATCCGATTCCTGATCAGACAGTTCTTCAGCAGTAGCACCACCCGCGCCCTCGCGGGGTTCTTCATTATCGGCGTGGTCATCACGATCGATGGCCGCAGATGGCGAGTCGGGAAGCGATTCGAGATCGGACATTTTGGTGACGGCGGCGAATTCGCGTTCTCCAACAAGGGAGAGATACGGTACGAAGCTGGCGAGCCGTACAAATATAAGCGATCGAAGCGGTCAAAGCGTTCGCAATGCGTTGAAGCAATCTCTAACTCCTTTGATGACTGATTTGTAGGATCGAAAGTGACTGCTGTGAGGTTTCTCTCGTTCAGCCTTTGATTTTCAGTTGGTCCAAGCTTAGAAGGCGACCGGACAGCAACAATTCTCAGCCTCCTTGGCCCCCCCACTAGCCACAGAAGTACGTACCGGGGGCCATGGGGAACCAGGCCATCGGGAGGTTCCGTTGCCTGAGGCATGTTTGTTTACTTTGAAATGTGAGTGCTGTCTGTCCATTGAAAACAACTGCTCAGAAGCTTGCTTCCTGTTGGCTGTCACTCCGGCCGATCAATCGTGACGAATTGTCTTTCCCTCCTTGTCCACACCCGTCGCTTTCCTTCCTTCCTTCCTTTTTTACCTCTTCACTTCGTATTCTTTTGTTTTTGAATAACATAATTGTGTATGCAAGAGCTCATTCGACATGGATCGCAGGACATTCGAAGGTCCCATGGAATGGGAATACCAAGATCGTGGCCCTCTGGATGCAACCAGTCCATTTTCTCATGTCGCAAAAGGCAACAATCAAAACAGTAAGCCCGCTTCTGCCCTATCTATACCCTAATGCGTGGAATCGATTAACCTCCAGCTTTTTCGACCGAACACTGGCTAATGCAATTTTTGCTTCTCCTCTTGTAGTCTTCAAATCCCCAAGCAAATTTGCAAGCTCCAAGCCAAATTTGTTCGCCAGTAGCCCCTCCAAACCAAACCCTTTCGCGAACAGCCCCTCCAAGCCTCTCCCCGCCCTCCCGCCGCAGACATCTCTCTTCTCTCCGAGGATTCAGAGCAGCAACACGGCACCGCCTTTTCGCAATCCCGCATTTACCACGCCACGCAAGCCCTTCGATGAGTCGGCCTTTTCGGAAGCCTCCGGCGCAGAAACTAGCCCCGCCTTGACGGAAAACTCGGAGTTTCCTGACGATACCCCAGATATCGACCGATTTGGAGATGCGAATATGGGCACTATGACGCCATCCAAGGTTGACAAAAGCTATCGCTACGGCAAAGTTGGACTGCTGTCATCAAAACGTCATGCGCCAGGCAAAGGCGAGATTCCGAGAGGGACAAGAGACTACCCTGCCATAAGGAAGCGGAAGCGACACAACCTGGATCGGGATGTTGGCGGAAGTGTACGATGGCACGGCTCGCAGGACTGGGATTCCGAATACAATTCAGATGATGACGCCCCTCGCCAGACGTCAGCTAAGCGTAACGGGAGCAAAAAGAGGGCAGGTCGCAGCTGGATCGGCAATCTGTTCCACACCCTCGAAGAACATCCCAACGCCCCGGAGAACCTTTATCGCTGGATACAGCTGCTAGTCAACTGCATTCTTGTCTCAGCATTCGTGTTCTTCTGCTGGTCCATCCTAGACACAATTCGAGGTGACATCAGAAACGCCAACGAAGTGGCTCGTCAGGAAATTGAGAGCAGGATGGCAGAGTGTCGCTCGGAATATCAGCTCAACGAATGTGCCAAGAAGGACAGGCCAGCGCTGAAGGCCATGTGCGACGAGTGGTACGAGTGCATGATCCAGGATCCCTCGGCCATCATGCGTGTAAGAGTTACGGTCAAGCAAATCGCAGAAATTCTGAACGAATTTGCCGGCGCAATGCAGGTCAAGGCCTGGGTATGCAACCTCCCAACTGAATTGACTTTTTTTCTTAAAACATTTTTTCTGACACTTTTCCAGGTGTTCTTTTTCGGCATTCTTCTCTTATGTATCGTCGCCAACAATCTCACGCTTGGTCGTCTAGCAAGTACGGCCAGCGCGGATCGGGCCGCGTCAACGCATCGGGCGGCTTCAGGGGTCGCACCGGAGCCGTCAGTCATCCCCGAGCCGTCGCATGCGTACATGTGGGTTCCAGTTCAGACACCATCACACCGCCGGCATCTTAGATACGACAGCGACGCCACAGATACGGATGGCGCATCACCGCCAAAGCTTAAAACGATCATGCCGCCCCGAACGCCTTCAGGACGACGCAGCCCAAGCAAGGGTGACCGGGACCGTCTACGGAGCCCAACCAAGTACGGGCTCAGTCCAGTCAAGGGGCATTAATAATTTCAACCTTGCATACCTTTTCTTTTGGTTGGTGGTAAGGTACGGGGAGAGGATTCGGTGGTTCACAATGCATAGGGCTGGAGTTTGGAGGATTATTCTGTATAGTGTAATCAGGGATAAAGAGTCTTTCTGTCGGTGCGGCGTCATGTGGAGTACACGGGCTTAGGCCTGTCAGAGCTTGTACTTGTCAAGTGTATCAGGAGTGATATGTGAGAAGTCGCAGGCCACGTTGCTGGCCAATATTCTATACGCGCACTTGGCCATTGCTGGCGAACGTACAAGTGCATTTGGCAATGGGTTCATATCTTGGGTCGAGGAAGCGCCTCCTCACAAGTCCTTCCAATGAAGACGGACCAGTGTCAGATCGTAGCTTGCTGCGGAATCCGTGTTCTTCTGGCATTGAAACCAGTCTCAACTCTCGTGGTACCCTATTGCGAGGATTGGCTTAGTAATATCCTAGCTGGACCTTAGCGTGTCTTGCGGCTTGCTTCGCTCCACTGCATGACGTCAGTCTTTTCTCACTTGTGCACGGTGTACTCGGCTCTCGCCCTTAGCTTCGCCCCCGCTCGCTTTGAACGGGGGAGACCTGAAAGAATGCGTTCGTCCTTCAAAGGGGGGCCCCCTCAGGCTGGTGATGACAATGAGAAGGCTGGGCCGAACAAGGGATCCACACCGTTCCCTCCACTGGCATTTGAATGTGAGGAGAAACCCCCTAGGTATTTGAATCAAAATAGCAAGCAGCACGCATTATTTCCTGTAGGGACGCAGCTCAGCCGATGCGACGGAGTGCAGTCCGCCACTCAGCGCGCTGCTGAGCTCAAAACTGTTGGGGTGTATAACCACAAGGACAGCGACAGGCGCCTAGCAGCTGTCGACCCTGCATCACAGTAAGACAATGCTGGGGCATGTTTGGAGATTAACGCCCAAGTGGACTGACTTGCTTGGAACTTGGGGCATGAGATAGGCCGAGGGCGACCTGGGATGCTCGTTCTGCAGAGCAACGTTCAAAGGAGCTTTCAGCACAAAGCTGCAAACTTAATTCCCCATAGTAGGAAACACGCAAGGCGACGTCGCGTTGCTAACCTCCTAGCAGGAAGACGGTCGCGTTCGTTCCAGGCCATCCAACACCATACGGACGACAAGGAAATCCCTGCACCCGGTAGAGTTTCGTAATGCGCCTATGTGTCCGGTGCTCATACATAGATCATACCTGTTATGTAGATGAAAAGGCGTCAAAACTGCAAAGGAGAGACCCCCAGAGAAAATTAAGCAGGCAGGGGATACGGACGGCGACACGGATTAGTAAAACGTAGGGGGTTGGGGATTCGGGCGCATATGGAGTTCTGCCTTTCTGCCTTGCTCACCTCCCAGGTATTGAGCTCGATATAATGCTGGTCCTCTGACTTCCTGTCGCAGTCCTCTTCCAAGAGCTAGCTGGCTGGCACTTCAGGTACCTGACGATGCCGATAGGACGGATGGCCTAGGTTGGGTGAGCGCCGCATTGACCGGAGTGAGAGCAAGTGCCGGCAAAGATGCCGCTAGTAAGAAACGGACCAAAGCTGTAAAAGATGAGAGACATGAATTTGCGACGATGATGCGTCTTGTCGCGATGCGCACCCAGAGAGAGAATCTTGCCATGCGCCGCTACCAGCCCCCAAGGCCCGCCGAGGTACCGACAGTAACTCGTCCTTGGCGTTGTGGGAGGAGCTGAGATGCATACGTACAAAATTGTGACCTAGGATCTGCTAGCGCTCAAGTGCGCGTTCGATGTAGAGAAGATGTAGACAGGCAGGGCAGGAGACAGGGAAGATGGACACAATTCACCTCAGACTGACGACTAAGTCTTGCCTTCCTTACCTCAAATGGGTACCTTACGTTCCTCCAGCTCAGGTACAATCGATACCTTTTCTCAGGCGACAGCAGCTTTCGCAAGTCGCACCTCCACTCCACATCACTGACATATCAACGCAGGATGAGGTAGGCGCGCCACACCCACACAAACACCCACACAAACACCCACACACACACACACAGCTAGCTCTCTTTCAGCGCTGTGCAAAGCTCTTGCCTTGCTCTTACCTTGCTCAACCTCCAATCTCTCCCTCTCTCTATCTTACTTGCCTGCCTCACCAACCCAGGCACACGTAGGAAGGGGGGAAAGAAAGAAAAAGTTTCACCTTCTCCGCAACCTCAGGAGCTGGACCTATCTGACCTAGACCTTGCACAGCAAGAAAGAAGCTCTAGGTTCTGGGTAAGGAACTGCCCTGCACAGCTACAGCTTCTTGCTCTTCAAGAGAGTCTGTGCCTCGAGCCGCCTGTGTCCCATTGACTGGACCCGATCAGGCCGCCGCACCATCATCCCCTTCCCGCCTTTTCCACTACTTTCCTCTCCATCACGAGCTGCCCTCTTTTTTTTTTTTCCTCTCTATTTTCAATCCTCTTCTCTCCTTCCCGCCCCACGTTCTCGTCGAACCTCAACCCCACACCAGTATCTGCTATATACCAGGCGGACGCATGCTTCAGTCTTTCGAGCATCAAGAGCAGGAGGGGCAGTAGTCGCTTCAACCTCCTTGTCTTTCAGGACCTCCCACCCGCCTTCCCGCGACCAACGAGACAACGCCCTTAGCGGTTAGCAGCGATAAGGAAAAGGAATTAAATATCTGGCCACGGCCAACAGCGATCTTCGAATTGGCCGTGCAATCGACGCCTTCTTCGCTATCGAGTACGCCGCCCTTGGCCGTCCCGAGTTCATTCATCGAGCGCTGCATGCTGCCAGCCCTTTAGCTTCATTAAGCTATCTAGACGTCGAACGCAGTTGTGCAATACTGCGCCAAGTCCGTTTCCAGAGTTTAAATCTTCTTCGACCAGATACATGCCGTCCAGCGCCCGTCTTTGACCGGCCTCATTATGACAATTCGCACACAAAGCCTTCAAGGTCGGGTTTGCTTTGTGGACTCGACTCGAGGCTATCCTCAGTCAACCTGAAGCGCGCAAGTACTGCCGATATGGAGGAGGCATCCGGCAGCCTGTCGCAGGCTCAGCCCGGCACCGGCGCTGCCTCCTCCGCGGGGGCATCATCTGCCCCCGCTCCTGCACCTACTCCGACACCGTCAGCCCCCTCGGCCCCAACACCGGCAGGTAGCTCTGCATCTGGACAGTTGTCTAAGAGGAGGAGAGGTTTGGGTGTGGTTACGCCCAATGCCTGCACCGAATGTCGCAAAAAGCGCGCCAAGGTAGGTGCTGCCATATTTCCTTCCCCCGCAAGGACCGCCTTCCCATGTTCTCCGTGTTCTGTTGCCTGACGTGTTTGCTACTAGTGCGACGGTCAAAAGCCATGCGGTCGCTGCAAGGCCCAGAAGGATGTAGAGTGTGTCTACGAGATTCCAGTCCGCCAGTCAAAAGAGCATCTTCGATCAGAGATCGAGCAGCTGCGCCAACGCCAGCGATCCAGCGACCAAGTCATCGCTGCTCTTGTGCGGTCCGATATATGGGAAGACGTGCTTCAGCGGTTACGCAATGGACAATCTCTTGAATCTGTCTCGGAGTGGCTAGGTGGCACTCTCCCGTCTGGCGGTGGCTCGAGACCATCCTTTAGCCGTCCAGGCGAGGCATCCGCCGACACGGGCGCTGGCCTAGGTAACCGCCATGGGTTCGCCGGATCGACGCCGGCGCCAATTAGAACGAGAAACCTTGGGGGGCCCGGATCGGTGACCATGAGTCCCATTACGGGCCAGTCTGGGTTACGGCAGGACTTGGACCCTAATAGCCCATGGCACCTCTCGTCGCATAGCCAAAGCACGAGGAGCAACTCTCATCCTGACTTGATGAACTGGAGCGCAGACACGAACAGGCCGCCTCAAGGACCTATTGACACATGGCCCGAGACTGCCAGCAACACGGAAACTTCTGAAGCTGGCTCCAAATACCAGGGACTCGACCAGGTACTCGCGCCGCTAGATCTCCCCGATATGAAACTTCCGCCCGAAAATTGGACAAATATAACCGAGGATGGCTCGCTCGTGCAACATTTGCTGGCACTGTACTTCTGCTGGGAGTATCCGACTTTTGCATCGTTAAGCAAAGAGCATTTCCTCCGAGATTTCCAGAATGGCATCCACCGATACTGCTCACCGATCCTAGTTAATGCCCTCTTGGCCCTGGGATGCCGCTTCTCGAGCAAGTCAAGCACGCGTGCTAACCCAAACGATCCGTACAGCTCGGGCGATCACTTTTTTAAGGAGGCTCAGCGGCTATTCTACCTCGAAGACGACCACCACAAACTGACAACCATTCAAGCCTTGGGAATCATGTCGATTCGTGAGGCTAGCTGTGGACGAGACTCGGAAAGTTGGTACTACGCGGGCCAGAGCATCCGTCTTGCCATTGAGATGGGACTGCATCAGCTGCAGGACGAGGGGGACGATGATGAGTTTGCGGTCCAAGCCGCCACTTTCTGGGGCGCCTTCGCCCTTGATCAGTAAGACCTGGAAAATATGTTGCCGAACCATAACTAACAACCTCAGCGCCTGGTCTCTGGCGACCGGATCTCTCCCTCAATGTTCGTGTTTTCCGCAACTACCGCCGAAGCCCGCCATAATCGATGATATCGAAGCATCATTATGGATTCCTTATACAGACGATGGTAAGACATGGGTCATTGGTACAAAATCATATACTTTTTGAGATCGTTTGGTATACTAACACATTCAGGCGCCCCTTTACAGCGCTCGGCTGAGCAACCATCTAACGTTCGGTCCGTCTACAAATGCTTCTGCGAACTGAGCGAGCTTGTACATCAAAGTCTATATGTGCTTCATTCGCCAGGAAGGCCCTTGACTAGTCGCGACCTCCTTAACATTTATACACAATACCTAAACTGGTATGATAGAATACCCGAGGTATTGAGGCTGGGGCACAATTTCACTCCCGCTGTGCTCTTTGCGCAGTAAGTCATCAATTCCACGAAGCCTTACAGGCAAACCATCGCTGACAAACCCGATTAAAGCATGTATTACCATTTCGCGATCTTGCTTCTTTTCCGACCGCTCATCAAACTAAGGATCATTGGCTCCAAGTTGCTGCCCAGAGATGTATGTGGACAGGCGGCAGACGCTATTCAGGGCCTCCTCCGCTCGTATTCGCTGTTATACACTCTGCGGCGGACACCGTCGTTTGTCCCCTACTTTGTTCTCACGTCTGCGATTATGCATTTGGCGATTGGCGCATCCTCTTCGCCATCGCAGAGGGGCTTCGAAGGGTCGGCTCAGCCAACCGCAGACACACCCACAGGAACCTCGCAGCCCCCTCGTGTTGTTGAGGCTATCAAACAGGGTATTAGAGATTTGGAAGAGATGGCACCGTGCCATCATTTTGCAGAACAAGCACTTAACATTCTTCGATATCTTGCGAACAAGTGGGGCATGGAGGTCGAGATGGGTCAAACACCAAGGTCGGACGCTGAATATGCGCACCTTGTCAGGCCGTACACAAGCAGCCTCAACTTTTTCGCGCCTAACGTTATCGAAGACGACTTCATATGCGTGTGGGGAGGCGGCGGTGATGAGAGTGGAGCATCGAAGGCGGCGATGCCATCCGGGGGCCAGGGAGGTGAACCGGTTTCGCGGGCGGCCAGAGTGATGGAAAACCCTTTGTTCTGGCCATTTCCGATGCAGGGGCGGCCTATGCTTCCCACAGGGCGCGAGCTCGAGGAGGCCGGTTTCGAAAGAATCTTCTAATGATGCTCCTCGCATTCGACCCGGCGCGATGAGCAAGCTACCTGAACGACCTACTTACAACCAGCGATGCATGTATATTTCCAAGCATTTGCTCTCCGTGCTTGTGGGATTCGGGAGTCAAACGGCGTGGCGGGGGCGTGGCGGGATTTCGCCTGCAACGGAGTTTGGCCTTGGGCGAGGCATGTCTTTTTTTGATACCCTACCTCTTTCCGTGGAAACAAAAGGCAATCTCTTGTCATTCGAGACGGACGGTTTTCCTATCCAGCATCGTTCTGTTGTCTCGGATAGTAGCTGTGTCAGGACATGGCGTGTCGGCGTAGGGTGAGAATGAGAGGTTGCAGAAGTAAAAGTTCAAATTCTGAGATAGGCGTCGCATTTCTGTGAGCATATTACATGCTTTTGCCCGGTGTTATGCGACAGAGATAATGAGCGGTATTCAATGGGTTAGTGAGTGACACTACGTCAATAGCTTGGGTCTACATGTAGTGAACTGCTCTGTTTGATTTACTGAAGCACTATTGAGCCTCCGTCCTGTTGGGAAGTGCCGGTCAAGTAATTCTTACCACTAAAAACGGGTGCGTGCCTGACAAAGTGTTGAAGTAATGCGCTTCCAAGTCTTGCAACCCCAGGGATCAACCATACCGAGGCTTGTAACGTAATTTCATTGGCCCAATGCATCGGAGAGGCGGGGGATGATGTCCTTATGCCGCGCCTCATGCTAATACAGTCTACCAAGTCTACCGGCTTATGACGGGCAACCAGCCTCGGCTCAAGGTTGGTGGACTTCGGCCAGTAATTAGATTAGCAGCCGCCAAATACAGCGCATCCTATCCGCGTCGCGATGCGCCGCGTGAAGTACCTTTTTTTTCAAGCTGTCACCTGTCCCCTCCCAGTCAACCAAACCACCTTACCCCGAACTCTCCTCTCAATAGAGCAGTAGCTTAATACCTAATTTGCGCCTCTTCATCGACAACGCCATTTCGATTCTTCCCATTCCCTTGCATCGTCATCTTGACTTCATCTCACCTTTATCCGACGTCTACCGTCAGTTTTTTTTTCTCTCTCTCTCTCTCACACACACACACTCTCACTCTCTTTGCTTCTCATCTCTTACGCAGCCACCCCCATTCTCTAATGCGGTAATCGCGATGTCGACTTCAGCCGACGTTCCCAACAAAACACGGCGCTCGCACCAGACGTCCACCATTCGTGCCGTGCTGTCATTACCGCCGCACTGGCTTCAGATGTACGATGAATTCATCACCAAAAATGCGAGCCAGGTTTCGCAGATAGAGTCAGCGCTCCGATCACTCACCTACATCATCCCTGGTAATGCCTGCCCCTCCGTAACCCGGCATCATCGTGTCCATTCTAACTGTTTCGTCGCAGGCCGGTTCCGTGACGCCGAAATTGCATCCGAGACTGTACATTCAAGCGTACAACTTCTCTCGCTTTACCATGATACCCTACTTATGCGCGCCATATCGCGCATTCCGTTGGCGCGATTGCCATCCCCTCATAGTCGATACACCAAGTACTGGACTCAACACAGCCCGATGTACCGTCGAATTGCAATGCTCTTGCAGATGGTCACCTATACACAACTGTTATGCGAGATGGCAGCCAAAAGACGAGGCGGCGAACGAAGTCGGTGGCGCATCATTGTGCTATTGGAGGCTATCAAGGCTCTATGTCGTCTATTGCTGCTCCGCGTGACTCGCGCGCGACCCCTAGTCACACCCGTCCTACCTGAGCGTGAACCTATTCCGGAGGAGCCAGAAGCTGAGGATGATAGTGGTTTAAAGGAGCTAATGGGCGAGTCTGCCAATGGCCATGCCACAGAAGCAAGTGACGATAAACCCAAACCCCACGAAAAGGATTGGACAATGCCAAGGACCGGTATGAGCCTGCCTTCCCTACCGAACGCAGGCGATATCAGTGGCTACCTTTTGAGCAAGGTTTTGACGGCAGACGATGTTAAACCGGCGGCCAAACTACTGAATCAGCTTCAGGGAAGTGCGCAGGCAGCTGAAGTGCTTCATATTCTTGCGCCCCTGGTATACGCCATTGCTCTTTCACGAAGCAAGAACAAAAAGTCCTGGACACCATGGCTCGTTGGCCTAAGTGTCGAATACGCTGCTCGTCAGCTCAGAGACCGAGGCTTCAGAACAACTCCGTTGGAACGCGATGAATGGAGCAAGAGAGGCTGGGCTATGGGTTGGTGGACTATGCGTGGAGCCTTCTATGAGAACATCATGAAGGGCGTCGTTGGGGGCGTAAGGTCAAGGGTACCTGGAATAATCGGCGGTATCCTAGAAGACTACGAGTATCTGTGGGAGAACTATTACTTCAGCACCAGTGCTTGAATACAGTCAGATGCTGGAAATCAAGACCTGGAGGCAGCAGGCTGGCTGACTGGCGAATACCACTGACCTGCAGCCGACAGGATTCATCTTAGCCCCAGGTTTTGGATCATGTTGCCTAAACACATGCTAGACCGCCACAAGCCACAAATGTGATATGCCCTGTACAGGTGGACGGGGGACGGGCGCAAGATTGCTTTTCCCGTACATATCATGCGGCCGACCTAGTGCTTTGTGCAAGCTGAGACATGTTGGCCAAACAAGCGTGCGTCAGTCTTAAGAGCAACTGATGCCAAGTCGCTATGCTATACCCCGACGGGCACTGGGAATCAATCTCGTTGAGGGCTCAGCGTGCGGCTCGTGAATGGTGGCTAGCAGCTAAGCTATTCCTTCTATGACTCTCCGTTCTCCTGCAGATGTGCAGGGCATCCAGGGAGACTCAGATTGGCTTGTAACTTCCGACTGGGCAAAGTCTCCGGGGGGGGTTTCCAGTGCGGTGGTTAGTGGTCAGCAATTTCGTGGCTGAAGCTGAGGTTTTTGAGATGGCGGGGACAAGGAAGATCGCCCGCCATACCACTCGACCTATATGATGCGAGACAATCGCTCTACCGACCACGAAGAAGGGATGTAGCTATGACGCTGTTGGGAGGGGTATCCAAAACTGGTATCTGGTTATGTGTCGTGCACAATTTGCCCAAGCCCAAGGTGACTATGCCGTACAAGATCCGACGTGAGGACGGCCGCTATCGTTATTGCACAGCCAACGGATCAGGGACATCATTGCACGAAAGGCATACTGAGTTGATGGATAGATGGCAGGGATATGTGTTGCGGCTGGCGGTTATTGATATATATCAAGGAAAATAAGTATCCCAGATTAGAGCTTGAGCAATCTCTAGACGAATTGAACTCCCTTACTACATTAACCAAGGTCTTTTCCTTATTGTGTCCTTTCTGGTCATCCCTTGGGTTTCTGCTGAAGACGTGGCTCTCTTGACTGCTTCCCCAACTGGCCTTGGTGCAAGTTTGAGCTAGGAGTCCTCACCCCCCCTCCCCCCCCTTCGCCAGCCGGTTGGTCCACGTTGTGTAGAAGAACCAAAATACAACACACCGCTAATTGACCAGGAGGGTGGCCATGTGCAGGGATCAGATTTCATGCTGATTCGACCTGGAGGTGCGGCACATGGTCGTCGATCGTTTGCCGGATGGCTTACCCGTGGGTGCCGGCTGAAGTATGTTTTCTTTTTCGAGTTCCACGTCGCCAGGGCCAGGATTATACGTGTAATTACTACTACTAGTTCTCGCCATGGCCAATTCGGGCGTCAGTGTAGCAGGCTTCTTGCAAATTCTTCACAAGGAACGGGGCTCATGTCCTGACAAAGATCAGACGTGCGGCGCTGAGTTGCACTCGCCTAGGCTGGGGGCCCTGTGACGTTCGGCTAGGGATGGGAGGGAGTATGATACTGCATTGAGGTGTAAACTAGGAGCCAGATGGCGGGCACTTGCTGGGATTTTTTGGTTTTTCAATCAACAAGCCCGGCTCCATTTGCCTCCTGTCAGCTCGAAAGGGATGCATGTCACCAACTTGGTTTAAGCGCAAGCATCGTTCAGGTCCAGTCTATCGGGTCGTCATCCGTCACATTTCAGTTGTGGTTATGGCTGCGGAGCATAAGCGGCTAATCTGAGAGGGGTGCCGCCTTGGAAGGGGGTGCATTCATTCGTTTGCTCATCAGCTTGAGACCCCAACCAGACAACGCTTGTAAAATAATGAAATATCCTGATACCTTGTCGAAGTTGTATATAATCGACGGCTGCATCGACAACTCGGCCAGGATTGAGTCCCAACACAGACTGTGAGAGCAAGAAACCCACTTGGCCGCAAGTAAACGACCTCTCTTAAGTACGAAAGGAATGCAGAGTACGTATTCGAGTCGGGAAGCGAGGCCAGGGCGGTCACATCAGACCATTTTTCACTGGCCATTCCACTTCTCTTCGACGCGGTTTCCGAGATTTGAATCATCGCAGATCCATTTTCAAGTGGGAATGAGTCCGAAAAGTTGAGAAGAGGGGGTATGGAAAAAGCAAATATCCACATTCGCTCTAAGCCTCAACGAGATATATATGCAGTAAACAACGCCATCCAAAACATCCCTCATTGGCTCGTCTTCCCCGGATCTTGCCCACACTTTTGGACCAGTCGGTAACGGCAACTAATTCGTCTATCGATCGGAGAGTTGTGAGTTAGTGTGTGGATAGTGACGGATAGGGTCTTTGTCGAGAAAAGTAATGGGATATATAGACGATCCCTGAGGAGAAACGTCCCTCCGAACCAATCCTTGCCCTAGCCAGACGAAGCGGGATGGACATGGGTCATTGGTTGATGGACCAGGCAAGACAAGTCTTGCAGGAATCTGCAACTTATCTGCATTGCTCTGTCCTGCGTACACTACGTCCGTACCGGGGGAGGCGTTCCTCCCCAGTAGTGACGAGCATGACAGCACATCAGCAACATAGAGTGGCAGCGGCACGACATCATACGGCAGGGTGGTGTCTCGGTTTCTTTTGAGCATGGAACCCAACTTGGGGGCCACGAGGCCGCGCCTGATCTGGCCTGGTCTGGCCACCTTGTCTCCCAATGGCCCATTGGCATCTGAATCTGCCCTTTTCCTTCCCTTCGTTGGGTACGCATCTGGATGCTGTAGTGGCCGTCGTCTCGATCTCTGCCACTGATTCCGACTCCGATCCCAACCTCGCACCCCTGTTCTGTCAGGACATCCCTTGTCCCGGCCCCCGGCCTCCCCCCCATCACCTTGGGCTCCAGTCCCAAGATTAGCTCCCACAGGCGACCGCAGTTTCGTACGCACGAATACGTACCCGACTCTGTACATACGCTGCGCATCTGCAGAATGGGACTCTACCATTGCCCGGGGCCACTGCTCACCTTGCGAGCCAAACGTACGTAGTATAGTGTGGTTTGGGTAGCAAGAGCGAACGAAGAAGAGGCTAGAGACGGATTGCTCACATTGCTTTTTTCTTCTCGATACTGTAAGACTAGGGCCAGCCACCATGGATTCCCGCTTTGCCCTCTTTTTTTCTGATTCAGGCGAGTAAGGAAGGACAGAAACGCTGACATTTACAACAGCTGCCCTGATGATGCCTATGGATCCCAGATCGCGACTGGCAGGGGGTCGTACAATCTGATCACACACACCCTTTGCTCGTTCACTCCCGCCGCGCTGTTGTCTGAGATCTATCTCTCCGCCCATCTTACATGACAACTCTCCTCCGCCCACGCCTGCCGCCCTCTTGTTTTGTGTTCTCCTTCTATCTGTAGTCACCCGTGTCGAACAGGATAGACTACGCCTTGGAAAGCTTGAAGCTGTTCTCCGGGTACGATACACCAACATCCAGCAGAACCAAGCAGGCCTTCGGTTGTGGCCGACATCTCATCAACGCGCCGGTGCCGGACAACAAGAGGCCCGCGATATGAGCCTGACTATCTCGAATCAATTCCCCGGGCATCACGGTTCTATCGGAAGAAGCACATTTTCTCCATTTCCCTCGCCACATCATGGGTATCCCATGCATCTCCAACAATGGCCAACCCGTCCCCCAGTCCAGGTTCAGGTCCAGGACCGAGAGCCGGTTGCTTCTTTGATACCCTCTCACAGCATTCGCCACAACCCCGCGGTGTTACAACAGGGTAAATATCTGGAAGCGGCTTCGACTCCCCAATCGGCCTCGGCGGTGGTACCAATTTCAAGAGCGTCAAATTCCGAGATTGACGATCATAGCCAGGCCGCGAGTGGGAGCAGCACTTTTCCAGCATCAGCCTCAGACCCGACGATAGGCTCTATCAACCCCTTCGACCTTTCCGCAGCCACTTCATCCGGACCCCGTCATGTTCTTATTCGTGTTGACGGCGACGCTGGTGCTTACCTCAGCAATCTTGCAGGGCAGCAGACGCCACAAGAATCTAGCCTCCCGTCTACCATGAATGGCTCGCTTTCAGTCACTAATGGGGACTTGATCCAAACAGGCTGGAGTGTCGATTTTTCAGGTCTCTCCCGCACCCCTCGAGAGTATGGCAATGGTATCGGCTGGCGGTCACAGGAAGCCGAGGCGGTAATAGACACGCAGCATACTTTTGGTTGGCCTCGAAAATTTATCTGCTCGTTATGCTCCTTGCGATGGAACGCGATGCCTCTTCCCGCCAAAGTTATTCGCAGCGATATCAGCCAGAAAGACAGGATTGACTTGAGAATAGTAAGTGCACTTCATGGTCTCTAGCAGCCAGCAGTGCTTACCAACTCCAGCCGAACCCGACAAATGCTCGTAGAGACCCAAGCTTCTCTCGTCCAGGATGTTCGGAGGTACGTCACACCCCTCGCCCAGATGGGCTCTGGGTCAACAATTGCTCAAACTCCTTAGTTGCACTATTACCTCGATCATGAGGGATCTGGCAATGAGCCATGCGTTCGCGGCCTCTGTCAAACGTGTCGGCCTACTTCTCTGTTGCCAGACTCTCAGCCGATGACACACTGTTGCCCACCGCCGCTCGCCGAGCCGGGCTATCTGAAAGAGATTTATCGCTGCATTATGGACAATTGCCCGTTTCTTACAGACACTCGAAGGGAGATGAAGGTACAGTCCACCGCTGTCTTTCCAAATTACCCATTTTTCAGTCTCACTAAGACCCGGATTGTAGGCCCATCTCCATTCTCCTAGAAAAAATGGCCACAAGGCATATCTGACAGGACTGGCAAACCGTATTGAGAATGGACAGGCGCTCAGCGCCATTGACAAGGAGATATCCTCCCGCCTGATGCTTATGTTTAATGACAGAGACGCTCGAGGACAGAAATCTATATCACAACCCATCAACACGGTTCTGGGATCGGAGGATATTAGCAGTCCAGCCGTGTTGCGAGAGCACACACAGTGGATGGCCTACCTCGGCCTTCATACCCCAGAGCTTCACAGGCGCGACTTTTTCGATCAGAGGACGAACCAGTGGTACTACCGAGAATACAACCTCGACGATGACTTTGAAGACGCATGCGAGAACGTTCGGATTGTATCCTACGCTACTGGCCGTGCGGTGAGAGCAGCGGACTTTCTATGGCGTTGAATGTTCTGGTTCTACTACAACAGAATACCCACACCGAAACGGCCAGGAATCACACTTCTTATTTCGACATGGTAACCATAACTTACCAATGGTTGTAACATTTGTCATTTATTGTTTTGTTTTTTTTGTGCCCTTTCATGTTTACTTATGTACGGCGTTGGTCTGGTCGAAGCACCCCGACCTGAGCACGGAAATGAGGAAAGGAAAAAGGGGAAACGGGGCAGGCGTCTTATGACTTCATGCTTTGCTATGACAGGACAACGGGGCTTTTACAGCAACCAGTTGGCAAACGAGACCTCACGACAGGCAGCATACTTTGGGCTTCTAGGCCACACACGCTAGGGATGGCCCACGCATTTTGGAAGAGGTGTTTTTGGTGTGAATTATTTGACAGTAGAATGGGGCTTTTAGGCCCCCGAAGTGCAGAGGCATACTTGAGAGTAAGCATCTGCAGGGGTATCTTCACATGGCGCTGGATATACCCTGCTATTTTGTATCACTGGGGATCTGGGTTGGTTTCTTGAGTTATGCAGGCTAGGCTCCTCTGCAAGGTTTACATTGTTGTAGAATGCGAAGGAGGCTGGAGTATAGGGCTAGTGTGAATGCAGTGGCTACCTTTGGAGTAAGTCTGTGTTTCCTCGCCATGATTTCATTGGACCTCTGCGAATCATACAATCGAGTGCAATATTTCAGGGCTTAGCGGCTTCGAATGGAAGAAGTAACAATAAGAGGGATTGCTTTGTCGTCGGTCACCCTCATTTTTGTTGTTTGTGAATGAACCTCTAAGCCCATCGGCATAAAGGCTTTTTTTCATACTATACGCCCACAGAGCATAGTATACTTATGTGTGGCGAACAATCAGACGATGGCCTTCATCGGCGTCCCCTGGTTATTTGGGGGTGATAAGGATGTCTGTCTTGTAAAGTAAGGGGAAACAATATGGTGCTGACCTGGAGGTCATCCACGACCTAGGCACATCTAATTTGTTGACAACCCCATTCGCTCTTTGTTAGGATAAATGGTCCACGAGAACAGTCTCGGGGTTTTGGTGCCAGTATCTGAAGACATGGCAACTTATTATGCGTGTCTTCTGACCACATTTCAACTTACAGGCATGCCCTGTGGTGAAAACGGCGATACTGTAGAAGCAGAACAACGACGTCAGTTGCCTAGTCTATTACCTAGTCAGTTCGCCCAGTTTCGTTCCCGTGCTTGATATATATTATATGTATTACCTTCGCGTGAAATCAAAGACAATCAACGAGCCCCCTCCCAAATATAACTAATCTGGTAAGAAGGAGTGGCAATCTTGAACCCACAGTTATCGAAGCAACAAAGACGACACTGACAATATGGGCGGGAAAGTTGTCCGGATAGGCAAAATCAAAAAAGGCAAGCCAATGCTCCAAAAAAACATACAACACCAGGTATTCGCTGGTCGTCACCGACCCAACTACTAATCCGGCCCTCACTGGCTTATCTATGGGAGAGCGGACGGGATCCCGAGTTTTCCTGTGGGTATGGTCGTATGTGCTATGACAGAGCATAATTGAGTATTATGACCGAAGTCGAATGACTCGTAGGATGATGCTGAATCTCTAGCACTTACGATTCTTCTTGTATAACCACGAGATTCTCATCTCTGTGAGCTTGAAATTGCAGCGAGACGCCGGTTTGAGACAAGCTTTCAGCCTCAACTTTTGCCCCCGGGTTATTGGGGTAACTGCATCCAACATAGTATATCTTCAGAGGTGGATTGTTTAGAACGGCCTTCTTTCTTAGTTACCTTACTTGTAGGAATTATCACCGCATCTTTAGTTGGGCAGATGGAAAATCTGTTCTCTTTGTTGGCACTCGACATGAATTGTGTTACACATGAAAGAGGCCAGCCCACAACCACGAGGCCATTCACTCATTTATCATGTACGGTTCTCATGTTTACATGCATTCCGAGTACTGAATATTAGACAAAATCCTGAGGAGAGTTGATTGCTTTGTTTAGGGACAAGCGAGGTAAGTTGGATGGACCAGTATACTTTCAACATCGCCTGAGGGGTGGGCGGCGGGGGCAACATGTTCATTCGCAATCTCTCTGTTTCATGAGTAATCGCCAATGAAGACTTCCTGTTTGCCGTACTTTCAGTATGCTCACTTTGTCTCCACTAGTTTCATAGCTTTGCTTGTATATGAGCCCGGCTTCTGTGGTGTTGCGTTCAGCGCAGACGCGTATAACCTTTCCATCCTGCTGTTTGGGTTTTTGAGACGAGACAGCCACAGTCATTGAGTGACTAGGCCTCAATAATTTGGGTTTGGGTATAGTGTTCGATATTTCGGGAGCATTCTTTATGACAGCCATTATTTTGAAGAACAAAATTTTGTTGGCCATCATAGTCGAGGTGTCGAACCGTTGAGAGAAAGGAAGTGAACAAAAGGTCTCACGTTGCCTTTTATACTCTGGACGCAAGCCATTGATAAGATATCTCTCCGCATCTCGCACGGCTGCATGTAAGAATATGGCTGGTGGCCAGGACAAAGGTATAGGGGACGGCGAGTGTATTGACTTATACTCGAAACCGATCGGTTGCTGGGCCAGGAAAATTGGGAAGGAACAATCTCAATGCTGGCTGGATGTCTTGCGTATTTCCAGTACCTAAAGAACAAGGCCTGTAGATGGCACTGAGATTAAGAGTCTTGACTCTAACATTACCAGACCGTGACATTGTGAAACATCGACTGCGGTGCCATGATGGAAACCTATTGTGTCCAACCAGGGTCTCTCCCGTTTCACAAACAGTGACGAGACGAGACTGCTAGGGCTACCTGGATATGTCGTGTTTCCCCCTGAACTGCACCGTTGATGCTTTGTAGTCGCCCACTTACTCAGACTTGCGCAGGATTAAGTATGGTAGGATGTGTCACGCAAACAAAGAGACAAGGCATCTTGGTGAAGCCTCTGAGGATTAAGGAAAAACCAATGAAATACCTCAAGAACCTCACACGACATCACTCCAACGCTGTGCGAATAGCTGCGGGGTTTCTGTGCGTAGTCATGACTCTTGGATGTTAACAAGACAAACGGATAAGGGGAGGAGCCAGTTACTTGTGGGGACACAACTACACAGGGGACAGTAAGGAGATCCCTCACGTCAATCAAGGTAAGCATTGTAGTTCAAGGCAACGAAAACAGTGAGTTACGACGGAAGCTTTCAGATACATTCATTTTCAACGTGGATTTGCTAGGAAAACCCGGGTATTTGGATAGATGCAATTTGATCGACAGCACAGGTCCTTGGCACCCATTCATCCGCGACAGCGCCTTGCTTTTCGAGATGGTCTGAATCTCCGACATCCTGTCACACATGTGGCCATCGATCGGGGCTTTTCGGTCCGTAGACGGGGCCTCCATCGTCTCTCTTCTGTAGATCCTCACAGCCCCCAGTCATACTTTGACGTCACGTTTCGAGTCACGTCTTCATGATGCAGTTTCCGAGACTCATGCTAATGAAATTAAGGACTTGACCCGATCCATCGGATCTCACAGAAAGGTTTGTATATCTTCGGGTTGTGCTTTTCGAGCTAGCTGCCAAGGGGCACTTGAGTGCTCGAGCCAGCCCAGAAGGAGGCGTAAGATCTGCAACTGAAGAAGCTTGTCAAACGCAGCCGCGGTCTCTTGTATCCTGCAAAAGCTGGCGTTCCGACCACAGAAAACCCACAGAAAACTCGACAGCCTTGCGGGTATTGTTTGCTTGCTCATATCTCGCAATCATCACATGCAGACGAGAACATGATAGATGCTCAACAACAAATACAAATGGGCGTAGGCCAAAGCTCCTGGCAGCCTTTCGCCGCTTGCCATGAAGGCACGTGTCAGTAGCTACGAAGCGATGTTGCGAGGTCAAAATCCAAGGATATGGAGCTAGAACAGCAGTAGGATTATTAAGTTTGGACTTTCTTTTTGTTGTTGCCACGCGCTTACAGGTTGGTGATGCTGGTGCCGAACGAGAGTTCACAAACTAGGGAGGCAAATACATCTAAGTCGGTTAGTCGTACGACCCCTGACCTTACCTGTTGAAAATAAATCTGTCCAAATCCTACAGAAGTTGGACAAGAACACGAACTTACGCATTGGGCCTCAGCAACCCCTGAATGGGCTGTCCTTTTAGCTGAATGACACATTCACAGTGTCTCAAGAGTCCGCTTTGGGATGTAGGCGTATTCTTCGGAAATGAAGCTCTCGTGCTCGGTGTAGGCCAACGACGATGGTGGTCAATGCAGAAAGAAAAACGGGCAGCCTCTCCATCGAAGATATACGCGACCCGACGCCAGTGACGGTCGAAACCTAGTGATCTCCGCGGAACCGATGCGGGACAACCGTAGCACGGCCTTGAAGGCGTGAGCATCAGAGCTGTATTTTGGAAGGAGACTGCGGGGAATAGCCCATGTTGCAGATCTCGGAGACCGTGACGATCAAGTGGGCTGCCTGCCACAATGGAGTTATCACGATTGACCTCGCCACGTTGTCTAGTCGCGTCGAGACCTAACGGGCTTGGTCGCGCTGAAGAGATTTTTGTGGCCAACGGGCCCTAAACATGCGCGTTCCCGAAATAGGTCATCTGTTCGCACATTAGTTCGAAGAGTCTCAGATGATGAGGCCGTGATGGGATGACAGAGGCGAGCCGCCGTGGGCCCCCCAGGGCTTTGACGGTAGCCTTGGTCTCGGGAGCGCGGTGGCTTGAAGCAAGGCACAAATTGTTGCTTCGGACGAAGAGAAACGCGCCGTCGGGAAGACAAAGAGGAGCCGCTCCACCACGGGCCGAAGAGGAGACGCTGGTATGTGTCGCGGGGCATCGACTCAATATCTCTTCTCAGAGGCTAGGGTATATATTCATGCTCGCAATGGCAGCAACTGCGTTTGTAGGAGCTAGAGGCTCCATATGGCATGCATTTTCCGGGGGGGAAAAGAAAAGTAGCCAGGCATCTGTGACTGTGAGGGAGAATGAAGTTGTGGGTGTTGTTGCTGGTCAATGCAAGGCCGGCCCCAATACTGGTTATCCAAAGAGGCTTAGACGAGGCTACCAGGCCTTGGGGAGAAGATGTACGTACGCCTTGATTGGCTGGAATGCGGAATGAAGTCAGGCCAGGAGAACGCGGATTGGTTATGGATCCGCGAGGTCGCGACGTGTTTGTGAGGATACCTAAGTTGAGCGAAGCTGAGCCGGGTACGGGCTTGGTGACTGCTTGCCGGAGCGAATCCCAGTTTGGGGTTGGTGGCCACGGCCTCGGGATTGAGTTGCAGGACAAATTTCCTTAAACGGGCAGACACGGGCCTCATGGTGAGCAGTAAGCCACCAGGTTTGTTCGTGTTTGCGCAGCCCGTCCCGTTGTTGAAACATTCGCACTGGCAAGCGCCCTTTTCGTCTACTAGAGGGTAATTAGGGTAGCGCAAGCGAAAGGAAGAGAAGAAAAAACGAGTCAAGGGCCAAGGCTGCGGCTTGGAAACTGAGTTTTTGGCGTTATCACTGCGGGAGTTGGCAATGCGTGTGCTGCAAAAGCCAAATGAGAGTCGCTAATAGTTTGCAAGCCACCTTTCTTCGTCTCAGGTGATGAGGACAAGCCCAGCACCGAAAAGCTAAGATTGCTGGCGAGAAAGAACCAGAGGGGAGCCTTCAATATCAGTGGCAGGCTGTGCAGCTCCAAGGTTTTAATTTTTTGTTTAATTTTTTTTTATGGCAAACAGGTGGCTTGGACACCATGATCATGATGCCAAGGGGAGGGGAGCCTGACAGACAAACAGACAGATGGGGTCAGTTTGGGGGAGGCAGAGGTGGAACTTGGGAGGGGGGTACTAGTGTCTCAGAGTATGAGTTGGTTGTTGATATCAGTGTCGACATCGCGTGGTGACTGACGATACATGATGAGAAATACAGCCGAGCCATGTGATTGTGAGGATGAGTGATGAGCGATTTGGGTGCAAAAAGCAAGCAAACGAGTCGCCGTTGGGTCTCATTGTCTAGCATGAGCAATCAAGGTCAAACGTTGCAGAAGCCGACTCCAGCGTAGCACTCATATTCTCGGCAAGGGACGATCGTCAAAAGATCATTTGATGTGGTGACAGCGGTTGGACGGATCTCGGGGCACAAGCTTGCCATGGTGCCAGCAACTGCACCTAAACTGCTAATGTGTGCCGCCAGCCCACATCCTCATCAAACTTGAGATCTCTGATTGAGTGCCCTCGGACCCTTTTGAAGTCTACATGTGCGTTGCGTCCGAACTTCGCTTCATACCCCTTTTTAATTTTCCTTTCTACACCCCCCGTGAATCGTCCCTTGGCCCTGATTTAATTAGAACCTCCTGTCACAGTACGATGAAGCGATGTCGACCCAGCTGTCAGAGAAGAGTTGGGTTGAGTGACCTTGATGAGGATTAGTCTTGCCCCGAGCGTTCGGGTTCTTGAGAGGAATAGGCAGTAGAGCCCTGGCATCCCCAATAGGAGATCATGGCTGAGATGGCAACATTCTCAATCCCTGATCTTTTTAATGATAGCCCGCTAGAGGTCAATCAGCGGGCAGATGGGCGAGTAGGGTAGGGAAGCTGTGGCAACCATGCTCAAATGTGGGGGATTTTCATAGCACATGCGTGTTATCAGCAGCAGCAGCAGCAGCAGCAGCCGCCTCCTCAAACAAATACCCTGATGATCGAGACAGGAGGACTTGATAGGCGACTTAAGATGGATATCGGCAAGATGCCGACGTAGGTACCTTTGAGTTGGGTCCTACGACAAGCCGGGATAGCATGCCGAAATGCGCGACGAACGATTCGTTATGTCAGTGACTTGCGGGCCCTGTGCTTTCCTACTCCATGCTCCATATTCCATGCTCACCTTCCGTGCCCCATCAAAAAGCTCCATATCCTTCTGCTCGCCATACTAGTAGTGGGAGGGAGGGAACCCTTTGCATGGCTTACCTGGCAGAGTTCGGATGAAGCGCTGATGAGCATTGGTGCGTACCGCTATGGATACACTTGACTGGGCCGAGAGTGGACAGGACGACAGTTCCCATCTGATCCCACACTACCCATTCAACATCCCAAAGAGGTAAATGATTTAAAACATTCCAGGATGAGTATGGGTAAGGAGACACATTCTGCAGGAGGCAAATCGTTCGTCTGAAGATGCGAATAAGACCAGGGTTGCAAGGTTTCCGTATGGATGGAACAAAACCCCTCCACGTGCCTGCCGACGAGTACACTACGGATACAGGCTGGCATATGCATGCTATCAGCGACAGGAGGCACCTCTAGGGGTATGGCGGGGACAACTAGTGAACAGGGCGCTTCCCCTCCGAATCCGACAAGTTGGACGCGAGTCTGGGCAGGTGCCGAACATAGGCATCCGTGCCTTCCTTCCTCTATTTTCACACAAATCGACCAGAACATCAGGTACTGAGCTGGGTGCCACTGATTTCTATATGAATTTATCCTTTTAATCCCGTCCATTCACCTTGGAACAGCAAGCCACAAGAAGTTTCCACAACCATTTTTCTAGGAAAGAAACGTGCAAGCTTGGAAGGAAATGTTGCTGTCATGACCAGTACAAACAATAAACTTAGCACACATGCAAATCCAAAATCCGAATACAGAACCAATCCTCAACCCTTTGCTGACAATGTATCGTCGATTGATGCTTCTACGGGCCTTCCGATGGGCCCCAGCAGCTATGCGCATGGCAAGACTTAACTCATCATCTGTTATCCGTTTTAAGTTGGAGCTGGGGCCGTACGTACGGACAGCGCGAAGCATGCATATACATGATGCCTACTCCGCACGGCGCCAGCCGGTTCCAACGTACCTCCATAGCGATACCTATCTACCCCGGGCCAGGGCCACGAACTTGGGCAAAGGGTATAGATGCCTGCACCCACCACCACCACCATCATCATCATCATCATCATCATCATCGTCATCATCAGTTGACAGCGGCCTCGGGCGTCGCGCAACCGCCGGCACCAGAAGGGAAAGGACAACGAGCACAAGGGCTAAGACATGACTTAATCACGGACCGTAGACATGCCAAAAAGAAGAATTACAAGTGGTGAAGAGAGCGCATTACTCAGGGTCTCTAAGGGGGGCACACAAGTACACGGTCAATACCGGCACACGGACGCCAATGCGCATCGTGCTTCGGCAACCCCATATACGATTGCGTTTGTCATGCGATAACATGACACAAGAGAGCGGAGCCACCACGATAAAGCCGTCCCGAAAAGAAAATGAAAAAACGGCAATGGCCATTTGACGGGGATGCGCGGTTTGCCGCTGCACATTGAACATCAAGACCCAGCATCACAGCAGTGGTGATGCTGCCACCGCCGGTGCCGCCGGTGGCATTTTGCTGCTAATTTGTGTCTGATTGGCTACGTGCCGCGTTTGGCTTGACGTATGAGGGGCTGGCTTGCTGCGTTCACACTCGTCTATTATGGATTGTAGATTCCACATCATTTTGCCCGTGCTCAGTTTCCAGTCGACTTTGGGGTGCTCCAAATAGAGTGTTACTAAACTCTGTCGCCAAACTACGGCGGGCTGAGAGGCGGGAGTCGGCCAAAAAAAAAAAGAAAAAAAAAAAAAGTGAACCGTTATCAAATTTTTGGGCCGGGGACCTGGATTGACACTAGGACTGACACCGCCATCCATAAATTCGGCGTCGCCTTAGTGTCAAGAGGTGACCTGTTGGAGATGCGTCGCTGATCAAGGTATCATCGTGTGTAGGATATAAAGGACCTGGCACCACCAGACAAACATTCCAAGTGGATTGAGAGCACGGTTGGCATCCTTAACCAACGGAAGAAGTTATGCTGTGCTGTGCAACGCAGATGATGAGAAGGGTATGGAGCACTCAGATAGGCACCTGCTTGCTAGCGATGAAGTCAAGTACCACGGCTCCACACAACCACAGTAAATGGAACCGTCAACAAACACTATGAGCCAACTAGTAAGGATATACGGATATGGAAAGCAATATTGGGAAGCGGGCAAAATTCACATCCTCGGGATGTTTGAAATTTTGAGACGGGGACTGCAAAAAACCCGTGTGATCAGAAGATGGAGAGGCGTAATCAAGGCGACAGAGGGACAGAAACGATGGACAAGAAAGGGGAAAAAATAAACGTCCGTGTAGGGAGCTCCGTTTGGGAGCCACCAGAGTAAAACCTATCCAATCATGTCGGGGCTTCCCGCTAATTGTTTCCCCTCATCCTTCCCATCCTCGCCCCATCAGGTAATCAAAGCTGGCCAAAACCGGTAACTAGCCCCTGCAGCCACCCCTATAGCTTCCTGTAGCTCCCCTGACCATCATCCCAAGGACTCCGCGGCGGACTGGGGAGTCCCTGTAATGCCGTCTTTGACTGTGCTTGAGCCCTCCAAGTCATGAGGCTCTGGGTCTCAAGTTCGGCGAAACCACCCCTTTTCTTCCGAGGTCTAGGGTCAGGGGCAGACTCTGGGCATCTCATCGGTCAGCTGGACCACCGAGGCAGTGCTGCTGCTACTACTGCTGCTTTGCTGTTGCTAGAAAGCACTATGACTATGCTGAGAGGCATTTTATTCTCTGTGGTGCTTTCTGGAATTGAGCAGCTTTGTGGGAGGGAGTACCTGGTAATGTTTCTCTCTCTGCTCCTGTTTCGAAACGATGGGCCACCCCGTGGCGTGTCGGTGAGTGGTCCTGAATTTGTTTCAGGTGATCTCTCCGCCAATCAGGACGAGGTTGTCATGAACTTGTGAACAGTTTCTTTGCGAGTTTTCCGATCCCGCCATTCTACCTGCGGCTGGTCATGAATATCGCGGACTGGACCGGGCATATACGCGTTTTTGTTTTTTTGTCGTCACTGTATCTGATTATCGCCCATACCTGCTGATAACCTGCAGCACTATTGAGCTCCTCCGACCCCCCGGATAAAGCTGGTCAGGCGACGAGGGAGGGAAATTCAAATCAAAGGAGAAAGGAGGGGAGAGAGGGAGGAAAAAAAAAAAAAAAAAAGGAAGAAGAAGGAGGAGGAGGAGAAGAACATGGAAAAGAGGGAGAGAGGGACGGCACTGAGTAAACAACAATAGGGCGGAAGAGCGTACCAGGTCCGATACCATGGAAATCACTTCGCGATGACAAAAAGCATAACTAAAAAGAACAGCTCATGAGTTGTCGCGAGGGTTGAGTCGCACAAGCGGACATGCATGTTGCTATGAAATGCCCACATCAGTACTAGCTGGTAAAGAACTGGGGGAGCGTGCTACAGCCAGCCAAACGCCAACAACAGTGTCTTGCACAAACTTTGTAATGGCTGATGGCTTTTTCATTGATATTGCTGGATGCCACCCAGCGGCAGCCCAACGCCTGTGCCACGCGCCGTTCCCGCACGTTTCCTTTCCCCTTTCCCTCCAACCCTTACCTTTTCTCTTCTCGCTTACTCTCGCTTGCTTCCTAGCGCGCTCTTCTAGCGGCCGGAACACTATAACGGACGGGATATTGTACGTAAGGTTCCCTAAGCAGCCGGAACCATGCCTTTCTCTCTCTAGTGCACATCATGATTGATCCGAGATCCTGTTTGATCCATTGTGAGAGCGACGGAGAATTCACAGTTGGCAACCCAAGCCAATGCTGTCGCGGTGTTGGCTGCTTTGCAGTTTCCATCGTCTTTGTGTGCGTGTGTGTGTTGCCATTCGTGCCACTCTAGTTGCCCAATACCTTGGGTAAGGTGCCTTGATCCGCAGTCAGGAAGGAGACGGACGCACTGACCCCGTTTGTTGGCTCGCGATTTTTATTTTATTTGGTGTGCTGTTTATGGAGAGGCGGTCTTGTTAGTTGGTACCTTGAACTTTTTTTTTTCTTTTTTTTTTTTCCCTACCATGGTGCCCCTTCTCCAACCCTTCTGTGGGTGGTCCCTGGCCATTCAACCTTTTCTCGGCCCATTGCCGTCATTGTCCAACGCCCATTGTTTCTCTTCCTGTCGCCTTTTCTCTCGCTCCCGTCCGTTCCCCGTACCCGTTTCTCCCACTGCATTCCATCCCACCGCACCCACGTCTGTCTCATCCCATCCCATCCCATCTCATTCCATCATTCACGTTCCGCGCCCACACCCACGCCCACGCCCTTGCTCTTGACCTCAATTGCCCTCGTACTTTGTACTCTGTATCTCGTACTTGGCTACAACCTTGATCCTGGCGAGGCTGAAGCCCCTGAACACCTCCCTCCTTTTTCGTTGTCTGTCGTCCATACTCCTCCCTCCCCATGTCTTTTGATGGTTTTTTTTTCTTCTTCTGCGTCTTTCCTTGTCTTCTGCCACCCTTCTCGCGTCGTTCGTTCATTCTCTTGGCTAGTTAAACGCCTCACACCACGCCCCCACCCCCCCTCCCTCCATCCCAAGGACCGAGCTGATCCAATTTGGGACGAAGGGTGAGTCTCAACAGCCGCATCACACGCATAACGCACCCGCTACCGCTACGCGCGACTTTGTCTGGGCGAATCTTGGACCGTGAACCCCCATCCGCATCCACGTCGACGCCCAATTCGACCAAGATAGGTCTGTATGGTCTGTTCCCGCCGTCGCGGAGCGTATCACTCGTGAGAAGATCGTCTGCCGTAACCGAACGATGACGCGCTGAGAGGTTCGTTTCATCGCGGGATCGACCCTGTTCCTTGCTTCTGTACGTTTTCAACCCCCTCCCCAGTACTTGCTGGCTATATTCCATACACCCCCCTCCAAAACATGCCCGTTCACGCTATACCCGCTCCTGCTCCTGCTCCTGCATCGCAGCTTGCGTTTCTAGGACGCAGTCCGAATACGCAGGATACCCTTCGTTTTTCTTATACTTTTGCACTGCCGTCCCGTTGTCGTGTAGTGTTTCGTTTGAACTAGGCACGTACCTATCCCGGTAGTGTGAAACACTTCTCATCTACATATTAATGGCCTTCCCACGCGTAACTTGAGAGAGGGGGTAACCCCCCAGGCAAAGAGAACCGAGGCCGTGCAAGGGGAAGCGTTAGAGGTGACATACTTGGAGAAAAGACTTGGGGAAGACAAGAAAGAATTAAAAGAAAAATAACATGGATGAAATTAACACAAAATAAAATAACACAAAAAGAAGAGGAAAAATCTTCTCTTTCTGGGGGCTTGTTGTCCAGTTTGCTTGATGCCGCCATCAATTCATCCATCTCTCTACCAGGCCCAGGTCCAGGTCCAGGTTTGGATGGCAGGGGTGGGAGATCACCTCCTGTCTCCTCCAAACATCGGACGGAATTGACAAGTGCAATATCTGTCTGCCTGCATATGCACCACAGACATATGGACGCACACGCATACGCACACGCTACACGATAGAGATACAATACAATACCCAGCATCTGTCTTCTCACTTTCTACACCACGCTTCCCTCCTTCTTCTCCTCCTTCTCCTTCTCCTTTTCCTATCTCTGGGTCCCATTTCGTCCGCTGGTGTCCAGACACAATCTGCCTACCATCGACGTTCGGCTAGGAACAGGAAGCGCGCTAACAGTTCGTGCAGGGGTTGTTCAGACGCTGTTGTAAGGCCCCTACCACCTCAGACCTCCTCACGCCTCCTAGTCCCTAGTCGTTCACTTCTCCACGCTAGGTTCCTGACTAACTTTGCCCAAGCTTCCGCTGGCTTTGATTCAAAGCACACGTTCGCTTCCCACAAAGCGTCCGACTACCAACACTACCACCACCGCCAGTCTTTTTCCATCTTAACTTGACCTTGCTCCGCTCCACACACCACACCACCGCACCTACCTCTTTACCTCTACCTCTACCTCTACCTCCATTTTACCCTCTTCCACCTACAACCGCCTCACCAGACCTTTATTTTCACCAACCTATCTTTACCCTTAATACCATTTCCGCCCACCACGCTCGTTTCCTATTATATCTCCATCCGCGAGACTGCGAGTCGACAATTGCACGTCCCTCTTCCGCCATCCATTTGGTTTTGTCTCATTTACCCGGGCCTGCCCTGCTCTGTTTCTCCCCTTATCTTTTCCTGTTCTTTTCACCCGCACACCTACCAATCTCACCACATCTCATCACCTTCACCACCCAGCCCGTCTTACTACACTATACCGTTGCATTCGACTCGATCTGAACGCCGCCGCTACTTAGACTCGCTGTGCCAGTGCCGCTGCATCCAATCACATCTGACCTGAGAACCCGATACCACAAGCCAACTCACCGTTTTCTGTGTTGTGAAGGGAAGGGGTGGAAGACCGAAACATGGATCACACTATGCAAGATGCCCCGGCCGACGTGCTGGCGGACGCCAGGCGAACGCTCGAGGCTCTGAAGAGCTCTGGACTTTCTCGCGAAGTTTTGTTGCAAATGTGGGAGGCCGACGACAGGGCGCAACAACACACACCTCAACACGATACTTCCATGGAAGATGCTTCTACACGAGGTTTGTTTTCTCTAACCGCTCCCTCGCTGGTTAAGATGGAAGACAAGCCCCCTGCTAACTTCCCTCTTGTACTCCCAGCTATTTGCCATGGCCAGATTGGTCACCGACCGCGCATCTCTGTTTCATCGACGAGCTCAGGTTCCTCTGGTCATGCGAGTATCTGGTCTATGGGATCCGCCAACTCCAGCGCGACCGTCGCTACCCACTACTCCCAATCCTCTCAGACACCATCTCCTTCTCAGCAATCCGCACCCCAAGCTGCCGTCGGCGTTCCTGGCAGCCTTCCCCAGGTTGCAAGCGCTCAGACGGGTTGGGGCCCCGGCCGCTTTAACTTTTACTGGTGCACATCCTGCGAGACAAGATTTAAGCGCAAGTACGATTGGAAGCGCCACGAAGAAGAGTTCCATGAGCGCTGGAAGAAGTACCCGTGTCCCGAACCTGGCTGCAACAGAAGCTTCTGGGGAGCCAACACTTTCAACCAGCACCACAAGGCTTCTCACGGCTGCAAGACATGCCCTCATTCCGAAAAGGTGGTCAAGTACCTGAAGAGGAGGAAGTACTGGGCCTGCGGCTTCTGCTCTGCTCTACATCCTTCTAGAGAGCGCCATGTCGAGCACGTTGCGAGACATTTTGAGTCCGGAAAGACGAAATCAGACTGGATGCACTCCAGAGTTATTTATGGCCTCCTCCATCAGCCACTGATCCACGAGGCATGGAAGGACATTCTTATGTCCAAGGCCGCCGAGTTTAGCGGACGCCAACCCAACTTCAGCTGGAATCCAACACAGACGGGCCGTGCCCAAGGCTTTATGGAGAATGAAAGCCCGGGTCAACTTCAAGACTTGCTCGAATTCTTTTCTGGCTCCAGCACCGAGGCCGAATCCATCGTCTCCATTGCATATAAGCTCGCCGACCTTGTTTTCCTTCCCGTCCCAGCGTCGCCTCCCATGCAGTACTCGCAATGCTACGCCCCCGCGCCCGCTATTCCTCAACAATACCCATCTCAGCCTCTCCTTCCGCCTCCTTCGATACCCTCTCAAACCCTGCCGACGCAGTCTCCTCAGCCTCCTGTTCTACCTTCTCAAGACACTTCGCCAGGACCGTTTATGGACCAGATGAGAGCGCAGTCTATGATGCCAGCTCCCTTATTTCACACATCACAACCACGCGCGACAACAGAACCTCTGCGCCGGGCGTCACTTGATAGGGAACTCCCGCCCCCGCCTCAAGAGACGCAGCCCATGAATTTCCAATACATCCCCGATAACATGGTTTTTGAGGACTGGGAGAGCTTCTCCAGCACAGTCGTCGACGAAAATGCACCAGCGCCGACAACAATGTCGACAGAATGGCCGCTGGTGCCTGTACAATATTACAATGCTCCCGTGGGGCCATGAACACATTCATTTTTGCGAAACAGAAAAAAGTCCATTTCCTTTGTTGCATGTCACATGAATTGCAGCTAGCGAGTCCGCTGGCCATTCAATATAGTATATAATGGTAATCACCTTGTGGGAGACCAGTCTCGGTATTTTTTTGATCATTTCTTTGGGCCGTGGATACGGGCAAAAGGGGCGGACACGGCATGGGATAGGAATACGAATGGCACGGGTCGGCCAAAAAGAGGCGAAGGCGTCGCTCACGAAAGGGGTGTTCCATTATGGTTGATGGGTCGAATGTCAAATGTGATCGATAGAATCAAATCAAAACGTCGTTCCATTGTGCCAATAACAGCTTCTCTCCGGTTGTCATCGATGCATGTCATGAGGCCCTTCTAGAGATAAGGGCCATCAACAGGCACAATAAACAGCCCACGCTCAATTGGATCATCCTGCCAACGTCTATTTCCATGATGGAGACTCTTTCGTTGCTTGTAGATAGCATGGCCCCAACAGATATTGCCCACGCCTCAAGCAGGTCGAATGAGGCTGTTTTCCTATCTGTTGGATCATCATCATCATCCAGAGATCTCGTACACTTCTTTTCCATTGAAATATACGGCGTTTGATACATATGCCCACACTGAAGACACAGCTCGCGAAAGGAGCCCTTTATCAAAAAAAAAAAAAAAAAAACGAATAAAAAATTTCGGCTTGACCAAAGGCAAGTAATTTGACTGCTAGCATTACAATCCAGCGTAGCGATTTATCGGCAATGGCGAAATCAGTTACCATCACCTCAGTGTGTTGACAACCAAAGTTCAAGAGGATAAAGTCACTATAAATGTCTTGGTCATGTTGGCTGCACATTTCAACCACATGTTAGTTTTGAGTGCTCCTCCCCTCTTTTTTTCCCTTTTTCTTCCCGGCTCATTTCCCGTAATCCTTGAGGCAGCATTATTCACAGTGTCATTTTCCAGTGTTCATAGCGCTCTTACTATGTATATTACACCCCGCGACCGCACTGGAGATAGGCTCTGTCCCCTTGTGTTTGAGGTTGCGGACGTATATGCCCGCTTCTTGCTTTCAGCAGAGTGGGCCTTGCCATGTCAGTCTTCTCGGTGTTTGGGAAGACTAATTAAACTCGGATGGTATGTCATGTGTCCTGGCAGTTAAGTCGGGACCGCTCATATGGTGTTCATACTTGCCAACAAAGACGACTTCAACAGTTTCAGTACTTCCAGAACGGAACTCCTGGCAGCATATCACGGGGATCAGTTTGAAATATGCTGAAACGATGATGCCGGGGACTTGAGCACTTGAAGGACTTAAAACACTTTATTTGTGACTTGGCAGTGAATGCTTTTGACAGCTTGGAACATATGCTCGAGTCTCCCCACACAGCGCAAAGATGTGATGTTTTTATCTGGAAGATAGCCCACCATAAGCGAAAGGATTCAGGGTGACATGAGGTCTATGTCTCTCTTTGTCCAAAAGGGCCGGCCACCATGCACTTTGCGAAGGGAAAGACAGCACCAAGAGGGGCTGACATATCAACGGGTTGGCATTTCACTTTTTCTTGAGTAGCAATGTCTGTCGTCGGCCTGAACGTGGGGTCTTCATCATAATTTAGTACGAATAATGCGTCAGGACAGATTCAGTCCTCATCTCTGCATTCTCTTGTGGTCCCTCGGAAGTAGGACACAGTTATTTGTTGGCGATAAACAGTGCTCTTCAATATGTGCAGTATGTTTGCGAGCTCATAGCTGTCCATGGCATAAGGACATGCGCCAGTTTGATTGCGCAGCCTTGGTATTGGTACTGCCTGTTCATCACTTCGCTTGTCGAGATATGTGCTGGGATGATAGAGTTACTCTTAGAAAAGGAAAAAGAAAAGTGAGATAAAGCCTTCATGGAGCACATATGAATGGAGTTCGTTGCTTCTACGTGCTGTTATATCCATAGATATACATGTGGAAACTCTGACAAAGTCTAAGGTTTCAATATCGCTGCCCCATGATCAGTGTGCTCACCCTGCCTGTTTGGTGCTTCTCCTCGCCCTCGCCACCCAAGTTTTACCGCATAGGATCTGCCACTTTTCGTTCTAGTACACATATCTAAACCCGGCAGCTCTTTTTTCTTGTGTCAAATCAACAGTGATCTTCCCGCCACCCTCCACTGCGGCTGCAGCCTCTTGTTCAGCCCTCTCCAACTTCTTATTCTCCCAAATGTGCAGGTAGCGGAGGACGAGCGCAAGCACGCCAACCAGTAGGCACATGACAGCATTAGCAGAGCCTCCTGGAACATACTGAGGGCCCGTACTACTAGGGTACAAGTAGCTGCCGTAGATTGTGGCGGTGTTACCTTGAGAAGGCTGTTAGCATCCCTTCGGCTAGATACCAGCCAGCTGGCACTACTAACCTATCATGTTGGCAATGGCAATGCACGACGAGCGTTTGACAAGTGGCCGAGGAAAAGAATTGGCAACCCATGATACAATAATTTGGTCTGAGAGTCATGTAAGCAAGTCAAAATCGTACATGTAATTCGTGGATATATATGAGCTTACATGCAGAAACAGCACCCATTGGCATGAGAAACATAGCAAAGTAGCGGACTCCTACCACACTTGAACCCGTGGCAATGGCATTGCCAACAGCGGACAGAAGTGTGAGGCAGCAGATATGAATGGATCGGTCCTTTGTCTTTGACGAGGAGTAAGTAACGCATAGTGAGATGAGGAAGGTTGCAGCCTGCCAAAAAAGAAAGTGAGTTCACGATTTCAAACGATTCAGGCACTTGGGGTGAAAGGGAATCATCGTCTTACCCATGCAGGAGCAGTGAGCCAAAGCGTATTGATCTTTCCATAACCCAGAGTTCCAACAATGGTGGGGAAGAAGTACTGAAATGTCTGCGACACCAAACTGATGTGCTGCATCAGGACGAAGATGTACAGGCGATAGTCTCGCACAGCCATCTTGACGCCGTCCCACATTCCTTGCTCGCCGTATGTATCGGCCTCCTGAACGTCTTCGATCAAACGCCAAGCGGCATAAGCTCGTTCTTCTTCGGATAGCCACTTCGTTGTGTGAGGATAGTCGGGCAGGATCCACATGGCAACAAGGGCAAAGCCGATTGCAATAACACCTTCCTGCTCACCCAGTCAATGGTCATTCAACATGCTCTATTTACTTGTGTCGCAACATAGGAGACTCACGATGATGAATAGCCATCTCCAACCCGCGATTCCCAAGTCACCCTCGAGGTTGCCTAGAATAGCTGCGCCTAGAAGACCTCCAAACATATTGGCCAGGGCATTGCCGGCATAGAGATAAGCAATACGACGAGTCAACTCTGCACGTGTGTACCAAGAACTCATAAGAAATACAGCTCCTGGGAAGAAAGGCGCCTCAACAAAACCGAGGAAGAACCGAATAACCACGAGATGTGTAAAGTTCTTTGCCCCAGCATTGCAAGTCGAAACAACACCCCAGAGGCAGCAAGATAGTGCGAGATAGAAAGACGGCCGCACCCGCGTCAAGAGTAAGTTGGAGGGAAGCTGCATGAGGAGGTACCCGACAAAAAATATGGATGTTGCCAAGTTGAAATCGGTACCGCTCATGCCTAGGTCTACCTCCAAGGTCCCCTGACGGGCTTGTGCGAGGTTGGATCGATCAAGAAAGTTGAGTAGATACACTATGTAACTTGAGCTTTGCACCATGGATGCTGGGTGTTCTTCTGTTCTTACTGATCACTAGGGTTGGCATGAGCCGTCTGTCTACTTTAACCAGCAAGCGCTTGTCAAAGTCATTGTGCCAGGCTTGATTCTGGCGGGTAAAGTGCTGTGTCCATTCCTCAGGAGTGGGGTTCGAAGCTGAAGGCTTCAGCGCATGAGAATTTTGGTTCTCATTCTGCTCGATGCTTGTCTTGCTCGTCTCCATGATGTCGTATTTTCAGATACGAAGCTTCCAAGAGAATATGTGAACGAACGACGATGACGAGCCGCGCATAATAGCGAGGGCCTGACGTCTTTTATCGTATACCATAAGGATTCCCTTACCCCGTGGGGGAATGAGGGGAAGACGTGGGGAAGTAAAGAAGGCTGGTTCTGAAATTCGGTAGGTGGATTGCCGAGGTGATGGTGATGTTACTCTCGGACTTCTCGCCGGTCTGATGCGGGGAAGGTAAGTTGTGATGCAGCTTACCATACCTTGGCGGTTGATCACAGTTCTACTGTAATCGTAAGGTCGCTCGGCATATCTAGCTTGCTTCTGTCTGAGACTGAAACGATTGGCAGCGCTATTGAAAAAATGGGAGCAAGGTCGCAATGTGTGACGTATGATGAGGAATAAGCATAACACACAAAGCCCCTGGTTGTGAGTGATCATCTTTAAGTCTGTGACGGATTTGAGTTGTTGGAAATCGTCGCTATTCGATCCATATTTAAAGCAAACCGTTGACAACAGTATAAGAAGCTATTTGGCCACCACGCCTTGGTGTAATCTGTTAAACTGTAATTCGTGGTTCTGAAATCGCAGTTGAAAAGCAATGCATAATGTGAGCTCGAGGAATGATAGGCTACGGAGTTTGGGATATTCTATGCATATTTTTTCCATGGTCGGTTCCTCCTGAGGCATGTAGGAACAATCTAGTCAAATGCTTCCATTATATTCGGAAATGGTATCACTCGAGCGTCTCAGCATGCTTATACATTGAACCAAACGGCTAAGCAATCAGTATAACTGCTCATTTCCAGGACCAATGCGACGATCCACACCGATCTAACCCCCCCCTGAGCTGACCACGCCCACATTGGGTTTCTCCGCCAAGGGCTGGTCCAACCGAAGGCTCATGGGTTGAGAGGCGGCACTCCCTCAAATAAGCAAATTGACTCTAATTAAACACCATACAGCTGCCGAGTTGATCCATCTTTAACGCTTTTTTTGTGATTTTCTGTCTCATAGATTTAGATGATATGAACAAACAATAATGACGGTGACTATCATCTGGAGTTTTGTGTTGCTAGAGGGCGCTTTGCTGAATACTACTTTTTTCACCCGGAAAGTTCACAACATCATGTCTAAAACTCCACTCTCAGGCGATTGTCTCTATTCTTCTCTATTCGCGAACAGGTTGAGAACTCCACTTCAAGATTTTATTAGCGGCTCAAGTATATTAAAGAGCTCATAACTGCATAGCTCCCGTTGTAGACGACCCGAATCCTTGGTGACTGCCACCAAACTCGCTTAATTCACTGATTTTGGCCAGCTTAGGTTAAGCATTCCATGCATATATCTAGATAGATGTATACGGTAGGCAGCTAAGTGTGTGCTGGTACAAGATTAACCGTCCTACTTGCTGAGATAAGGGCATGCAGATGATAAGTCATATGGAATTCACTGCTCCGGTCAAGAGGATGATGCTGTAGCACATGCAGATGAACGGCGCGGCTTCCAAGTGACCGAATATCGTGAAAGAGCTTGGTCTCACTCTTTTAGGCCGAGGTTATTGTCTGCCGGATGTTGCCCAGCTTATGATGAAAATGGTTCAGTCGCTAAGGATATGTCCAAATACTTAATATTATTAAAGACGTTGGGATAATTTGAGATGCGCTATTATCGCATTATACATGGTTTCAGTCGATTTTCTGCTGTTAAACACAACAGACAAAGGAATCTCCTATGGAAGCTAACAATACCAAGTCAAAGGGCCGGTCGTCCGCGTGCTGACACGTCTGCCCCAAAAGAATTTAATGATTTCAACCATATATGTTATGAATTATTGGAAGGTATGCTCTCAAAGACATAGCCCTTGAAATTTCGAGCAGGAATTCGCTTGTCGAATAGGATGTCCAGCTCTTCGTACGTACGTCCCATGGTTTCAGGGACCCGAAACCAAGCCCAGCAGAGGCACAGGCCGGCAAGGCCCCCAAAAAAGAAACCGAGCTTGCCTTGCATGTTGGCTTCATCTGGGTTAATCATATACGGAATGGCAACAGTCATAATGATGCCAAGCACTCCCTGAGCAGCGGTCGCGAGAGCGATCGTCTGGGACCGTACACGTGTTGCAGAAGCCTCAGATAGGAGGACGAAGCAGACCGGGCCGACAGATAGGTCGTAAGCGAAGTTCCATACCAGCATTAGGGATGACTCTGCCCACATAACGCCTGAAGGCCTTCCTGGAACACAGTCGAGTATTCCAATGAGAAATTGTAGGATAACCAAGGCGGCCAGTCCAGTAATGTAGATGGTTCTCCGGCCATAGTGAATCAAGAAATACCAGGAGACAACCGTGCCTATAAAACCAACACCTGCGTTTGATGGTGTTAGAAAGAATTCCGTTAGACGAAGATAATGCTCACCGAGAAACCCAACTGCCATGTCGAAAGCTTTGTCAGTCGGCAGACCAGCTTGCTGAAAGAAATATGTGCCGTAGTTAATAAGATAAATACCGCTGAGAACCTGGGTGCAATAAACACCGACCGATATCTCAGTTCGTCTGAGGTTGATTCCCTTAAGACAATCACGATATGTGCTTCCAGCTTCCAGCTCTTGTTCGAGCCTGTCAGTCTCGATGATGAACGCCAGAGAAGCGGCGACGTTGACCTTCTCTGAAGCCAGGCGACGGAGACTCTTCTTGGCCTCATCCATTCTCTCCTTTCTTACCAACCACCAAGGGCTTTCTGGCACGAATAGGAGACCTGGTAAAATGACGAGAATCCAAAACCACTGGAGAGCGAATGGCAGAGAATATGCCCAATGACTCTGAAGCTTCGAAGTTCCGGCTGTGACACCATTGGCTAGAAGTTGTCCAGCAACGAAACAAAGATTTACATATGATGTCAGATGCCCACGCAGAGCGGTTGGGCAGACTTCAGAGGCGTAGGCCGGGGCAATAACAACGTACATGCCCAGGACGAGACCGCCTAGAAGCTCCCCGACAAGAAGGACTGGCAGGGAGCGTGCAAAGAATTGGATGAAGACAATGGCGGCAGTTAACCCGACACAGGCAGTAAAGGTTAGCTTGCGACCAAACCAATCCATGGGGTAGGCAGCAAAAAGAGCGCCGACTACTTGGCCAACTGGGTTGCCCATGGAAAGACCAGTTTGCCATGCCGCACCTGGAATAGTGTCAGGACCTCAAAGCTCAATGACAGAGAAAATAAGCAACTAGCATACTGATGATATACTAGGACTAGTTAGTCAGAACGTCAGGCTGTTGGGTGGGTTGACTTACAGAACCTTGATACTCATAACCAAAATCTCGTTGGAACTGAGGGGTAGCGTAGAGGTTTCCCAGTAGCTGGGGGTCAAAGGCTAGCATTATCACCCCAAGGGACACAAATGCAGACCATCCAATCGCTGCGGGGTAGAGCTGAACTGCCTGTGAGAAGGTCAAGTTGTGTTCAAGGTGTATGGCTTCAGCCGGTGTAGCGTGAGAGATGGGGGCTTTCGCGTCCGGCCCCGATGCGGCGGGTTCAATGTCCTTGGATATCATTGCGGAGTTGATACTGTAAGTTGAATCATGTGCTTGTGCGAGAAGCGGTTGAATTTCATCATCGGCTGAAGCCGGTCTAGACAAGTGCGAGGAAGGCATGTTTATCTTCATTTCCACGTGAGCTTCTTTTGCCGAGCCATGTCTGATCAAATTCAACAACCATACAAACCCCTCATCTCCGGCAAAGTCCGGTCTGGGCCCCGAATGGCAGATGCAGTTGAAGGCGTCCGGGTCTAGGGCGAAGGTGGCTGACGTTGGCAGCAAGATAGAGGAAGCCCCTGGTCAACAGGGGATGTGGAGTGAAGTTGGACGGTTTGGAGGGGGGCCATGTCCAAGCCAATCCGGGGTAAACTCCAGCGATCCTGCAGCGGAACGTATTACTTGGCGCACAGGGCACATTGCCGTGTTCCGCGTCAAGGCGGGGATTACAGCCAGGCGCTAGGCCACTATAGGACATGGGGCCTGTTTTAGACGGAGGCAGATATACAGGTAGCGCTTGAAAAGCACTGGCCGCCACTAGAGCTTGATTCAACGCCCAAAGTGCCAAAGGCACTTGTTCCCCCAAGTAGTTAGTTCTATATAGCAAAAACAGTGGTATAGAGATTCCCTTCTCGACCCTTAGCCATGCGCTCAAGGGGAGAAGAGATAGACATTACGAGGCCCTGTCAGCCACTGTCTTTCATCACTCGATTTTGGACTGTGACCTAGATGCATCGATCATCCAAAGAAGTCGATGAAATGGAGTAAGTATGCGAATTCTCTTGCAACATGACGTTGTATCAGTCCCTTGTGTCACACAAAAGTTTTTATGTTAAAGTTTAACCAGGTGGTCCGCTTGCATTCCTGGTGTGTACAAGTCAGGATGTTGTATGTGGATCGCGAGGGAAATTGAGGGGGGAATATATGTACGGAAACATGTGAGATTCTGGCTTCAAAAGAGCATGTTCAGAATTGCAACTTTGCTGTCGGTTTTTCGGGGAGAATTGCAGCCAAAGCGCATAGTTCATTCCCTTCCTTAGCATATTTTGCCAAAGACGCAAGCACAAAAGGTCGTAATTGGTCGTGCTTCAGCATGCAAAACAGAAATCCGAGTATGCGGCAGGGAAGCTTCGCAAATCCGAAATTGGTGTTGAAAAAGGCTCTCGGGAATCGGACGCCTAAACTGCTACAACTACAAACGGCCATAGAATCTGCTTCCCGTCAGCCTGATAACAGCTCCTTTTCTCATTTCCCTGTCTATGAAACGACAATCAGTTTATGGCGCTCAAAATCAGAACCGGACAGCTTGTTGAAATGCTAAAGAATCCCATGGCGGCTGATTATTTCTCCTCAATTACTCCAATCTCATACCCTATCAACACCTCAGTGCTGGTTCCTTCCCAGCCGCGTGTGCCGGCGGCTGAAATCATAAAGCGGCAGGTTCGATCAATATATAGGGTCGAAATAACACCAGCGCGTGGGGGACCGGGGATAATTAGGAACGGGACAGTGGAATGTTTGAAGGCCCGCGTATCTCGAAGGTCGTAGAGCCGCAAAATATCATGCGATGCACTATGGCGGGTTAGCTTTCAGACCTATTTGAACAAGAAGAAAATCGGTCATAACGAGGCTTACCAGACAAGATGTCGCCCATTAGGCATCGCCCGTACCGCACTTACGGCTCCGCTGCCGGCAGGAAACCTTAAAGATCGTTCAGGAGCCCAGCCGCTTCTGGCTTTGTGTATGCTGTACTCCTCCACAGTACCGTTACGCCTGCCGGCGTAAATCCAATTACCATCAGGACTCCAGCATGCGCCCATGCACCAAGGTGGCACACCACGTTGATTTCCTATCCTCGCAACAGGATCTTGTACGCGTCGGTCCCAAAGTCGAATTGTGCCATCTATAGCCGCTGAAAAGAAGACGGTGTCGGCGGACTGCGTGGAATCCATGGCTGGGGGCGGAGGATCTGAGGCAAAAATGAGGGATGGAGATCCCGGTGCCGGTTCTGATACCTGAGCATCAGGTGCGGCCGCAACTTCCTCCAAGCTTGACTCGTCAGGCTGCACAGCGACGTCGTTTGCGCTATCCTTAGTTGACTGGCCATCCGTTTCATGGGTTTCTGTACCTTGCGCCGCAGGCTGCTGCCTTGCGGCCTCGGGACTCCCGGTCTCCGGGGGCTGAACTGCCGGCGCAGAAGTCGCATCGGCATTGAAGGCATTTGTCATGTCGATGTCGGCTGAATGGTCCATACCGCCGTCCTGTCCTGAGCTGTCGTGAAGAGGCGGCATCCCCATGTCACCCATGGCCCTTGAGAACTCGTCATCCTCATCACCACCATAGTTACCCCCAACATTGTCGCCAAACAACGAGCCAGTGTCACTTCCTCCAAAGAGCGATTCATGAGCTGGAGATGCCTGGCCTTCGTCACCCTCACCAGGTGCATTAGACCCTTGAACCTCTGTGCCAGTTGCATCACCACTAGTACCATTCCGAAAAGGCTTCCCGTTGTTGGAGCTGAAGGTTGCATCAGGCTTGATGTCTTCTTCCATCGCATCGGCTGGAATCGGCGCCCCATTTACTGGGCGGAGCTCAATGGCGGAGATTTGACCTCCACTGCCATCAAAAGTACGCTTTACAGTACCAGTGTTCAGGTCCCAGTCAAATATGTTCTTGTCCCAGCTGCCGCTGAGCACACTCTTTTCATCCTGTGCCAATGACAAGACGCTAACAGCATTGGTGTGTTGCTGGAGGCAAGTTATACGTTTTCCTTCGTCGTGCCTTACACTCTGAAGGTTAATCCCACCAGATTCGAGACCGGACAGCAGCCAAAGGGCCTGAGAATGGACAGCTAGAGAGTAGACTGGTGACAGCACGTGTTCCTCGTTGCCCCTCGGGTTTGGCGGCCCCGGCTCTTCGTTCTCCCAGTACGACATCAAAATGCCCGCCTTGACGACACTATCGACAAAGGGATGTCTCTGTGCCACTGTAAGAAGTTGTTTGCCATTTATAGTGCCTGGACCGTCATATTTGCGGATGTAGCCGTCAGACCCTCCTGTCATCCAATATCGTAGGTCGGGGGTAATAGCGATAGCATTGATGCTCGTGGCCTGCGGTGCAGCCATGGTAGGCACGATATCGTAAAGTCTTGCAGTGACGGCTTCGGGCCTGACGGTCGGGAACAGGCTCGAAGAAGGCTGTGGTGACTTGCCCTTTTGCTCTGGGGATGTTCTTGCATCAGCCGAGTTGGCCCTAGAGCGTTGTCTCTGATCCCCCGCCGCTCCTTCATCAGCCTTGTCTTGGGCATCCTCCCCGGTTTCTTCTCGGTCACCATCTTCCTGATCGTCATCATTCTCCTCGTCTTCGGGTTCTATATCGCCATCGGCATCGTCTACGTCTTCCATGACCTCGTCCTGGTCATTCTCGGAGCTCGCATTCGAATCTGATGTGTCGGGATACATTAGTATGGCTATGAAAGAACATGGGCTCCTCCTCTCTTGCCTCTATCGTCTTCATCCATTGTGAGAGATATATGCGCGACGGCGACCTAGCGAACCAGTATGAAGGGGGCTCACGGCTCGCGTTGCAGTCGTCGGCTTCGTTCGCGACGTTCGCTGGTTTGCGCGCACAGGCTAAGGATGCGGACCGTCAAAAGGATGTGATAAAATAACAACTTGAGGCAATTGAACAATGAGATTCCAATCAAATCACTTCTCTTTATGCGTCAATGCTAGTACAATGCAGCGTAAGGCACTGGGGGAGTTGAAATCGGATAGTATTCGATAGATGCGTCGCGAAAGCTTGAGTCGCGACGTGCCCTGAGTTTGGAGAAGCTCGCAAGACTTAGCGGGGATACGTTACGCACGAGCTAGCCCAGGGCAGTCATTAGTGGAGGAACCCCAAATGGGTGCCAGGATGTGGGAGCACAGGCGAGGATCAGCTCTTAATGGTGCTACGGAGTACCCTTTTCTGTATTTGGTATGTCCACCCCACACCGAAACAACCGTCAATCGGCGGCCAAGACTCCGGAATACGGCCGTCGATCGCAGGATAACAAGACAGTTGTTCTGCTCTACGGGATCTTACTTCTTTAGGCCTAGAAGTCACGCTGGTATACCAGCGTACAACAGTCCATACTTTGTTCTGTCGACATTTCCTGCGCCGCCACACTGTTATCTTCAGATACAACATCGACTTTTACTCGCTTTGGATTGAAACATTGAAAAAAACGGACTTTTACTAGCCCGAAGTAGGACAGAGGTATGAATTTTGAGAATATGACGGATAACAGTCTACACCACCCATAAAATTGGCTTTCTCGCTATCTATATGTCCAATTGTGGAGCGTCATTGCCCCCAGCACGCTGTCAGCCTTGAGCCAATCTCAGGCAATATCGGATCAAAGTAGATGGAAGCTGTTGCGACAGATCAGTCTAGCAAAGTCTTCGACAAGCTCCATACGCTCACTCTGCCAAGTCCGATATTTCCCTACATGTACGCTGTTGTAATATCATTGAGAAGAGGCAAGGAACGTCATGGTTAAAGGTTATGATAAGTCTGAACGCTTTGACACGTTATTTGAAGTCTGATGTAGACTCTGGTTAAGATAAAGGTTTCATTTGTACACCAAGGGCGACCTTAATATCAGGCTAGGTTATATTATCAACTCATCTCTTAGCTTCTTCACTGGATCTTCCCCTTTGATATTCTGCGGCATTCTGGCAGTGTTGATGCTGTGAATCATCCGCCTGCTCAAATCTTCATATATACTGACTTGCCGAGATTTGATCTCGAACCCTGGTCGGCTAGGGAGTTAGATGGGGCAATGTGTGCCAGACCCATTGCAGACAACCATAAAGAGCTAGCCATCACTTGATATCACGCAGTCGATGGCAATCATCACGACGTAAGAGGCTTGTCCTTTCGTGAACCCTCGAATACTTTCTATGGATCAGCTTGGTTGTGACTTACTTAATCAGTAAGAATAACAGCGTCAGTTTTCAGGTCCCCCTAGTCCAGAGGTGAGTGGCACTGCATGTACAATAATTAACCCACTTATGCTTGATGTCCTGGCTTTTCCAATGGTGCCCGCACTTGTGGCGTATATGCAGCCTTTGGTTCGATTGTTTAACATCTACTCTGGCTGGAAAATAATCATTTTGTGTCAGAAAACCCATTTGCAGCAACCTATGTCTTCCGGTCCAAAGAGCAGGCAGGACTGCCCCATTCACAGACCATCAATGGTATGAGCGCGTTCCAAATCATTGTATTGTCTTTTTACCGTAGTTTTGCACACTCCAGCGAGATTTCTCTTGCTTTGTACATCATATCGTGCACATGCTTTCCTTTCTGGAGACGTGGCGTGGACGATGACAGAAGCTCCTGTGCTATGTACATGCTGTCAAGAGATACCTTGTCTTCAGGGCGGTAGTTCGTAGCCATCGGGGCCAGGGAAGATTCGGCATCCGCTATTTGAAAACTAGAGGTGTTATAGTGCGGCCCTCATTCTGCCATGTCGGCTTCTTGTGTGTGAGGGAAGGAGTAAAAAAGCCTCCAGTCCGGCCTACGTTGTAGAAGATGGAGTAGTGTCGACGGAAGGGTACGCAACTGGAGCCGTCATAGGCTGAGCAAAATCTCCTCTGTCCAAGTTCACAAACACTTCCTGACATATGGTGATCGGCCCCTGCGGGGCAGTATTTAGGAAACATGGCTGTAGATAAATTCAGGAGTACGGGTACCACCCATTCCAATGCTGCGTAGCTCTTTCGTAGAGCGAGATCGAACACCGACGTGACAACTGGGTAATAAACGGGAGAAACAAGAACACAACGATTCAAATACCAACCTCAGAAATAAACAGGCATGCCAGTCTCTACCAGGAGGCCAATGTTACAGATCGTGGGATTGCGTTTCTTCACATCTATGAGACCAACGTCTGATGGCCGGCTGGATCTGGCCAGGCACAAGAAGCCGAGGCGTTGATTTCTCTAAGGATCCCAGATCAGAGGTATTATTAAAACCCATACCCAAGAAGCGACCATCTGACCGGGTGGAATATCAGAGTGGTTTGACCTGGCAATTGACATTGTAGAAAGCAGCCCAAATGGTCTGTATTTTTTTTCTCTTTACCTACCTCGGCTTATCGATAGCTTATCGTAGGTAAGGGTAGCTGCGAATTCCTCTTGCCTCAGGCCATGATGACCTCGTCTTAGGTGCCCGAGGAATCAACGGCCAACAGTTAGATAGCTGCACACCCCCGTACATTGTTCGTGGAGGTAAGGCTCGTACCTGACTGGGGGCAAGGAATGAAAATCCGTCCCTGGCTGCGCACTCACGCACGAGGCACTGGGATGGTAGGGACCACCCACAGCGGCAGCTGGTGTGATAAATAGGTGGAAGCAGTAAGGGAACGAGCAAAAATTTTCAGTGCAAGCACTAGGTGCGATATTTCACCCCATGCAAGATCAGCAAGGCACAGGACTTGTCAGAATAGGTTTAATTTTTTGATGAGAACTGAGAAACAATCCTGAAGCTCAGACACCATGGCGCTGTTTCGCCTGCTGGGTTGGAAAGTGAAGCTGACGCCATCTGATTTTTCGCAATGAATTCGTAGATCATGGTAGAGATAGTGAGATACCAATGCAATGGAGAATACGGAGTAGGCCTGCTCAGATAAACAATAGTCTGAACGGTCGTGGCCCGTCCGTCCTGTAGATCAACCTACCTGTCCTTGCCCTTACTGACAGTTAACCATGGCTACGTCTCACGGAAAAATTAGGTCAATCCAGGAGACTCCAATTGCCATTCGAACAAAGGCGGGATCGACTCGAAACGATTAGAGGACAATAAAACCAGCCAAAGGGGATATGGCAGGCTCCACCCCCGCATTCCTCGAAGAACGTCGTCGTATGGAAAGTAGTACCCGACTGCACTGTGACCCAAGGTGAGCTTGCCTCATTTCACTATGCCTTCCCGGGCGAGCAGCCCCAGCTTTTTGGCTCACCGGGGTGGCCCCGCTCCCGCCAACATGATGGTGCAGCAGTGCTTTGGACACCTGCGCTGGTCTCGATCCGAACGTCCCGCCCACGTTGTCGATCAGCCAACCCAAACGAGTGCTCCGCTAAGAGCTTATCGCGGTAACACAGGGGTTCATCCTCGACGGCACGCCCCTCCACAAAAAGCCTGGGTCTTATTCTTTGTCATTTCCCAACCATATAGGGCTGAACCAGGGTGTATGCATTCCATCGACGACATCGACAACCGCCAACGGCCTTTTGATGGTGCAGCCGCTGTTCCTCAGCACCGCCTTCACCGTCGCCATGATCTTTGGGCTTGTCACACATTCACTGCTTGCTCCGACGCCGCGAAATTGTAAACGAACTGTGTAAATTTGTCTGATTTGACCGGACTTGTCCTGCCCGTCCCATGGGAACAGCGCCTCACAGATGATAACTCATGTTAGAAATCAATCTTACCACCAAGTCCAACCAGCTAGTGGGAAGAGCCATTCAGTCGGCCGTGACATGTAGAGCTACCTGATCCAGAACCGAATACCTGCCGACGCAATCTCTGAAGAAAGGGGGTATGATGACCAAATGACCCAAATGCAAGATGAGGGGAGAAATAACAAAAGAAAGAATATGGTGGAGTGAGGGTGACATGACTGGGGTAATCAGATTTCTGTCGCACTCCGGGTATCATGGTAATAATCCCTTATGCTCTGATATGTTGAAGGCTGTGCCTGTGATGTGATGCTGAATGCGGTGCGAAACTTCCCAAAACCGAACAAAACATTGAAAAAGAAAACATCCATCCGTCCTAAACAAAAAATTTGCGAGGGGGCTTTGACCAGATCATCTGGAACAAGTATTGCCGAAACCCCATAAAATAACCCTAAACCGAGATCGCTGATGCAATAATTCGAAACACAAAGAGTATGATTTAGCTGCTTATGCAGTTTGCGTAATGTAAAAACGGAGTCGAGTCGTAGGCCGAGTGGCGTCATGAAGAAACATCAACGTGAGTGATAAATGAAGTGGCCAATGTGTCCAGCAAGGCGACGAGAGATCATACCGGATGATCTGTCGAAGAAAGGAGACACACGTAGATGCTCAGGTGAACTGGCTCATCCACTTAAGATCCAGCCAACCAACTTTGTCGAAGGCAGTCCAGAGCTTCGAGGCTTTGTTTACGTCGATTTTACAAGCCTGTTGAGCATCGGTCTTGCGGAACTCCTTGCCCACTCGGGCACACTCAAGTCGGCGGATGAAGATACGACGCTTGCTGGTGAGATAAGTGGCACAGTCGAGCCTCAGGTTGGCTGCAAGGCTCGCCTCGTCGGGATGAAGCATCTTGATATTGGGATCATCGCTGAGATCAATGGGAGCACCCTTCCAGTCTACCTTCAGACAGTTTGGTTTGTCAGGCAAAGACGACACTGGTGGGCAGTAGTCTGGGAGTGCGCCAAAGTCGCGGTCCTCTCTGTTTGGGGCAACAACGCGACGAGCGGGGTCCGGAGTGGCGCTAACACGACGAACGTGTCGAGTTGGAGGACTGTTGCGGACAGGTCGAGGAGCTTGAGGCTTGACAACACGGTCGGGTTTGGGATTGATAGACGAAGATGCAACCTTGGGTCTAGTGGAGACAGGCTTTGTCGCCTTAATGGGTGCAGACTTCGCGGGAGCGATGGTCTGATATCGCACGACGCTGTTCCACCGAGCGCTGTTCAACTTCCGATCGGCCCTGACTTGGTCCCGTTCCTTCTCGAACCATGATCTTCGGTTGCTGGCGAACAGTTTCATGACGTGGGACTTCAATTGCAACGCCAATTCATAGTCCTCTCTCTGAGGAGGCGATCCCTCACGAAACAGGCCCGGAGGTCTTGCACCAATGTGCTCGTCGACGATGCGACGGTGCTCAATTATTTCTGTGCTGGGAAACAGAGGCGGCTGAGTCGGACTGGATGCCGTGTCGTCGCGGGGATACAGGATCGGGTCCTTGGTCATGCTGGTTGGAGTAGCAGGTACTGCGGCATTGGCGGATTCTGTGATGTAGGGCGATACAGGAGGTGACATGGGCATGCTAGGTTTTGTCACCTCATGGGCCTTGTGAGTAGCCGATGACGACGACGCATTTTGTTGTTGAACCTGGTTGAAGCTTTCGTAAGGCACCGGCTCGGGAGGCGACATGAGACTGCTGATATCGAATGTCTTTTTTGAAGTATCCCGAGCCATTGAGGTGGTTTGCGACGGGATGCAAGCATAGTTAGAGTCCATGGTCTGGGGAATAGACCTAGACGGGGACGGCTGCGTTGTAGACATGGTAAATGGAATGCTTTGAGCGGCGCGAGCTGGGGCGAAAGTGGCAGCAAGTTGAGAAGTAGTAGAGTGGGTGGATTTATCAGCCATAATATAGTGCCAGCGGGGTGGCGAGGGGGATTATGGAGATACCGGAGGTGAGATTGGGTTTCGGCGGTAAGGAGAAGACAATGGACCAAGAGAGAAGACCAGGGTCTCAACGAATGGGAAACCGATTGAAATAGAGCAGCGGCTCGAAAGTCTTTTTTGTCTTTCAAAGGTGGTGTGATTGATTGAATGTTGATTGTGGTGCAACTGAGGGCGTCAATGGGATGTCAGTGGTGGTGTCTATCGGTAATGACGTCCTCTGTGGGAGCTTGTTTGACCGTTGCCTTGCTGCGGTCGGGCGCTGACGTGGAGACTCGTCAATGGAAGAGAAATGCAGTTCGCGATTACTTGTATGTTGGATCGTGACGGCTGGGCTCCATTGACTTGTTTTGATTCAGTAATAAATGAGTTGTGCGTCAATGGGGGCAAGAGCGCATTTGCTGAAGGCAGACGGTGGCGGTAAGAGCGGACGAGGTGTAAGGTATGCGGGTAGATAGATGTGGATGTAGCGATGGATACCGAGCGGATACTCTGCACACTCTGAAGGGCAGGAATACCTACACAATGGTCGGTGCAGCGAATATGCAAAAGATGGAGAGAAAGAGGAAGAGAGCAGACAAAGTGTAGCAAGGAGGGCAGCGAGAAGTAGAATAAGAAGAAATGGAAGTAAGACGAAGCCTGGCGCAAAGTGGATGATGAGGGAGGAGGAAGTGTCGGGTAGACAGGCAGAGAGGGTGTTGGGCTGTGTCTAGTTGTAGGCCCCCTACGGGCATACAGCCAGCCAGCGGGGAGGGCAGGCAGACGGTGGTAGTACCGTCAGCTCTTAACAAATGGGCAAAGCGAACAGGTAACCCCGACCAGAAAGACGAACGAGGGGAACGGTCTTACACTACCGTGCCTACTGTGCCTAGTTCCAAACCCTACCAAATCTACAGATGATTATTATGAGCTTACAGGCATAGAGACAGGCAAGCAGACAGTGGGCGAGACACGCATGGCAAAGCTGGGAAAAGCCCATAGCAGAAGTCCGGGGGAGGAAGGACCTGGGCGCGGACGTGGACGTGGACGTGGAAAGTGGGCCTTCCCTTTCCCTAGCCTGCCTAGTTTAGTTCTGGTTTTGGCTGGGAAGAGTCACTGGACTGGCCCACGCCCATACGCCCCTTGCCCACCTGCCCACCTGCCCACTCACCCACCCATTGAAACCCGCCCCCTGTCAGCCATTTGTGCCATTGATAAAACTACCCCATCCCCGCCATGTCAGATGCACACCCTTCTCAATCAGGTGCAGCAGAACCAGCCGTAACACCTCTGCCGTCCACTTTAGATGTGTTGTGTTGCCTTTCTTACCTTCATAGCCATCTAATCAGCCAAGCCACAGTAGCCAGTCATTTCTTTCCCATAACGATACCCCAAAATGATTTGTCCGTCATTTCTTCAAAGCCGGAATCAAGGCAGCCATTGGCGGCTGACTCAACCCTACTTATCTCTGTTGTACACCATACTGCGTATACTAGTATTAGCAGTACTGTGCTATTCCCCCTTCTACTGTTGTCACCCCTCCTCCTTCCTCCAACCGCTGTGTCTTTGTGAGAGAGGAAAGGCGCTGATTAGGGGGGTGTCCATATCTCGCAATAGATTGTCAACCCCACCGTGAGTGAGAGTCAACTTTCAGTGAGGCCCAGGCTCTGGGGCCATACGTTGGCCTGGAGCAGACTCGTAGAGGAAGAAGGAAGGGGGCACAGTATTTTTGGGCAGCGAAAGTACTCAAAGTACGGTACTTGCGTCCGGGCCTGAGATACATGGCGAGTACGGGTACATCCACTTGCGGGTCAGTGCCCCGCTATCACCCATCGCCTGCCGTACCATACAGCTGCAGACAAAGCCTGCCTGTTCAAAGTCGCCTTGTTTACTTAGCATCTCATGCTTCAAGCCATTCTGCCCCTCCCCCGCCGCCCCTCCGTCGAGATGAAAGAAGCAAAGGTCGCTCGCTGCCATCCCCCGGCCCAGAACCCTCCTAGATTGGTATGGCAAGGTATATACTAACGTCCGATTGGCACCATGTACTGCCCTCCTGTGTTTAGTGCCTAATACAGAATCACACAGCAAAAACAAACAATGCTTTAATGGTTGAACCAAGCTGCTGCCAGCCACTGGCGGCAGGAAAGATTCGATTGACATCATCAGAGGCATTGACTCTCAATTGACTCCGCACAGGGTCAATTGGGCAAGGTTTCGATCTAATCATCTCTGTCCTTGCTTCGTAGTAAACATAGCATCGTCCAAGCTTTCGTGGTACCTCTTGTTGAATTGGAGGATCCCACAAGAGTCGCCGGTTCTCGCATCATCTGGATAGCACCCTCACTACGATCGAGAAACAGCCCACACCTTCCACATGCCACCCCATCAAAGCCACGAAACCTCACCAGAGCCAGGCGACCAAGGACAGTGCATCTGACGACACCAAAGCGGAGGTGTGTGTCAAGAGGGGCGGGCGGGTGACAGCCTGTCTCTGACTACAGGTCTCGAATGAGAGAGTCACTCGGTCGTGGCGCATTGCCCAATAAGCTTTATCTCTCTGGGGCAATTTGGATACACCGAGGGGCCCTTCCTCTCGAACTCTCTCGTCTATGGCCCCAATAGGATTCTGTCATCAATGGCGAACCGTCTCTGTACCGACATGCCCAGAATCGGTCGCTTGGTACCTGATCGATACCCAAGACCGGGGCTGTTCAAACAATTATGAGGCCGGAGTACCAAGTCCAAGTATTCCCGAACAAGTCGCATAGTTCTGTGCTGCACACCTGTAGTTCAGCGTTGCAGGTCCAACGGCCTTTTACTGCACATTGTATCTAAATTGCTACACTCTGCGTACTCCTCCCCGCTTCCTCTTGTTGTACCTTTTGAAGCCAACGAGGTGGCCTCGCTACTGTTGCTCGCCTGAGCCAACACGCTCTGGCGCATGACTGAAGAACGGCGTCTTCATGGCTACACGCCCGGGGCGGCACTGTATCTGTAGGCATGATAGCACAGGCTTGCGTCTTTCACGATAGGTAGAGGAACCGAATGATAGACCAAAGCGGGAAGGCAGGTTGCGGCGGCTGAAAGTTGAGATGGCGTTGCGATCGACGATAGTTTGAAGGTGACCGGTTGCTTTAGCTCTTATGAGCAAAAACATGGGATGACACGGAAAGAAGTCAAAGGCAGGAAATTGCGATATACTTTCATGCGCTGCCTATACAGAAGGCTTTCCTGTGCAGTCACAACCTCTCTTTGCGGAGCATTAAGTTGAGCTTTTTGTCTCTTCTGATACCGGTCCGAACTGTCCTTGCTTGTTGTTCTGCTGTGTCTTGAGTGTGGCCCAAGATTCGCTGTTTCATCAGAGGACGAGCATGAACTAGTAATAAGACATAATTGGAAATGAAAATGAGATAATTAAAAAAAAAAAAAAAAAAAACCACGACGAAAAACGATAACCACGGAGTCGAAATTTGGTTGTGCAATGGTGTTGAGAAATTCTGAAGGCAAGTCAAAATAAGTGACATGGGATATTCACAAGGCCATCCGCACATATTTGACCCATTCGGCCATGCACCTCATTGTGGCCCAACGGATTTACTGGGGCCAGCGCTGCAGCAGAAAGGCCCAAACAATTACACAAAGCGCGTGGTTATGCCTGTCATGAAACTGATCCGCTTGGGTCAAGGTGCCTTGCATCTGTTTCCATGCCTGACATCATGTTGGAGGGGCAAGCGTCGCTGGCAACAGCAACAACAACAACAAAGAAGGTAACGAGGCCAATTGGCTGGTCGTCTTTCAATGTGTCATTTGAACACGAAGCCGCATTCGGTATGCACACGTGTAAATTCAGACTGGATCTAAACCACAGCACAGGACAGATCAACCCAGCCTCGTGTGTTGTGTTTCTTCTTTGCAATGGCAATGGACTGATGTGGGAAGTGTGGCAGAGGCAGAGAGACGGAAGGGGGGAGAAAGGAGAGGCAAACGGATGTCACAGGCAGCTGAGGCAACAATGGAGACGACAACGGGCTCAGTGATGCCCAATTGGCCAATGGCGGGCTGACTGACCGCTCAATTGCGCAATGCATCAAGTGCCTGGAGGGGGGCCCCATGACAGCTGCACTCAAGGCGTCGCTTGGAGACGATTGAATTTGCGGAATTGAAGATAGGCGTATTAGATGTGGATGCTGATGCGGATGCGAATGCGGTGTGAGTCTTGCTTGGTAGTAAAGGGGCAAAGACTGAATCAGAGGAAGCCGTCAAGACATGAATGAGAACTTGGCAACGAGTGGGCGGGTTGCCTCCCATCAATTGGGTTCTAAATCATGCCATCTACTTATCAATTGGCCTCAGTCCCAACAGGCAAGTGCCAAATCGAAGAAACGAGTGTTTGTTCCTTGGTGCCTTAAGATGGCATCCAGGGACTTGGCACAAACACTCAAAAAGTAACGGGGATGAATCCCCAACATCACCAGGTAAGTTGTATTTCAGAAGGATGCACTGTGCCGGTGGGGGTATCGTGCTCTGATGGGCCTGGGTTGCGTGGGTGACTCCTCCATGTGCGCAGAGTTACGAAAGACTCATCAACAGGTTGGGAAATGGACCCGTGCCTGTGACAGTACCGCACCCCATCTGGCAAGTATAGGAGAGGGTGATGCGCGTGTGAGTCACAAGGAGGACGGGACTGTTGATAATCTGATGGAGAAAGTCCCAAAAAAAAAAGGCGGCCTCTCGTTGGCCTTACCGCCGCATTACTTCGAAACGCTTGATCCCTTGCCCTCAGTTGGCTTAGCGGATCGCCACTTATCGATAAGACGTCACGGCTGAGGTGGAGCCATCGGCGGCAAGAGTACTAGCACTCCTAGGGCCAAGTACGTGTTCTGTAGGACTCTTTCTCCGCATGTACCTGCCGAAAGTACTGATACGATTAGGGACCTTGCAGGTACTTGCCTCTTCTCCTCCGCCATCCCTCGCCGCCCGTTTCTGTTGTCTCTGTCCTCTGGCATCCCATGCTACTCCCCGTGCAGTCTTGTTGTACAGACAGACTGTGCTTGTAGCACACTTCCATTCTTGAGCACTGTCCTTGACACCGCGTTAGCGGGTCCAATGCAAGCGCGCATTTGTGTAAAAGACTCCCTGCGCCTGGCAAATATTCTTTGCCTTTCCACGGATGATTCCATCACCCTCGTTTACGCCAACTTGCTCACAAATCCACTTCCACTCACGTCGGATTCTACAGCAACCTGACAACGCATGCTATGTATAGCAAGGAAAGCCAAGATAGACGCAGATACAGCTGCAGGCAAGCAATGCAAGTCAAGCCTAGATCTCTCGGCCCTGCGCCGCCCCTGGTCTGTCGCTGGCCTCCCCCGGTCTTTCGATGCCTGCGTCCCATCCATTATATTCGACCACTAGATCCAACCAGGACAAGCTGCAACCAATTCCGCCCACCATTCATAACACCCCCCACAGCGCTTCTGTCGAAATCCATCTCCCTCTGCAAGTCCACGCCAGCCACTGCCCTGTCCCTGTCTTTAGTTTGGATGTGATGTGGGTTACTGTAAGGAGATCCCTCTAGTCTGCACAGCCACAGCTCCCTTCCTCATGGTCCCTTTTACTCGACCATTGCAATTGGCGAAGTAATCCCTGGGAAAATCTGGCACCAACTCAACTCAGCAAACCACCGTCCATGATCAACTGGGGTTGGTGCTTCCAGGAGTGTTCATACCGCTCGCCACAATGGGAGAAGAATATCAGCTCGGAAGGAGGGGAGTATTGATCGTGAACCAACCATGTGCTCCAATTGCAAGCCATTGCGCTTTGAGAGCGTCGCTCATTCTTTGCCAACCTCCAGTAGCGTCTGACTACGGACTTTGACGGACTTTAGGTTCAAATACCAGAAAGTTACTCGTCGGCGATTGAATCAACAATGGCGTTGTCGTCATCCAGTTGTATGACTGTATAGTAGCCTAATCTCTGTGACTCCTTAAACCGAACGAAGCCTTGGTGGTTGGTGAGGTGAGAAGTAGATTCTTCGTGTCGACGAATCCGAACGTTCCGAATGAGCAATTGGCAACGCCATCACTTGTCGGATTACTTTAATCAGCAGCCATGCCCGCGTCGAGCAAGCAGAGGGACCTTCCACGAGGAATCTTACCCTCTCTGTGAGCACAACTGCTCAAGTGGCTACAGTCTTGAACGGAACAAAATACATCAAATTGAAGCTTGGGCTGTTGCCCAAGAGTGCATGCATTGTATACTAGTATGACCTTCCACATCACATCTCCATCGAGGGCTCTTGAGATTATTCTTAGATTTAAGTCGAAGATGGTACATGCTGAAAGTGCGCCGTCGCATGCTCGCTCAAGCCTGGAACGGAAGGCAAAGAGGGAAAGCCGGTCAGTTGGTACCATAGTAAAGTCTGTTCAGCCCACGCCCCAATGGCCACGGGACCTTCGGGGGGGGGGGGGGGGGGGGGGGGCTGGGCACGCAATCTGCTATGAACTGGATGATGGATTGCCTGCTTTTGTCAGTTCCAACTCGCGGTTCTCGCGGGTAGCGCAGGTATCGAAACACCCCACGTTTTAGATACCGCCTTGGAATCAAGATCACTGTCGTGGCCGAAGCAGTACTTTGTACCGGCACAAAGCGAGGTATGGCTCTTAAGATGGTCCCTCGGCGTTCGGGGTCTTATCACTGCCATCCACCCGTTTATCGCTCAGTGGCCTGGCTCGTTGGTCAAGGCGTTGCAGCAAACACTGTGCACGGAAACTTATCGATAGCAAGAACGGGCGCCGCCGATAGCGCGCGGCCGCCACGACACCACCTATTTCCCAATGCGCTGAGTAACTGGGTCTGTAGTCTTGGAGCAACTTCGATTCTGACGAGTGACGTCGATAGCCAGCTGTAACGCAATTCAACAAGTGACCATTATGAGCACTAAGACTATTACATCTCACCTCTGTTTCCTTAAGAAAGTTACTTGGGCACTTCACCCTTCATGTTGGTCTCAGTTTCCGTAGAGAAAAAGGCAGTGTCCTGAGTGTAAAGCCAGCGGACGACGACCACACCCTTACCAGGTGGGCGGGCTGCCACATGACCAACCAAGCCACCCCTCTGCCAATGAAGAATGGGGGGGTGATGGTCGGCTGCCGGTCCCGTGAGGAAGACAAAATGGGAGACTGAAGGTGGGAGCAAACCAACTGACGACAAAACGGCAACTGCGCTCTAGTCCTCGTTCGTTGCCGTCTATCACACATCCAACTAGCCAATCCAGAAGTTAGCTCAGCCTAGACCGGTGCCGTATGGTTCCGTCGATGGTGCCGTCCCGCCCAAGGAAGTGAGCTGATCACAAGGAGCAATCTTAAGTAAGGCCACTTTGCCGTGCTATACCAATCCACGTTTTGATATTAAACTAATTCGTCTTCCAATGGTGGCTGGGCGTAAATGGCTGCGTCTGCCAGAACGGTATGTTTCACGTCTGCCTGTGGCCGGCAGTGGGGATTTGATTGCTTGCTGTCTTCTCACAAGCCATCTCGTTCTCTCTTTTTACCGTTCAAACTAGATGCTGAAATCGGTTGATTGACCACGGCCTCCTCTTTGTTAAACCACTTGCGCTACTACAAGTCACTGCAGCGACACCCTCCGTGCCAGTGTCTCTTGATAGTATATTCTTCTGGTTCGACCAGGGATGATATGATCCCCGCCCGTCCTAGTCGATTTTGTTGCTGAATTCCACCAAGACGAGGGGCTCCAAGGAGGGGTAAGATGCGGTCAGAGTTATGGCGGTTGGGCTAATACCATTAACCCGTTCCTCCTCTACATAGTACTATGCTATCTCCCAGTAATTTTGTTAAGACGCGCGATACGCAACAGCCCTGTCATAATTGAAATTCGCTCCATGGGTATGTTTCTTTGTCAATTCTCGCGCGGGTTGTGTCTTGATCAAGTCCTGCGTGTCCAAAACGTTCAGTAGTAGGCAGGTGTATCGATAACGCTACCTATCCTTATCACCCCTCCTGGTGCTAAGACCCATGTCGATTCTCAACTGAGGGGCACACCAGGAATCCTACGTGTTGGGATAATGGGAAAGTCACAATAAAAAACGGCCCTTCCATGCACGCTCAAATTCAGATGGGGACCTTTCTAGTTCTCGCATACATAGTAAGATGGTATGAACACCTGCGCGCTGGAGCGGCCTGCCTTATTCAGTAAGCACAAATGGAGTACTCAACGGAGAGGGGGGAGATACATGGTCTGGACCTGTCAACTGGGTCCGAAGGCATCAATCAACAAAGGAGGGGTAAGGGGTGGGGGACTCGTATGTAATTCAGGACCCTGGACTGCCTTTTTGCGTGGCATGTCGGGTGGCTCACAGTGGTGGGATAAGCCGGACCATGATGTCGCAATGGCGTCGCCTATTTAGTACCATATGGAACATACAAGTCCTAGAAATTTCAAGAATGAGAACACCTTGGCAATGAGTCACGAACGCAGATGTCTCACCAAACTTCTCAGCCGTCGACTGTTAACCAACAGTTTTGGCGTGTTTGATTGAGATAGGATGGGCCGTCGGAAGATCTAATCTTATCAATCACACCAGTCTTCAAAGCATATGCTGGCATGACAGATAATGTATGCCTGATACATTAGCAGTATAGATGTAAACGCTTACTTTCCAAAGGGACATTGGCCAGCCAGCATGGGTATCTGGACTTGATGCCCATGCACGCAAGTCGCTTATTCCACACAAGGGCAAAGCCGTAACGGAGCCGTGAGAGGTCGGTTAACACAACGTACCCCGTTGCTCGTCTACTAATTACATGACGACTACCTAACTAACAAGGGAAGAGAATGAAACCCAAGGAGACTGTGCTATTATATACCTCCTATTTTAACTGTTTCATAGCACATCGTAAACACCCCTTAGGACAGCAGATGCGTTTACTCGTTAACGGCTGGGTACACCAACCAAGCTCTCTATGAAGAAGTACGCCAATCTCGGATTATCATCAGGCAGAACGATCAAGTTCATTGATACCAGCGCCCGTCGCCCCCGCACAATCTGGTTGAAGATGAGTTTTTCGGGAAGTCGTCACACCTTCACCCGGGCTAGTTTCGTCTTTGTCGTGCTGGCTTACATCCCCCGATCGAAGTCAATTCCGTCTGGCATCAGTCACTTTAGCAAACTAGATAGATCTCATCTGGTAGCCTGCATAGTCCCTACACCACTAGACCTATATGCAAACAACTTGATCGAAGGTTCGGCCCAGCATAGAACCAGAAAAGATATGCCTAACATGGTTACCGACGACTAGTCTAAGTCAGAATGACCGAGTTAACTCGAAGCAAAACCATTTGAAGCCTTCGGGCAAGCCCCTTTTATGCCCCATTTCGGTGCCCCTCTCAAGAGTGACACTTGTCTTGTGACTCTGCTCTCTAACATCTTGAGTGTTGGTATCGTTCATAGTAGAATCACCAATGTAGTCTAGCAAACGCGAACTTGTTACAATCGTTTGCCATGTCTAATAACAGGTGTACCGGGCATATAAAACGAAAAATCCTGGAGCAATCCTTCTGTGCTTCCAATGCAGCATGGATCCCTGCCTACTTCTGAGAAACTCAAGAGGGGTTTTGATTGAGGCGGGTATAGGTCCCCGCTGTCTTCCTGCTACCAACACCTATGTCGACCAACAAGGCGCCTGGTACGTTCAACGTGCAAGCAATGGAGCAGCCATAGAGACGGGATAGTAGCGTCGGCTGGCATTTCGTTACGCAAGTGCCGCTCGGTGTTACGTCTGGTAAGTAATAGGGTAAGACGAGGACCCCAAACCACAAGCCATCGACGCCTGAGAATCCACCAATATCGTTGGCGCGGCTTCTCCACCGTTGACTCGTCAGGTAGATGCCTGTTTGCATGACTTCAACTTGCCATAGGCCGTAAGCCACGAAACTCTGAAGCCAGGGAATGGCGGCTGCCTAATGGCATGCTCAGTGTGCCACACATATCCTAAACTGCCAGGCTGACTCCTCGCCGGCTGCACTCATGAAAAATCATACACCACGAGGCTTTCCCTGCCGTCCTTAGTCTCTTTCAGTACGATAACCATCTCATCGTCGAACCCAACCCAGCTGCGTCGGTCATCGCGCCGAGCTGACACTGGGTTGAACCAAGAGCCTATCATTTCTTGGGGCTCAGTGTCTGGCACTGAATTGGATCGGATTTCAGTGCTCTTGCCACTGACACGTCCCTCTAGCTCCCAAACTCGAATCTCTTCGCCTCGACAGCTCACACTGACAGCCTTACCTCGTGCCGTTATTTCGGCATCGCTGATACCTGAAGTGTGTCCCCAAAGACGGATGCCTGGTGACACAGAAAGTTTCGTAGCATTAGATGTGCAGACATGCAAGATCAACGTGTTATCCGCCATTGCTGCTAATAGATAGGGATGAGTATAACAAATGGTCTTCGGGCCGTCCGACGTAGGTTCTGGTATGGACTGGCGGCTTCGTCCGTCTTCGGGAGAGCTTGAAAAAACCGAGGGTTTTGTTTTGACTAGGCCAGTGAAAGCGAGGCGTGTCGATGCAATCTCGGGCACAGAGATCGCCCCATGGCCTTGGGTCCGTATTTGAAGGTCTTGGATACCAATGGACCATCCTTCCCGGGTAGGATATGTGTATGCAATTGATGCAATCACATATGTCGCCATTTGTCGAATGGACAGTGCCAATGGGGGTTGTGGAGTGTGCGATTTTAGGGACGTCAACAGGATCGGGGCTTGAAGTAAGATGGTGTCTCGCAAGCTACTGGAACTCTTTTCGCCTTTGGATGAGCGACCTCTTTTCACGGAATTGTCTTCCGTATCGCTTTCCGAGCCTCGAAGTGTTGCACTTTCTGATCCAGTCTCTGTGTCGCTTTCATCCAAGATGACAGCCTCGTTCTCTTGCGAGGCTGCCACTGTCGGACTTGCCCTGAGTGACCCCTGAAAGTAGTACAAAGAAACCAACACTGACTCTGTGGCAGTTAGGACAAAGGGATGGCGATATGCGATCCCAATGAGTTGGCCATTGCTGGACTTTTCGTGCCTGTATCTCTTCAGAAACCTGCCATCGTCCAGATGCAGCCTCCAGACGCCAAAACTGCCATCTAGAAAGCCAATGGACACGTCCAGCCTCCTTGCATCCAACCTTTGATCATCGATGGCTATGCAAGTCGGCGTTGACTCAATAGGCCCGTCCTGGAGCCCAATCTGGGCTAATGGCTTTCTTGTCTTTAAATCCCACGCTCGCAGTCCCAAAGCGCCATCTGCAGTCACAACAATGCCCTCCGTTACTTTTGCCAAAGTTTTTCTCGAAGTAGAGTGGTCAAATGAGTGGTCTCCAACTTCGAGCTCCTCGACTGTGGCTTTCCCGCGAGCCCAATTATGGCGTAGTTTATACTGACGTTTCCAGTCGACCGACTCGCCAGACCCGTCTCTTCGACCCCAACCACCATCTGCCCATACTGTTCGCCTGGACGAGTAGTTTACTCTCGTACTTTCTCTCGCGGAGCCATCACGAAAGCCAGGTATTCTTAAGGCACGTGGGAGGACGAAACGGTTATAATACAGCGATCGCCACAGCTGTGAATCGGAAGAGAGACGATGGAATCGGCGGGAAACTGGAGCTATGCCCAAGAGATTCGAGGTTGGCAATAAGGATAAAATGCGAATAAGAAGTTCATCGGATAGCGAGGAAAGGAGGTCATCGGCTGCGAAGGCGGGTCTGATGTCGATGTCGGGTTCTGAGGCGCTCTGGCATGAGACGGCGGTGCGCAAACGTTTGGATTGGACTGGTGGATGCAGTTGGGGCTGCCGCCTTTTTCGTTGCATCTTGCTCAATCTGATTGCCACGTAGCAAAAATTTCACTTTGCTATGCATAACAAGTGAATGCGCATTGCGAAAGATGTGGGATAGAGCATGGCGCACAACGTGGCGACAAAATAGGAACGTTCACAAGCCCAGATAGAACATCTTTAATTCGACATGATCTTTAATTCGACATGAATGCCAGCACTAGCAAGAGGCAAGACTGCCTGGGGCGCGCCCCACATAGAGTGGCACGGATATGGTACCACGGTGCATACACACTCAGCTTTGCATGAGTGGAGAGAAAAACGCACAGATCACATGAGATGCTGGGAAGATAGAGCAGCAAGCAGCAGATATTACGGCGTGCAAACTCGTACTTATTGCCACTAGCACTGCTTGCTGAGGATTAACATCTTCGCCTATTGGACGCTGCCTTCTGTCAGTGTGAAGAGGAGCAATACCATTGTCTCAAAGTATGCAAAATGACTTCTAATAAAATTTGGACAATGTTTTGGGTCAACTCGATAATAACTTGCTCAAACTTACCAATAAGTCTCAAACAAGTGTAAGAAATTCATATCCTTCTGTTCAAATGGCAGCGACTGGTGATACTCTTCGTCTTCAGCCGCCTTTCCTGAAGCTTTCTCAGGTACTTCATTAGACTGCGTATCCCGCATCAATATGACCTTGGCAAATTTGAAGGTCACGGCTTTTATGACGAAATACGGGGAACAGCGGCTTTCCATTCCTGGTCTCGACAGACAGTAGTATGGATTGCTATGAAAGGGCATGAAAGCCATCGAACAAGAATGTAACGAAGTCTGGCATATTTTGCTCGAAGGTTGCCGTTGCACCTTCATCATCGGATGATCATGGTGTCTATTCCTTCCTGGCGGAAACTTCTTCCCATAGCTTCTACTTGTGCTGGTGCCTGACAAAGACGTCGTTTAAGTCGAATATTCCGTTGCTTGTGATTGGGATTTGTGCAAACTCTCTCTGATGGGCATCTCAGTCTGAGTTTGCCACAATTGCATAGCTCCGGCTGTTCACCTTGGGTCTATCCGATACCACCTGCCTCTTGAATGCTTGCACTAGGACATGAAAGCACGCAAAGGGGCTGCCAGCCTTAGACACATTTGCTTGGAGTTGCTACAGTTGCGAAAACTACGCCTCTTCAAATACTGCTGTGCGGAATTTTGACAGCGCTGGGAGACTAAAGCTGCAGTTTATGAGGTCATTGTCTCTCGGTGGTCTTCCACATGACATACAGTACGCATGAAATATCCATCGTGTGAGCCCATGTCCGCTTTTCTGTCTTCGAGAGCTGCCTCGTTGCTACGGTTAGCTGCAAGCGAACTTGGAGCTAACTGGGGAAGACTAAGGAAAAATATACAGCAGACGAGCAACAAATATAGTTTCCAGCTTAACACAGTAGCTAGCCCAGTTGTTGGCCCTCATGAGAATGTAACCCGGCAGCAATAATTTCTTGTGTGTTGAGAGGCTATTTTCACTTGGGCTGAGTAGAATGGGCAGGGGAACCTGAGACAAGCGTCTCCAGTCTTGCAACGCTGTTAAACAGTTCATGACCCATGTCTTGGTGACCTTCCCGTTTAATAGTGCAGAGACAAGTCTGTATTAAGAACGTCAGTGGCTCAGTCTTCCTTGGACTATCACGGGTTGGGATATGGAGGAATTGGGCGGCGAGGTGAAGTCACGAAAATAGTGCATCTTCTCTTGGGTTACCGCACCAATTCGAACGCCCTCGGACTATTTAAAACCTCCAGATTATATGGTCGAACAGGCATTTTCTTCTTTTTTTCTTTTCCCCTTTCAGATTGAAATGGTTTCACGCATTAGGCAGCAGCCGAGCTGCTTCGTTACCTTTGCTATTCTTTCTTGGTCTTGAGAGTAAATCAAACCTCGCGCGGGAGCCTAGGCGCCAGGTCCTACTTTTGGGCCGACAGCAATCCAACACCTGTGTTATGTTTGGTGATGTTGCTGATGGCTGCTGCAGCTTACAGTTTGGATTCCGAAACAGCGTGCGGCAAACTGGAAGAAGCGAGGGAGCCCGCGAAGAGTCAAGAGATTGAGGATTATGTGATCTGGTACTTTCCAAGACATTCGATGTCAAGGTTGACGCCCGAGCAATATGGACCTCAATGCTGGCGTGTTACGGTGAATTGTTGAAGTCATGCATGGCATGGAGAATTGGGATTGAGGCGGAAATGGTCCGTGCATACGACACTGGACAAGATCTCTGCAAAGCGATGTGCCCTCGTTGCTTGATGACAGGATTGATTGGCACTGACTCAAGCCATTCCTCTTACCATGTAGAAATCGGTCAACCAAGTCGGAATGAACGCGAGCAATTCGGATGGGCTGGGCGGCTCGGCTGCAGGCTACCCCTATCTAGTGGTGAAGGGGTATGGTGAGTTCAAGAGCTGGATCCGAGAGATGGGCTGAGGCTGGTGGATGGCGATGCTGGTGCGACGACGCTTGAAGCATTGACGAAAGCTTAAACGAACGAGGAAAGAATACCGCGAAATGAGAACTAGAAGTGGAGTGTTCCAGTGAGGCTTCCATAACGTCCGCCAACAGTTCTTACAGCTTCAAGCTGAAAGGCGGGTCGGAAAAGAAAATGAGCTGGATGTTGGGGCAAATGTTTAGTTGAGCGGTATCCGCGGGGACCCGAGCAACTGACCTGTCAAGGATTCGCGTGGCATGGTATTATCGGGAGTTAGGAGCCGGACTACCACCTGTGAACGAGATATTTTGTTCCATAGTGGAAGAAGACTGTGGGCACCTGCGAATGGGCAGTGCTCATGCACGGCGTTGAATCTGCCGCACGCCAGTTCGCGTCATCAGTTGGCCGCTGGTAACGGCAGGTAATTCGGTGCCATAGTGTAAACCCCCAAAGCAGGTGGCTTCTGTTCACAATGGAGCGCACATGTTCCGATTGTCCGCCCGTCAACTGGGTCCGCGTCCACATTCCATCCAGCAGTTGCAGCTTGGGCATACTCCCTGTCGACCTTCGTTGGCTTGGGTTCATAAGATTCCTGCAGACTCAGCGCAGTATGTAAGGTACGTACAAAACGGTAATGTCCGTTACAAAGGCACAACAGCGCACCTTAGTTCCTTCCAACCTGAGCTAATACATGGAAAGAAAACCCACTTGCTTCCGCATCTCATCTGCTTTAACTAGGCTTAAATCAAAAGACATTTCGACGGCAGTAGAAGCTCGCCAGCGTAACTCTCCCTTTCTCTCTCCATTCCCAAGCCGCCCAACTGCGCGCACGGCCTTCATATCGCAAATTCTAATCGAGAAAGACACCTCGTCCTCTGCTTCAATTCATCTCGTATTGGCTGTCCGCTGTCAATTTTCATCAAATGCCTCCCATCTAGACGCATCCACAAGCTGCAACACATCTGAGTTGACCCTCCAGACACCGACTACATCCCCGCTGCCATTGCCGATAAGCTGGAGATTCCCCATTTTCCTTGGCATTTGCTCATCCTCCCCATATTCAACCCCCTGCTCTGTCTTACCCAGCAGATCGACCCCTGGTGGGTTTGGCCGACGTTGATGGTGATGCCCTTCACCTCGCTCTGAACACAATATTTTGACCCAAGCCAGTCTTGTCTCTGCCCGCGTATCCGACGCAGTGATAGCCGTTTGATCTCTACCCCTTCCCTTGGCTACCCAGACAAATACTGGTGCGCTGCAAAGTTGGCCCAGTCGACGACAGATCACCGCAAAGCAGAGCACGTCTTTGCGGAACGACACAAAGCAGAGCACAGCACGACAGAATACGCCTCAGTGTAACCTCCTCTTTCTGGCATGGAGTCAGACTCCCGATCCGTGGGCCCCGATGACCAGGGTCTGCGCCGAGCTGTATGTCCATAGTCAGGTAGTCCTGTATCACTTCCTCAGATCTTTCTCTTCCTCACCGCACTCACAATCTGAAATTCTGTTGTCTCTGGGGAAATTACTGACGGTTTCTTTCACAACTAGTGTGATCAGTGTCGTACCCGCAAAGTTGGTATTCCTGCTGTGTTCATTCTGCTGCCCTCCTCATAGTTTCGTCTCCCGCATATGTCAACAAGAGACCATCTCTCCTTCATCCCTGCCCCACTATTGGCGTTCGCACACTAAGATTACATGTCTATGGATGCGACTTGTATGACGTTTTGCTAACAACGGGCCTTCGCGTGGTCGTGCATCATAGATTCGTTGTGACAAGAGTTCGCCGTGCTCCAACTGTCGTATTACACAGCGCTCCTGCAGTTCGAACGGTGTAGGACAAAGACCAAAGGAGCAAAGACATCGCGTCCTCATCTCTCTCCAATAGTGAGCTGCACTTCTTCCAGTTTCCCTAGTTTCTCGGGACCTCGCGCGTCGTATTGGTCTACCTTCACTTCAATATCATAGTCCCTCATCATAGCGCGGGTCGCTCATGAGGCTCTGTCATAAACCAGCATCCCCTTTCCCCAGGCTAAGCGACAGGCGCATAAGCTAACCAGATTCTCCCAAAAAAATTATAGTGAGAAAAAGATTGATCTAATTGAAGAACGGCTCTCAAATATTGAGGAGTTATTACGGAGCCTTACGAACAATTCTGGAAGCGGGCCCTCGTGGGATGTCACTAGAACGAGACACATCACTCCATCCACCTCAACCGTTGGCGATGGCTCTGCATTCACAAATGATGGCGCAGAATCGGACTCGGCATTTGAGGGTGATCCATCGCTTAGTGCGCATACCATGTTCGCCAGCGATTTTATTGAAAACGCCGTCCAGCGCACTTCGCTCCAAGACGTACCTCCCAATATGCATGCAGCCCTCTCTTCTCTCCGCCAAATCGTATCGATGCAGAATAAAATCTCTTCAACACGGGAGTTCCGTTTTCGCACCCAGCAACCCCTTCCGCCTGGAGGGTTACCAGAACTTCCCATGCCACCGATGAATGCTGTTGTCGCTCTGCTGAAGCACATGAAAAGTTGACCGCCACTCTGTATCCCGCCTAGGAGAATGATTACTAACGTTGGATTTAGTTTCACCTCCTGGAATCTTCTCTCTTGCATGCTCTTTTCTAGATGTCGATGATTTGGCTGAGCTTTGTCGAAGAGTTTACTTTTGTACTGACACCTTCGCTGACACCACCTTTGTCATTGTCAACGGCGCCCTCTTCTACCTGTTTATGGAACAGGCCTACCTGGCCACAGATGCCGCCGCAAGAGAAGAGTTCGAAAGGTTTCAACACATGTGCCAGGGCAATTTGGAGACGGCCTTGTCCTGTTTGCCCCTTATGCTTCCCGCGAAAATGGAAAGTATAGAAGCACTGCTTGTGGCGGTATGTGGCCAACTGTGTTTAGGCCCAACATCTGTTTCAAAAGTTACATTGGGCTCAAGCTGACAAGTGCAGTAGGCTGTATACTCGGTGGACGTCTCCAAAGCCTCCCTTGCTTGGCTATTTACTTCCACTGCGGCTAGCCTATGCCAAACTTTGGGTTACCATCGCGTCTCACGGGCCAGGAGCGAAAGTGCTGGTCCAAGAGACATCAAGACACTCTTATTTTGGCATGCCTACATGTTGGACAAGGCTCTATCGTTGAGAACTGGTAGAGCCTCTGTCATTCAAGACTGGGATATCACATTGCCAAGAAGAGTTGACAACACAATGGTAGCAGATCCCTGGGGAATCGTTATTACGGCGTGGATCCAGCAAGCAGAGATCCAGCACCGCGTCTACGAGCAATTGTTTGACTGCATCCTGTCGCTATTTCTATTCTATTTGTACTGACATAACATCAGATACAGTCCCGTGGCCTTGGCCCAGTCCGAGGAGGAGCGCATCGAAACTGTACGACGCCTAGAGGCTGAGCAAAAGGCCATAATGGCTGCCGCCTCAAATGTGCGAGAACAAGCACTGTTCGGTTTGAAGGCTCTCAACGCCTCATCCTTACTAGACATACACCTTCGGGGTGACGAGCTTACCTTCCAGTCGACCCTGACCTTGATCTACCGAGCCCTACCAGCCCCGGAAGGTTCTCCAACCCGGTTTTCCCATGAATGTATTGAGACGGCTCGTTTTGCCATGCAGCTGCATCTTGAATGCATGCAGAGAATTGCTGAAGAAGGGCGGCATCTCAAGACAGTCTATATCCATTGGTATGAAAGACGCCGCTAGAAAGAGACGTTAAGTCGCTAACTTTTATGTGCTAGGGCGATCTTGTCGACACCATTTACGCCCTTCTTCGTTCTTTTCTGTCACGTCATCGATACATCCAGCACTGAGGATCTCAAGCGATTGAATGATTTCGTTACCTCCCTTAAGCCCGCCTGCGCACTATCAGAGCCAGTGGAAAAGCTGCATCAACTCTGCCAAATGCTGTACAATGTGGCGGTTTTATATGTAGAGACTAAGTCGCAACAGTCGGAAGAGCGGGATCCCATCAACGATGAGTTCGACGTGTATCTCAGTGCTCTAGGATTCCCTCCAACCGAATATCCCATTCAGGGTATAGAAACCAGCGGCCTTGACCAACCCAATTTGCAGACTACCCAGCTTGGAAACTGGTTTTCAGGAAGCCAGTACATGATGGGATTACTCGAGGAAGACTTATCTCAATTCAATTGATTAGGGGTCAATTCCGGAGGCAGTTAGGAATTAAAAAGTTATTGTAAAGAAATTTTAGCAGCTGTACATGCTCAAAGAGTTTCAAACGGGTTGAAATGCAAGGCGAAAAGGCGCCATGAGAACTCGACGGCTTCGACCGAGCAACCAGCACCTAGAGTAAAACCCTCCGCAGAAAGTTAGTCGACTCTGCCTCTTTATTTATATATTCAAAACATGAATGAAGCCACACACTAATAAACTGCGCCTACCAGCAAATGCAAGTTAGTTGTGATTTTCACAGCGGAAATCAAGCAGGCCGCGGGTCGTCAGTTGCGCTCATCTGCCTCAATTAAACCCGAGCGCAGTGGTAGATACACTTAAGTATCTCAGCATGTGGGGTGCCTTGGGTCGTAGACTTCGTAGCCCTCGTCATCCGTATCGCTTTCCACCTCACCACCTCGTCCTTGAGTGGCAGCGAACCTGTCGGCTTCGAGAGCTTCACCGGCTTTCGACTTTGTGACATCCGGCCCGGTAAGTGAGTCAGGAGTTGTAAAGGCTGATTTGAAGCCTGATTTCTTGAAACCCCCCTTCTTAAAGCCACCTGTACTGGTAGGCTGTTGCGATTGATCTGTCGAGGCGAGTTTGATACTGACAAGTCCATCGGCCTTTGCCTCGGCTTTTCTGGCCCGGGCGCCAGCGTTAGAATCGCGCACCATGGCCTTCATATCCTTGAGACGTTGCTTGTGGCTATGATCATAGCTGCTGAGATGTGCCTCGTAATCATTCATGCGGGAGTAGCCTTTGGAGCACAAGCTGCAATAGAAGGACTGAAGAGCTTCGCGAGCAGAGGAAGTCTGCGCCGGTGGCAAAGTCTGATGCCGCTGCGGGGAAATTTCCAGTCACTACCGCAGTAATATCTGCAAGAGCTAGTGTTTCTTACCGGAGGCATGATGGCTGTACTGGCTGGCAAAGGGTTGGTATTGTTCTTCGAAACCAAGTTAGCAGGCAGTGATGGAGATGATGTATTGGATGTGGTACGGTAAAGTGCAAACTGTAAGCGTTTTGGGGAAACTTGGGGTAAGTGGATGCGACGCCTAATGTGGACTAGTGAGGCTCTCGGCGGTCTCTGACACCTGGCAGCCCCTACAACCTATGACGCGTTAAGGAATGGTCAGCTGCACATGTGAACTCCACATTGTAAACTATTGCAGGTTTGGGATACTATATTGTTGCTACCTTGAACATATGTTTACCCGACTTATTTACCTAGTATTATCCTGCGCAAATTAGGCCTTTTTGCAACACAAAGCTTCGCCTACAGTACCCATCCAATCTGATCTAACTGTTCGGTTGCTTGCCTGCGCTAAGGCGAAAGCAACCAGCATAAGTGTCACATCTGACGCCATGGACTCTAAATCACTTCGGTCCAAGGCGTCTGAAGAGACTCTCATATCACTCCTTCAGCTAGATCCGTCGCCCATAGAGACACCACCAGCAGACACCGATAAAGACCTTCCTCCTCTGCCCGAAGATACTCTGGAGAGTAGCACCGCATCTTTAAAGTCGACCTCTTCCGCCCCAGGCCTGAGTGGGAGCGGCCATGGATTGATATTCTATCGTGCGTCACAGTTCACTATCAAAGCTTACTAACCCAGCAGTTTGTTGTGGATGTTGTACTGACATGTCTGTCTTTTTCTAGTGACGCGCATTCAAAAGTTCTCGTCCTACCTAATACCCGTCTTCACCTCGATACATCTCGCCAATACCTCAATAATACCCCTGCTCGCGCGTTCTGTCGCCGCCTCAGAAATATACCTGCTGCAGTCCCGAGAAATATACCAGACCTCGTTAACGGAGCCTCTTTTAGTCGGCCTGCCGGTCCTCGCTCACATCGCATCCGGTGTTGCTCTCCGCCTCGTGCGTCGTTCGCAGAATTTGCAGCGTTATGGCGGGAATACTCCTGGGATGTATGCATTGTATCGCGCTCAGACTGGTAAGACATCGCGTACTTTTACTTCGAACACTTCGACCTCAGCAGCGCGTATATGGCCACCGCTCAGCTACATTTCTCTGTCGGGGTATGCTTTTACAGCATTTCTTGCTGCCCATGTGAGCATCAACCGCATCCTTCCTCTCCGAGTCGAGGGCGACAGCTCGAATATTGGGTTGGCCTTTGTTGCGCACGGCTTCGCTCGGCACCCGGTTCTGTCATGGCTGGCGTATACAGGCTTGCTGGCAGTTGGTTGTGGACACATGATTTGGGGTGCAGCCAAATGGCTGGGATTTGCGCCTACGGCTATGGGATGGAGTGGGAGCGGCGCTAGCGTCATTGATCGGAAGACCAGGAGGCGCAAGAGGAGAGCGTGGTGGGCGTTGCATGGCATCGTTGCGGCTGCTTTCGGTACCTGGGCTGCTGGCGGCTTAGGTATTGTTGCTAGAGGGGGGCTTACAGACGGTTGGGTTGGTAAGCTTTATGATGAGTTATTTAGCAGAGCTTACCCTCTGTAAGAATAGCCATTCCCGAAAAGCGCCAAGCAGATGATACCCAAGAGTTACAATCTATGAATGAAAATAACGAAACTGAAGTAATGGCACATGTTCACTCTCTACTTCAGGTAATGTTGCCCAAACGGATGCGGTCGCTCGCAACATCAGGTGAAGGAAGTTTCCGTCCTGCCAGTATCTATTCATTGACTGCCATATGACAACTTATTTTTAACGGACTCTTGTTGTTTGAAAACGTATGAAGACAATCACGGCAGCAGGTAGGGGGCAACAATTGAGAACGGAAATTGAATAATGGCTACGAGCGAACTTGATAAGCCATGAAGGCAAACCCCCGCTCTCCCCCATCGGTTCCTTGGGAAAATTCCATGCTCAAACCCTTGCTACCAACCTTACTGGTATCACTACCAGACTACTCACAATATGGGCATGGGATCGTTCTCCATAAGTGACATTGGTTACCCCCTTACGCATTGTTCGGCCACCCGGAAGCTGATGAAACAAATTAGAGTACCGTCAAGTCGAAGCCATCCTGTATGGTTGGGCAGGCACCACGAATTACAGCTTATCTGCATGCCTTGATAGCAATGCTGGTAGCCTTATTCGTATCCTCATCGTTGCAGGCATCCCGGACACACTTAATGAGCGCGCCTTTGTCGGCTTTCTTGCAGAGGCATTCCTTAACGTTGTCCAAGTTGCAGCCTGTTCTCTCAAGTTCCCTGTCGAGACAAGGTTTCGCACAGGTCGGTACGTCCGCGAGAGATTGCGCAGAGATTAAAACGGCGGCGATGGTAGCTGTGGCGAGGACTGAGAACTTCATGTTGACGGCGTTGATGTAGGGTTGATTTGACAGAATCGATTCCAGGTTCAGAAAGATTATTGGAGTTGGCACTTTTCTTTGCTTGTCTTTTTGGCGTGGTAGGAGCATGAGAAATTAATACCAGTCCCAGCTAGACTCTTATATAGATCTTCATGGCAAGCGGTGTGGCGTTTGTGACCTTACTGGCTTCTCAATTGCTCTCGCCTCATGTTTGGCCAACCTGTACGGTTCATGAAGTGGAAATGGCACACCAAGAAGTGTTTTGGGCATATATGCTGGGTATACATCAAGGTCATTGTGATGACCGTGATGTTTATTTTCTCGCAGTTGCTTTAACAGTGCATATGTTAGCGAATAACAACATTTTTTTCTGTGGGCTGGAGCAAACGTGGTTGTGGTTCCAGCAGCCATATCGGTGGGGATAGCCCTTTCAGTGATGAAGGCAGATCTAGATTTTAAAAGTTTCGCATGTCTAGTTGAAAAGATGCTTCAATAATATAGGTAGCGAGATTCGAAATACAAGACTCGCCATTTGGGTTCACTTAAGAATCGGACACGTCCTACACCGTCACGTTGTAGTGGCCATCGTGGAAAATGTGGCCATGGCTGGTGGAAGCCTGTTCATATACCTCAGCGTAATCAAGCACCAAGCAACCGTAGGTAGAGCTGGTTGGCATCGGCATCACAGCCAGTGTCAGCAGCTACAAAGAGACTCGAGTAATAGGATGCTTTGCCTGGATATTGCACCGGCAGCATCGGGCTTGCTACTTCATTAATATGATGATGAATTTCACTGAGTGCAGATATATCCTGTAAAGCTTTTAGGTGGTATAACCTGCGATTTACCCGGATCAGCCTGTATCACTTAGGATCAACAAAACCACCCTATACGGCACACCTGACCATCTTTAACATGCTGTAATATGTGATCATGGCCAATGGAATCATCACAAGGCTTTTTTCATCTCGTCTAGAACCTGAACCTCCGATTGCGGGTATCGTTTAGTTTTGTCTCCCTTGAGCCGGTTCCTCGCTGACTACATACGAAACATGCATGAATGCATCACATACTGCAATCAAGTACGCCTCCATCAACCAACGTGGGTGGCAAATCATTTATACCGGTTAATATGACGCCAGTTGCCAGGCAATTACTGGCCTTACCTATGTCCCGCGTTAAGATCGTCTCCTCTTGACTCCTTGTCCGCTACGCCATACCCAGTGAGAAACGGCTTGATATTGAATCAATATAACCAGATGGCGACAGTATAGCCTCAGTTGTCTGACGGAGGGTGCGCCGAGCTTACCATCTTATTCGCTTCCTGTACATCCAATGACCGAGAAGCAACGAGATGATGAGCAGTTGCACATCCAAGCCTTCCGTGTCACACCTATAAAATGGCCATAGTCCCGTTCTTTCCCACATGAAATATCCTATGAACCCGCTCAATAGAACAGACCAAGTTGCCTCTTCAGTCGGAAAAGTGTCAAAATGCTCGGTCATACTATATCCTCCTTGCTTTGCCTGGTCACTGCTGCCGCAGGCCACGGCGCCGTTACTAGCTACACCATCGACGGAAAGAATTATCCAGGCTACGAAGGGTTTGCACCCGCAACTTCGCCACCAACTATTCAATGGCAGTGGGTAGGTTGACACTATTCTCGGGGCATTTTATACAGTGTGCACTTTATTTTTAACCTTGCAACCGTAGCCTGACTATAATCCAACGATGACTGTCAACGATATCAAGATGCGCTGTAACGGTGGCAGGTCGGCGCCCCTTTCCGCCAACATCAAAGCGGGCTCCAACATCACGGCCAACTGGAAACAGTGGACTCATGCTCAGGGCCCCGTGATGGTATGGCTCTATGACTGTGGTGGCGAATTTAAGAGCTGCGGCGGGGATAAACAACGGTGGTTCAAAATTGACCAGATGGGCCTCTGGGGGAATAACCTCAACAGTGAAAATTGGGGTACCGCGATAGTACTAAAGCAGCTCAAGTGGTCCAGCAAGATTCCCAAGAACCTTAAACCTGGTAACTATCTTGTGCGCCACGAACTACTCGCCCTCCACCAGACCAATACGCCTCAATTCTATGCCGAATGCGCCCAGCTCGTCATTGAGGGCTCCGGTACCGCGCAGCCACCAGCTTCCTATCTGAAGAGCATTCCCGGCTACGCTCCGCAGAACGACCCCGGCATTACCGTGAGTCCTTGCCAATTTCAAGCCGTTTCAAAGACTGACTTGGCTGGCACAATTTAGGTTGACATCTATCAGGGAGGTCGAACCTCTTACACGCCACCTGGGGGCGAGGTGTGGCCGGGCTTTGAATAAAATTCGCGGAGGACGCCTCGAGCATCATGCTCTGTAGCTGGTAGTATCAGAATCACCAACACCGAGCGCGATCCTTTATATATTAACGCCTGCGTTTAACCACAAATTGATGAGTTGAAATGCTTTTGATCACCACTAAGCCTATTCTTAACCCATGGTATCAGCAGCATGACGTATATACCCAGCCTTTGTTAAACATGATACAACTGACGCGCATACTTGAAATTCGTGCGCAAAAGCTGCCATCATGTAGTCCATAATGCCATAACCCCACTACCGTCGTTAATATCATCCCATGATTTTGTCCGTGCATGGGCCGGCCCCTCCTTCACCGGGAGGCAGAGTCTTGATAGCGTTGTTGAAGACGAGGTCTGGATAGCCTCTTGGACATGATTTGCTTTGGTTAGGACCGGGATATCCAAGGATGATGTTGCAAGGGGGAGTATTGGTGTCTGTTTCCACATATAGCCAGCCATTACAGCCTTCGGGAACATGGTGATAGCAGGTGTTGCAGCATTCTTGAGGGTTATGAGCTGAAGTCAGGTTGTACTTCCAATCGCTGCCGCCAAAGATGCCTATCCAATTGACATCGCGACGGAATATTGCAGAATCGCACCTAGAAGCCTGTATTTGATAATTTAGCAGGACGTTAAAAAGGCAACGCCATGCGTTCCTTAGAGAAGTTTCGATACTCACTGGTTTCGAAGTAGAAGTCGGTGATAGGAGCATGGCCGTTGAATAGTGCTTTGCGGTAGTAGTAGAGGCAGCCAATGTAGTCGAGAAGCCACTGCCTGGGCCATTTTCCTGATATTGCTGCCTGCTCATGTTTATCGCCTGTATTACAACGATGGGGACTACTATGGCCGAGAGAAGCAGCAAAGCGATAACGATAAGTATCCTTCTATGCTTCCACAGGCGCGTACCGAAGCAGGATTCCGGAGTAACAATGTCGCTGGGGGGGCTGTGGGTGTCTATGACACCATCGTTGCCTATACCGAAATCGTGCATCCGTATAACGGCCTCAGGGGCTGCTTCCACCACAACCTGAGGTGCCGAATTGGGATCGTACTCTACCCAACCGGGGCCTGTGAGTGAGCCTCTCTGTGACAACATTGTGAAGATTTGGTTGTGTGATAAATCTTCTGTATGATACGTGCTGCTTCGCAGTAGTTGATACCGACAACGTGAATATTAAGACGTAGCAATGCGAATCTGGGATGGTGATATGCTTGTTTCACTGGCCCGTGTGGTGATACTGAGGACTTTGAAATCTCGCTGGAAAGATAGAAGAGATTTGGGTAGACGCAGAAAATAGAAAGTACCCGGCTGGCTGGTGACTGTCCGTAGTCCTGCCTACTTTGTGCACTTAACCGACAAGCCCAGGCACCTGGAATTTTCATCCGGACATGCCTACCTCAAGATACAAGCAGAAAGGCTTAAGCCAAAAATGAAGAAAGAAGAGGGTTGTAATCACATGCACAGGCAGGGAATGACTGCAAGTTCTTGCCTCATCATGAGATGCAGTTTGACCACCTATGTGAGTACGAGAAAGGGAGGGCGGTGGAGCCCCAAGGAAGGCAAGGCAACTTGGCTTCCCCTATTTGAGCGCTCAGAAACGCAAAGAAAGAGTCCGGTAAGAGACTTCACCCTCCGTCAAGTCTCCTACGCATCTTTGTATTTCCAGTCGCCATAGCACTGAAATACCTGTTGGTTCTACCACCCCTAATCCGGCACTGTGTTATTGATCAACATGGCCCAAACACGAAAGGAGATCGGAGATTTCGTACCTCGTATAGAAATCGAGAAATTGGTTCACCTGTACCTATCCTGTGAAAGGCTTACTCAAAGTGCAAGGCTTAATGTCTCCTCTTGGAGCGGACTACGAGGCGAGTCGTGGCCAAAATACCATCAAGTAGTCACATGTCCAGTAATGGTTTTGGCTAACGCAGGTAAGCGATAGTCTGTAATGTGCCCAAGAAAGCAGTTTGTCCATCATCTATTCTATTGCCTCTAAACGCGTTGTACGCCCATGCCCATGTCATATGGTAAACCCATGGTCATGCTCTATCCATCAGATCCTCGTATTCCTCCCCGGCCAAGCATATTCGATTACTGGACCAAAGACTTGGCGTCTCCCTCCTTAAGCTTGCCAGCAGCAATTAGTCTCTTGACCTCTTCGCTCCAGGCACCCTTGATGTCATCGGCGACCTTAAGACTGCCGAGTTTGCCAGCCAACGCCGCAATTTCATCAGCGTCAATTTTGCCCTGAACAAGCTCAACATCGCCAAGAACAGCGTCGATAGTTGCAGCCGAAGCATCGCCGGCCACAAAATAGTTAGCGTCCTTGACAGAGCCCTTGAGAACACGCTTGTTCTTTTTAACAGCGTTCTTGGCCGCCTCCTTAGCCTTTTTCGATGCTTCGCGGTCCGCCTTAGCCTTCTCCTCAGCCTCCTTGGCTGCCTTCTCCTCGGTTTCCTTCTTCAGACGTGCATCCTCAACGGCCTTCTTCTCAGCCGCCTCCTTCTCCAGTCGCTTCTTGTTCTTGGCTGCGTTAGCCTCCTGCCTGAAGCGCTTGATACGTTCATCACCAGCGGAACAGTCGTCGAGCAGCTTACGAAGACGAGCATTGTCCTCGGCCTTCTTCTTCTTACGTGCGTTGGCGTTCTTGCGCTCCATATGGCGCTTCTGGTCACGGTTCTCATTGTCATCAGGGACATCCTCGTCCAGGTACTCGAATGTCCTCCAGCTGTCGAAGTTATACCAAAAGTTGTAGAATTCCTCTACCTCCTCCTTGGTAGACTTGTCGTCACCAAAAGACGGTACAGGCTGAGTCTTGGAAAAGCGGGCCTCAGACTTGAAAACATTGCCCCAAAGCTTGTAAAAGTTGCCCTTTGCAAGCTGTTTCTTAGTGGGAGGGTCGACGTCGGCCTTCTCATCTACAGAATCATACTGACGGCGCTTGACGGGGTCTAAGAGAACCTCAGTCGCCTTCTGAATGCATTTGAAGAAGTTGTCATCGTCAACAACGCCGGCGGCGGCCTTCTTGTCAGGGTGGTGCTTGAGGACCTTCTTGCGATGGGCACGCTTAATCTGGTCCTCTGTAGCCTTCCAACGGTACTTAGTGATACCAAGAACCTGATAGTGGTCTTGGCTCTATGAGAGAACAGGTATCAGCATAATTCTGTCTTGACCGCTTCATAAAGCTAGTTGAATACATACCTTCCAGTCCTTGGCGTCACGCTGCAACATCATAGGGTCTTCGGGCTCGCTGATGTCGCTGTCATCGTCATTTTCAACCTTCTTGGCGGCTTCTTGAGCTTGAATACGGTCATCTTCGGAGAAAGTGCGCTTGTGGCGGGCACGGCGAGCGTGGGCAAGAAAGTGAGGGCCGACAGGCTCAAGGCTCCGCTGAGTGGCAGCCGAAACCTGTCCGACAGGCTTGAAATCCTTCTCAGCAGACCAGCCCTCAGGAAGGACTGGCAAAGTGTGTGCGACAACAGATGCGGAAGCCATCTCGAGAGTTCTCCGGATCGCTGGATCGTTCGCAACTTTCGTGTGTTGAGTAACAAAATCGAGAGAAGTCGCTAGAGGAAAAAATCTGGAGCGTGGGGCAATTTTTTTTTCCCCCCTTCGTCGGTGTTGGTCGATTGAAGGCGGCGGGGAGGGGTGGGCCTAGTGACCCAGGCTTCATTGTTTTTGAACCACACCTCCACGTACTTGAATGTGCTGGATTCTTAGGAGGCATCTAAGTCTTCAACCGTCAATCACCCTATTAATTAAGTCAAACAACCATTTGGCCATTCTAGTCACTTATGACTGTGGGTTAAGGGCTTCCTCCTCAATTGGCGAATTCTCTTTTCATCCTCTCTCCTACGCCTTCCGCCATGTCCCTTGCTGCGTATCGACACCTCTTGCGCGCCGCGAGAATCGCTTTCAAAGGTCTAATGAAAACATTCCAGACACTTTCCTGGGCCCTTGCTGACGATGGGATTCATGTAGGCGATGAAAGGGTTCTCACAGCCGCGCAGCAGCAGATCCGTCAAGGTTTCCGCGATCACGCCACCGTCGCCCCTACAGATCCTTCCGTAGGGCCGGCCATTCAGAAGGCTGAAGATATCGCAAAGATCCTTAGAGAAAACATTGTTCAGGGCAAACAAGATGATGCTCAAGTCTACAGTGCGCAGATAGAAACCCAGACACTGATTTGTGGTAATGCGGCTTGCTAACATCACTCGTCGCAGAGCTACGCATTCATAAAGACACAGAACGGGGAGACAACGATTCGGTTAAGTTTGCAGGCGGCAACAAGGGAACTACAGGCGGTTGTGGTTGTAGTTGAGAGGCAGAACAATCGGACAAATCGACACAAATCGACACCGGGGGACGCTTGTATGATGTATAAAAGTCAATGATACCCTTAATATTGGTATGGAATTTTGCCTTAATCCGGATTTCCAACTACCATAACCATGCTTGAAAGCGCGATGACCCCCTAACTCCAAGAATTGACATTCGCTTCCCTTAATGATCGTAATCTAATCGCCTTTGAGACTGGCATATTGTGGACCGTCGCCTGACCCCGGCGGAGGCGCAACTGCAGGAGTTGTTGCTGACGCTGAAGCATCTGCGGTACTAGCACCATTCGCGATTTGCTTCCGCCCACCCTTTCCCTCACTTGAACGCAGGCCTCCTTGTCCACGCCGGGCATCGATGAGCATTTGTGACCGCTGCTCCTTGTCCATCGTGCCAATGGCTTTTGGAACGCCCCAGCGAACACGCAATGGGCAGCCCGCAATAACAGCCCGGCCCTGACAAGCTGCCGCAGCCTTCTCTGCACCCTCTCTTGTTTCATAGTTAACGAATGCGCAGTGTGACATGTGCGAGCAGACCAAGCTCTTGATTTTGCCATGCACTTTGAAGAAGTCGCGTATCTTGTGCTCGGGAAGGTCATCCTCAACTCCGGTTACAAAGAGTGACATGATATTCTTGTCCGCGGGTGGCATCCAGTCTTGTGGTCCGGGGGGCAGTTGAGCAGTGCTAGGGAACACCTGTTTAGCTCTGCCGGACCGGGTACTGAAAGCTGCGGCAGCTCTCGAGTCCCTTGTTCGGATTGGTCCTGGTCCACCAACTCCAGCACCCACCGCAGGGTTGCCTCCCAGTCCAACTTGTCTTGAGCTTGAAGCTGAGGCAGATCCCGATTGTAGGCCAACCTGTAGCTCGTCGTCCAGACCCTCTACTGGCCGGCCCTTCCGAAAGTATGGCTTACTGGCTGCCAATCTTCGCAGAAGTTCCCTAGCCTTATCATCCGTTTTCTCATACTCCTCCACTCCAGCGCGACCTTCTTCGATAGCCCGTTCATTATTTTGGGCGAAGTATTCCCGGTTGATGTCGGAAGACGGTCCCGGAGCTACCATTTTCAAGGCGGCATCACGAACAACAATTGGCAGACCGAAGGAAAGATCCAGCATACATGCCTGACAGCAGTTCTTCAGGCGCGCACACGTCAGGCATATATTTGTTCGTTTTTTTCGGCCGTGAGCTCGATCGGCGCTCCAGCTGAAGACAGTGAATGGTCTTGTGCACTGCAAGCAAAGTTTCAGCAGAGAATCAAATGCGACCGAAGGGCGCTTCACTTACTAGTTTACATTCCGATCCGTAGTCCTCCTTAAGCATTTTGACGTAAGGGTTCTCGGGAAGACAGTTTTCGCAGACAGACGGAAAATCTGTAGACTCCCAACCTGACCGATTCAGGTCCTGTTTAATTTGGGGTGGCATGGCACTTCGGGCGCGCGTTTCTCGTGCCAAGGATTGCCGACTGAAGTTGCGAGATGGGACGATGCTTAGGTCTTGGTCATCAAGGGATTCTAAAGATCCTACTGTGGCGAGCCAGAACAAAGTTGATCATGGTCAGGCTAAGCACCTGAGGTGGGGCATGCAGCCTGACAGACGCGTTGGTCACGTGCTGATCCGCCACAATCCAACGCCAAATGAACGATGGGTATTCGGTTCAGTGTGGTCTATGCCATTTTCCACCTTATCTTAGCTAGTATGAAGTTACTTTGCTTTGCATCAGCATTGCTTCTACGATGTTATCGGGAACACTGAAAAGAGTTGATATTCAACGGCAACCGCGAGCTACTGGTATGTGGGTTGAAGAAAGATCGCCGTTGGCTGCTCGAGCCCCACTCAGTTTGGCTTCCAGTCTCAGCCTCCCTCAAACTTCTGGTGTTTGGTTGAGGTTCCGATGTTAGGCCTAGAGCCGTGAAGCCAATCCAGATCTCTTGGTGAACATGTATTGCAAACAGGTTAATGCGCCGTCTTTGTACTCCTACGACTGGCCAACTTGGGCAAACTTGGAACTTCGCTAAGCTAAAATATAGACGAACAGGCACTTGGTAGGTAAGAAGTGTTGGATAACTGAGGTTTCTCGTCCCAAGTGCTGGACGCGGGTCGGGCTCGTTTCCAGATGATGATAGCAAATGCTTCCAGGTGGCATAGCACTTCCTGCCATGAATGAGATACTACTTCTGGTGCTAAAGTATGACCTTTCCGAATTATTCTGTCAAGTCTCGGGTGGAGATTATAGCAAGTGAATCTCTGGCTGGTTGATTCGAGTTCGTATTCGGATTGGGCCAGCTACCCCAGGCCCCTGCCCAGACCCGGCGTGCATGTGCATCCCTTGGTTACACCGCCTGCTAAATAGAGCAGCTTGCCATGACGGGGTCGAGTTATGATTGGTCAATCGCCATCGGGCTTGACCCGGATCATGCCAGATTTGTCTCTTCCGCCAGGCACTTGATGCTGGGTTTCTGCAAAATGGGGGGCGCCCTTGCACTGCGATACAACTAGTGTCGCTCAAGCGCATGCATTCTTCGCTTCGTAGTGATTTCAGTGTTTGCTGGTGGCCGTAGTGTAGTGGATCTTTTTTTGACCAAAGTACGTTACCAACGTGATTGTCCGAGGCGGTCACAGTGTTAGTGGGCGTCGCTTGGTAGAATCTATACGACCAAACAGAGCGATAATCTCCCGTTCGACTTGGCCGCTGCTCTCCTTTTCCCGCCGATAATTTTAAAAATCGACGACACCCCGCCCACTCACCTTCACCAGATAGCTGACTTTTTCCGCTATTCCTCCTCCACTCTTCTTTTCTGCGACCCCTATCTCACATTATCTTGTGCGTTTCTGCCATCTCACAGCCATACTCAACGTTCACTATGGTTTCCTCAACTGCCTCCAACCTCGAGCGTGAGGATCACGCACGCGATGCCCAATTCAACAAGGCCTTGCATGGTAACAGCGCAAAGGCCACTGGTGGTTTAGCTGCCATGTTCAGCAAAGGCCGCGAGGCTAAGCAGGCTGCTGTCGACGAGTACTTTAAGCACTGGGACAACAAGGCGGCCAAGGACGAAACTGCCGAAGAGCGCGCGGTACGTCCCCAACACTCTTGACCGCATCCTGTGCGACCCGTCATCCACTGACATGTGCCTGTTTCGTAAAGTCTAGGACAGCTGAATATGCGACTTTGACCAGACAGTGAGTATTTGGTGTTGGTGCGCCTCGTGCAAATTTCTTGCTAATCCGTGCCGCCCTCAGCTATTACAACCTTGCTACCGACTTGTACGAATACGGCTGGGGCCAGTCCTTCCACTTCTGTCGCTTCTCTCACGGCGAGCCTTTCTATCAAGCTATTGCTCGCCACGAACACTACCTTGCTCATCAGATTGGAATCAAGGAGGGCATGAAGGTTCTCGATGTGGGATGCGGTGTTGGCGGACCTGCGCGTGAAATAGCCAAATTTACTGGCTGCCATGTCACTGGCCTGAACAACAACGACTATCAGATCGATAGAGCCACCCACTACGCCGCAAAGGAGGGCTTGTCAAACCAACTCAAATTTGTGAAAGGAGACTTCATGGTAAGTCAAAACTTGCGCTGGTAGACCACAAGTACATTTCAACTGACAGCCATCACCACACAGCAAATGTCTTTCCCGGACAACTCTTTTGATGCTATTTACGCCATCGAGGCTACAGTCCATGCCCCTAGCTTGGAGGGCATTTACAGCGAAATCTTCCGAGTTCTCAAGCCTGGTGGTGTTTTCGGTGTCTACGAGTGGTTGATGACTGACAAGTACGATAACGATAACCTGGCACATCGCGAGATTCGCCTTGGCATCGAGCAGGGTGACGGAATTTCCAACATGTGTAAGGTCTCAGAGGGCCTGGCTGCTATGAAGGCTGCGGGATTCGACTTGCTCCACCACGAGGATCTTGCTGATAGGCCTGACCCTATGCCATGGTACTGGCCTCTGTCGGGTGACATGCGGTACATTCAGTCCCCGTTTGACATCTTCACCATTGTTCGGATGACGAAATGGGGACGGTATCTGATGCACAACCTGATCGGTGGACTCGAGGCCATTAAACTTGCTCCTGCTGGTACTATGAAGACAGCAGACAGCTTGGCATTAGCGGGCGACTGCTTGGTTGCTGGTGGAAAGGACCATCTGTTTACGCCCATGTATCTCATGGTTGGAAAAAAGCCTGCCAACTAGGGAGACAGTTCATTACTGCTGCAGCAACACTTCGATTTTCAAGGTCAAAGACGTTGCTACCTGGCAGAAAGGAAAACGGAGGAATCGAAGCCATGACCTTGCAACTTGTTGTATGACTATTATATATGAGTATCAGTAAATAATTGTAATTAACCCCCTAAGCAGCCAAGGCCCTGCGTTTGGATGACGCGTCATCGTTTGAATTTTATCACCAGTTTTAATCGGTGGTCATTTGCAACCTGGGCTTTACCTCCAAGTTCAGTCGGATCAAAATGCTTATTGACCTGGATCTAGTCCTATATTCTCTGGAAGGTCTTGATTGGACGAGCATCAGCCAAAAAATAACAGGAGGGTTGAACAACACCGACTCTAACAATGTGCTTATCAACCCTCATAAAGCTTTTCATAGCTTAAGGTGGCCGATTAGCACTGGGCACTGATGATTCCAGCCAGTGACAGTCACTGGGGAATATGCGAAGGGACAAGGCGCAGGATGGGTTGGTTGACTACTAGTAGTCCGGCAGGTTGAGACCTACCTCTAGCCAGGTGGAGCAATCCCAGAGCTATCTGTTGGTGTGCCCGCCATCTCATTAGAACAAAGGCGGTTACCCTCAAGTTCGGATGGAAACGGGTGGCAGCGGTGCAAGTGCCCTGAAAAGTGTGCCAATGGAAATGCTACTGGTGCTCAAATGGGGCTTTTCGGGATTAAATCGGACCTGAATTATAGTGCGGATTGAGCACAGTTGGCTCCTTAGCTTCCGCTGATTGGTCTTGTTCGCACACAATCGATTATCTAATGCACAAAGACAAGACTAGACTTATCCGGGCAAGGATCCACCACCGGGGCCTCCCCAACGCTGTTGTTTGGCAGCTCGCCGCAATTCAACGGACTCAACGCTCATAGAGCTAAGCAAAAAAAAAAAAAAAAAGCTGCGAAATCCCTCGACAGCTCCGGTCGCCTTTCTCATCCCTCTCCCTCCGACGCTTCACCTCAACCTTCGTCGTTGGCCATCGTCAATCCCCACCCGAGGCCGCTAACCGTCTATCTAATATCGCCTTCTTTTTACTCATCATCGATTCTTCCTGTGGGACAATCGGTTTTCTTGCGTTGCGACCACCGCGTCCTAAGAGAAATCACCCCAAAAAACTCAATTCGCCATGTCCCGATTCCTCCGTCCCGTAGCTCGCCTGGCGGCCTCGTCCAGAGCTACTGCTCTCCGTTCCTCTGCCTGCCAGTTCTCACCCATTCCTCAGTTTGCCAGCCGTCCGGCTGCCTTCGCCCTCCAATCAAGGACGTACGCCGACGCCAAGGGCACTAAGGATTACACCGTCCGCGAGGCCCTCAACGAGGCCCTCGCCGAGGAACTCGAGTCCAACGACAAGGTCTTCGTTCTCGGTGAGGAAGTTGCTCAGTACAATGGAGCGTACAAAGTCACAAAGGGTCTCTGGGACCGATTCGGCGACAAGCGTGTCATTGACACGCCCATCACTGAGAGTGGTTTTTGTGGTCTAGCCGTTGGCGCCGCTCTGAGTGGACTACACCCTGTGGTAAGTGCATTGCTCTATTTCGCCGAGGAAGGGGATGTCGTTCTTTACCATGGACTTGCGGATCGTCTTCGCCCGTCCTGCCTGATGTAGATGAACGAAGTCTCCTATTATCTGAGTGCCAATATTTAACTAACCCTTCTCCCTCTTAGTGCGAGTTCATGACCTTCAACTTCGCCATGCAAGCTATTGATCAGATTGTTAACTCTGCCGCCAAAACTCTATACATGTCTGGTGGCATTCAGCCCTGCAACATCACCTTCCGTGGCCCCAACGGGTTTGCTGCCGGTGTCGCCGCCCAGCACTCTCAGGACTACTCGGCGTGGTACGGTAGCATTCCTGGCCTGAAGGTAGTTGCTCCTTGGAGTGCTGAGGATGCCAAGGGACTTCTGAAAGCTGCCATCCGCGATCCTAACCCGGTCGTTGTTCTTGAGAATGAGCTTCTGTACGGCCAGTCCTTCCCTATGTCCGAAGCTGCTCAGAAGGACGACTTCGTTCTTCCTTTCGGCAAGGCCAAGATTGAGCGCGCTGGCAAGGACCTGACCATCGTCACGCTATCCCGCTGTGTCGGCCAAACCTTGGTTGCTGCTGAGAATCTGAAGAAGAAGTACGGTGTCGACGTCGAAGTTATCAACCTGCGCTCCATCAAGCCTCTGGATGTTGAGTCCATTGTCAAGTCTGTCAAGAAGACTCACCGCCTTCTATCTGTTGAGTCTGGCTTCCCGGCCTACGGTGTTGGCTCCGAGATCCTGGCATTGACCATGGAGTACGCCTTCGACTACCTTGACGCCCCCGCCCAGAGAGTCACTGGTGCTGATGTACCTACTCCCTACGCCCAGGGGCTTGAGGAAATGAGCTTCCCTACTGAGCAGATCATTGAGAACTACGTTGCCAAGATGTTGCGTCTTTAAGGGGTTGTGTGAACTGGAAGGAGGATGTGGGTGTAGGCATGCTACTTCATATGAAGCTCTCAAGGATAGGATGCGATCCATAATGGGCTATTGAGCTTGATAGACTCGGGGGAAGCTTGTACTTGTATGTTGCTCAGTTGTCATATATACATCTCATACCTTGAGAGTACAACTAGACGTGAAATATTCCATTACGCTACCTATCGGCCGGGTGTGGCGCCACGGCCTGCAGTTGAAAGGGTTAATATCCTGCATGCTGGAAACCTGAAAACTATAGACTTTCTCTTCCAGCTCAAGTTCGAGCGGTCTGTGTCGGCTTTTTGCGCTGCACATACTCAAAAGGAAGAGGGGCATCTGTTTCTGTTGTCATACTAGTTACAATGTGCTTTGAATATTCCATGCTTTACACTGTAAGAAAACAAACCAATTAGTTACGTTTGCAAGCTAATCTGGAGGAGGAAGATGGTGAACATTTCGTGACAAACTTATATGCTTGGGTAAGGAAAGGCTAGTTCAAGTTTTATTTCCACGCGGTTAGCTATGCATGCGCTACAGTTACCTTTCGCCGCCGCCTGTTGAACTTGGGAACGAGTTTTGAAGAGAATTGCGTAAAGGGTGAACGTCAAAAGATAGAGGGATGCTTTAGAGTCCTGAAGAAGCAATTACAGGGCCGCCATGGGTGAATTTTCATTTCGCGACGAGCTTGCAAGCCCAGGGCCTACCTTCTGCCATTGAGGGGCACTTAGCACAATGTCTAGCCCCGCACACCGTCATCGGCTCCGCCTTGCTAGCTGCCTACCTCAAATACCCTAGTTGCATTTGCTACTACATTGCCTCTCCTTGAACACAATCTTAGAGTGACGTCCATTAGGCTGCTGTCTACGCAACACAAAATGGCTTCTGACCTGGCAACGGCCATCCAGGGCCTCTCTATTGATAATTGTGACGATTTCAATATCGACGATACTCTTTTCGAGCAACGACCTCGGAAACGAATCAAACAAGATGCGACAGCCCTCAAAACATACCTGGAGGCTGAGTTCCTCACACCATCTGCCCAGTTCCCCACCGACTGGTTGAATCGTCTGCAGCAGTAAGACACTAGCCAAGAAAGAATCAATCGAAATAAGCTAAAGCAGCTCATCTAGGCGCTGGGATTGTCCTGCAGACTACACCGAGCTTTTCAAGATCGCCGCGCCCCAAACCAGGACCGTGACACGGTTTCAGCGACATGGACTTGAAGGCAGAGTAACTGGTTACAAGAACGTCACTGTCCCGGCCAGTAGCGCCACGGCCAAGAACTCTACCTCGTTTCTGCGCAAGCCTGCGAGTAGAGCTGATTTTGTTCGAGGTGCTGCGGGATTCTTTCCCTTTGCACCTGGTGGCCTAGAAGGCATCGAGGCAACAGCTGCTCTTGAGGATCAGGTTCACCGAACCGGGGCCGGAGATGCTGCTACTAGCCCCTCTAACAAGCTTGAGAGAGTTATTAAGCTTGGTACCGAGGGCGGATTGCTCGAAATTGCGCCAGGGCTCAGTCGAGGTATCGATGTCAGCAAGAAGCAGAGCAACGAAGATGAAGCCAGAGCGGTGGAACAAGAACTGGAACAAGAACCGGAGCAGGCGCCTGGGGTTGAAGACATTGACTCAGAGAGACAGGCCCATGGCGAAAAGGACATTGAGTCCGACGAAGAAGATGGGGAGGATATCGATGCCATTTTGCCGGTCGAATTCCCGGCCTTAGAGCCTCATGGTGCTCTGGCCGCGTCCAGTGTCAAGAAAGCCGGACGAGAATGGGCCCATATGGTGGATATTGGAAGAGACATTCCCAACTTTAGGGAACTAGTACCCGACATGGCAAGAGATTGGCCCTTTGAACTCGACACGTTCCAAAAAGAAGCCATCTACCATCTAGAGAACGGCGATTCTGTCTTCGTTGCTGCGCACACATCAGCCGGAAAAACCGTCGTGGCTGAATACGCTATTGCTCTGGCTTCGAAACACATGACAAAAGCTATCTATACGTCGCCTATCAAAGCTTTAAGCAACCAGAAGTTTCGAGACTTCCGTCAGACGTTTGATGAGGTCGGTATTTTGACAGGTGATGTTCAGATCAACCCAGAGGCAAGCTGTTTGATCATGACGACAGAGATTCTGCGCAGTATGCTCTATAGGGGAGCCGATTTGATCCGAGATGTTGAGTTTGTAATATTTGACGAGGTTCACTACGTCAACGATTTTGAGCGCGGAGTTGTGTGGGAAGAGGTCATCATTATGTTACCAGAGCATGTGTCTCTTATCCTTTTGTCTGCCACCGTACCGAACACCTATGAGTTTGCCTCATGGGTTGGGCGAACCAAGCAGAAAGATATCTACGTTATATCTACACCTAAGCGGCCCATCCCGCTTGAACACTATCTCTGGGCTGGTAAGGGCATTCACAAGATTGTAGACTCGGACAAGAAATTCATCGAGAAGGGTTGGAAAGATGCAAATCATGCTATTCAGGGCAAGGACAAGCCCAAAGTTCTGGAATCGACCAATTCAGGACGTGGAGGCGGAGGCGGTGGCCCAAGAGGAGGCCAAAGAGGGGGAGGACAACGCGGCGGACAGCGCGGTGGCCCCCGGGGTGGTGCTCAGCAAAGGGGGCGCGGCGGCGGCGGCGGCGGCGGCGGAGCAACGCGTGCTAGTCACAATCCGGGTCACTTGGGCCGGACTGGTCGTCAAGGAGGATTCACGTCAGCAGCTCAGGACAAGAACATTTGGGTTCACCTGGTCCAATTTCTCAAAAAGTCAAACCTCCTTCCTGCCTGCATCTTCGTCTTTTCGAAAAAGCGGTGCGAAGAGAATGCCGATGCACTCAGCAATCAGGACTTCTGCACGGCTACCGAGAAAAGCGCCATTCATATGACCATCGAAAAGTCCATTGCCAGGCTAAAGCCGGAGGACCGAGTCCTTCCGCAGATTATTCGATTGCGAGAACTTTTGTCGAGAGGTATTGCGGTTCATCATGGAGGCCTTTTGCCCATCGTCAAGGAGATTGTCGAAATTCTGTTTGCCCAAACTCTTGTCAAGGTGCTGTTCGCCACTGAGACGTTTGCGATGGGTCTCAATTTGCCAACGCGAACTGTTGTCTTTTCTGGATATCGGAAGCATGACGGTCATTCTTTCCGAAATCTACTTCCAGGTGAATACACCCAGATGGCTGGTCGAGCTGGGCGCCGTGGTCTAGATACCGTTGGTTCCGTCATTATCGTCCCTCCCGGAGGAGATGAAGCCCCTCCGGTTGCAGACCTTCAGAAAATGATTTTGGGGGAGCCCTCGAAGCTGAGGTCCCAGTTCCGTCTGACGTACAACATGATTCTTAACTTACTTCGGGTGGAGGCACTCAAGATTGAAGAAATGATTAAGCGCAGCTTCTCAGAACACGCCACTCAGCAATTATTACCGGAGCACGAGAAAGCCGTTAAGCTTTCAGAAGCAGACCTAGCGAAGATCAAACGAGACTCTTGCGGCACCTGTGACACTTCAATGGATGAATGCCACCAAGCATCACAGGACTACAAACAGCTGACTGAAGAGTTGTACCGATTTTTGCTCAGTATCCCAATTGGTCGCAAGATGTTCAGCCAGTCACGTTTAATTGTTTACAAAAAGGATGGCATTCGTACGCCAGGCATCCTACTCTCAGACGGGGCGACCAACAAGGGACCTCAGGGAAGCCCTACATTGCATGTATGTGAAATCAGGCTTATGAGGGAAACTCGAGATTCGACAGACTTGCTCCCGTTCATGCCAGCCTTCCGCAAATATTTCACACCCCTACCACAAGCGAAGAAACATATACGCATCAAAACATTACACGTTCCTTTAAGTGACGTGGAGTGCCTCACCAGATACATGACGAAGGGCATTGTACCGGAGATCTTCCAGAGTGGTGAAAAATATATCAAAGCAAAGGATAGGCTTCATTCTATCTGCAGATCATGGGATGATCTATGGGATGAGATGGATCTGTCAAAGATCAAGAATCTGCAATTCCAAGAGACCATGAAGAGACGGAGGGAAGTTGAGCTAATTGCATCTTCATCGCCGGCCCTATCCTGCCCGCAGTTCTTGAAGCACGTAAGTCATGTCAGCTACAACACACAAATGTAGCTTTTGCTAACAAACAGAAATAGTTTGCCATGTGCCATGACCAGTGGCTTATCAAGGAGCACATTTCTCAGCTCCGCCAGTCTTTGTCGGATCAAAACCTTCAACTGCTCCCTGATTACGAACAACGAATACAGGTGCTAAAACAGCTCCAGTTCATCGATGAGAGTTCAAGAATACAGCTGAAGGGCAAAGTGGCCTGCGAAATACATTCGGGCGACGAGCTCGTATTGACAGAGCTAATTCTGGACAACGTACTTGCAGACTATGAACCGGCCGAGATTGCAGCCTTGCTGTCCGCCTTTGTGTTTCAAGAAAAGACGGATTCTCAGCCCAACCTGACGGGAAATCTTGAGCGGGGTAAAGACACCATAATTGCTATCAGTGAGAAGGTGAATGAAGTTCAGACCCTTCACCAAGTCATCCAAGCCGCAGACGATTCCAATGACTTCATCTCTCGGCCCAGATTTGGTTTGATGGAGGTGGTTTATGAGTGGGCAAGGGGCATGAGCTTCAAGAACATTACCGATCTGACCGACGTTTTGGAAGGCACTATCGTGCGGACTATCACACGGCTAGATGAAACATGCCGCGAGGTCAAGAATGCTGCCCGTATAATTGGCGATCCTGAACTGTACCAGAAAATGCAGACTGCTCAGGAGATGATCAAGAGGGATATTACGGCAGTGGCCAGTTTGTACATGTGAACGAGTGGACGGGGTAGGCTATTAAATACCATTCCAGACTAGCTAGTCAAGTTGCGTTTACCAACAACCAACGGAGGGAAATCTCGAACAGGCATATCAATAAATTACCCTTCCTCCCAGAAACGCCGCATGGTTCTCTGTTCCCAAATCAGGCGCAGGTATGTTCATAAACCCATTCCTTAAACGACTTGGCCCGTTTTCTCGTACGTAAGTGTACTTCTGAAAAAGAAGTAGTATGTAGAAAGTCAAGACGCCTTATAAACTCCAATGTCCCAAACGAGTGGTAACAACCTTACGTAATTGTATTTGGTGAAAGTGCATTTGATGTTCAATTATGCCCTCAAGGCCCGCAGTCTCTGTTGCAAGGCATCCTCTTCCTCAGCAGTGGGCTCGCTGGAGACCAGCTCTTCCTTGGCAGGTGTTGCGCTGTTCAGCTCTGCGTTCAACTGAACACCGGCATCATCTGCCAATTTGCCCAGAAGTTCATGAACGGCATCTTCAGAAACTTGGGCGCTGGTTGATTGCGAAATAGCATCTTGATAAATGCCGTTGGACATAGCATACTCCTCATTTTGCTGCTTGAACTGCTCGAGGGTAACTAGGGTCTGCAGAATCGAAAATTTGTCAGTAAAAGCCATGTAGAGTTTGTTGAATACGTGGTATGATACCTTCTCGGGATTCATATTCTTTTGTGCAAGCGACATAGTGCGAGACGACTGTCCCATCATGTGTGTCATGCGGTTCATCGAGTTGTTGGCTTGAATCTGAGCAGCTGAAAGCTCGGCCATGTCAGCCATTTGGTCCATTTGTTGAGCTAGCGCCTGCTTGGATAAGAGCATTTTGGCCTTCTGATATGCCTTTGCTGTTTCGCCCTTCTTGAGTAACTAGAAAGCCGCGTATTAACAACCGTTCGGCTTGATAGGCAACCAAAGCATGGCAATATGGTGGTAACTTACATCCTGAATCTGTTTCTTTAAAATGGGATCCTGCTTAGCAGCTTTCTGGGCTTCCCTACGAGCCTGCTTCGCTTGAAACTAGTAGAGCGTTAACAGGTGTGATCCTCTTTACTCTAGCGGCCGTATGACTTCGCCAGGTAGGTTCTCATGATGGACATACCCTCGCCTGAAACTCGACTTGCATATCTCGAGTGAGCTGCCGGTTCGACATGGTGCCGACCAATCGGTGCCTGTCCGAGCTGGGAGGCCGGGTAGTTGAAGAGAGGACCGAAGAGGGGTTAAGAAGCGTGAGAGTTGAGAGTTTGGATGTACGAGGATGGCTGAGCCGGAAATGCAGGGGATGAAACAGAAAAGTGCGCAAAAACGGTAACTTATGTTGAAAGGCGAAGTGGACAACCGTATGTGTCAAAGGAAAGTGTTGTATACCAGCGACTAGTCGGGCGTTGGACGAAGACCCTAGACGTAGCGGCGATATCCTGCCAGTGAGCGCTTTCAATCATGGGCACGCTGCCAGGTGGGGCCGCCTGCCAGTCATGGCGTATGACGCAACGCTTCAGCCTTTCGAAGCAACGATTATGTAAGTATCAAGGTGCCTGCTAGAAACATGGTTTATCAGAAGGCTGCACATCAGTAACACACTACGGACGGCTACGGGTTAGGTTCAGCTGCGGTTCTGAACCACAATCGGAGTTTAAATGGACCGATATCGATGACGCTTCCGTAGCGATAGAGATCATGATGGAAACGGCATGTGACAAGTGTTAAATGGCACTTCTTCAACTAGTCATTTAATTCACCCCCTGCTACAATAGTGCTTAGTCTTGATTATGAGCAGTTGATTGAATAACATTGTGTTCCCTTGCTCTCTCTTTCTGTCTTCTATCCCTCCCCAAATTGATGATCACAGTGGCTGCTCGCGCAACCATGAACGTGCAACGATTTCCGCGACCACCGTTGCTTGAGAAAACATCGAGACATCTGAAAATTATTTGGTACGGTCAGGTGGTTGCGGATACTCGGGACGCATACTGGGTGCTGGAGACTCACCACCCACCTAGTTCGTCTCCCTCCGAGCAGATTGAAGCGGTGGCATCCTGGACTGGTCACGACGTAACTGACTTGGACAACAGCCTATTACATCCCACCGACAGCGATAAGATGTTTCTTGACACCAACGCGTCGAAGTACATATTGCGAATGGAAAGGGACTGCAACTTACTACTCCATCGGTGCTCCACAGACGGCATCTGTTAGGGAGGCGCAAGTCGTCAAAGATCGCATCTGGTCTTATGAATCTCCGTCAGCGGGCTTCGAGGCAATCAAGGGCTACATGTCTTTTTACGCCGGCCCATGGGATTGCTATGTTGACGGAGAATTAGTTGAGCCACAGCCTGGAGATTTCTACGGGGGCTGGGTTACTTCAGACATCAAGGGTATTATTAAGGGCGCTCAAGGCAATTTAGACCCCATTCTATAAACTTTGGGGCAAATTGCGCGCTGCTTTACACATGTGCAGGTTCTGATGTACTGCTGACTTAATTGGCAGTGTTCTGCTTCGAACACCTTTTGGCATCATGACAACTTGGAACCAGTACTTACTCTAGATTAGCCTCGACACCAAGCATGGCGCCCGCTAGAGAGCATTGATGCCTTCAGGTTCAAGAAAACCATAAGCATATAGTAGCTTCATTAACGAAGAGTAGGAGCCTGCAGGCAACAATGCTGTCGTGAGATGTCGCTGGCGGCATTATCAATAAATGCTGAGTTGGCCAAATTGGATGCCCTCTTGTGCTGCCGAACAGTAACATTTGCACAAGTAGACGTTGGACATCACTTATCACCTACCCCTTGGAACCGCACATGCCTGGGAATTAAGATCTTAGCGGATATCTAGTGGGGTACACCAGATCATCGAGACTACTGGCGGCCACGACAAGTGCGCCGGCAGCACCTCATCATCCTCTGATCTACTACGTGATGAGTCCACTAGGGCTGATTACAGTCACTCGATACAGGAACTGTACGCAATAGCACATGGCGGTCCAGACTCACTGATATGACCACAGACGAAGCGCTGCGGCCTGGACGAGTTCCCTGGTGCCGTCCATTAAAGCATCTCAACTCTTGTAGAATAATGAACACTAACAGAAGTCCACAGTATTGGGTTTCATACGATTAGCAGGGCAGCTACAGAAAAAAGTTGACAATACTAGTAGTTCCAGCTGGTGGCCGACCAAAGTATAAAGCACATGCTCGTTTTCCGTATGTCCAGTAAGAGGAGACTGAATATGCAACTGGGATCAGAGATAGTGTGAGTTCGGAAATGGTCGTCGTTGTTATATCCATCTCAGGGAACACGTGCTTGTATTAGGTTGTTACAACTCTGTTTCGTGTTCACTTGATAAATACATAGAGCTTTGTAGAAGGCAGGCAGACAGTAAGCAATGTCCAGGGGCGAAATGGAGGCTGAGTGTAGCACATATAGGGGGGAGCCCATCTGTTCCGCTTGATTAAAGAGAGAACCTTACGAAATTACTACATAGAACCCACTGTATGCACGTCCCTTCTCAGCCAAAGCACTTCCGCCCCACACGTTTGCCAATCGTTACTTGTTAGTAGGTACATGTGCGACCATGTTCTATTCAATTCGACCCCGTTCTCTCGCGGTTTCCTGCTGCAATGGGGCCAATGGATTGCTCCTCACCCGTCCGGCTGATCAGCCGCCGATAACAGTAGTGGTATTAGCAATCGATTCAGCAGAATTCCATGTTGAATTATAGCGAGGGACGATGATGCCTCGCCCTTGACTGCGAGAAGGACTCTAGGCTTGAGTAGACTTCTGCACTGGTTATGGTTCCAAAGTCCAAGAATAGTTAGTTTTCGTGTACCATACAACGGGTCAATGACATGCCACACCCAAGTCCAAGATTGAGAAGGCCGTCATTGAATATTATCGTTGTTGTTGCAGGACTCACGTCAGTCGACCACTACTAATGTAATCAAGGTTTGCCCAAGATTGTCGCAAAATGTTTGGGCAATTTTGATGTAAATCATTTCCGGAGACTTTAAGGAGGCATGCAAGGGGCTTCTAGAAAGGCACCCGTACGTACAATTCAGAAAGTCGCCGAGGTCTCTCGTGTTGACTCCAGCTAGCAGGACCCACCTACGGGACACTGTACTGAAAGCGTAAAATCAATGGGTAACGTCGTCAGAGGTTGAGACTATTTACACTTTTGTCATTTCAAGTTAGTTCCTAGGGCAGCTGCGGGTGACGAATCGTGAACTGCATTATTAGTCGACTACTGACAAGTGCAGCAGATCCGCGGCAATCAAAGGCTTCAATCGCGGCAGGAGCCATGGATGGCTGCAATCAAACCAATTTTACTCGCCACATCTCATGTTCTGGTTTTCAAAACTTGAAGGGAGCCATGGCCTAACGGAAGAATTTGTTAAACTTTGAATCGAGTAAGCAGCACACCAATATATGCATCCCTACCACAAAGGAGAGACAAGAGCGACGCACATACACAGTCCGTCTTTGGGTTTCCCTTGCTACGGCGTATATCCCTCGTTTAGGGGCTGGTTGATCAGGCGGTGTCATACTACTGAGTTTGACAAGCCCGAGGACTTGAACAGTTTATTTGAGTCAGTCGAAGGGAGACGGAAGGGCATGATTCAAACTAAGCTGATTCAAGGCCAACCCCATATCTTGTTCCAGACTTTGCCTGACTTGTTTGGATTAAGGCACCTTGAATAGGGTTTGTGATCTTTGAAGTGGCACGCAAAGCGAAGTGGCAGAACAGAGTTTGCGCAATCCTCCTTGGGCTTGGGAACTTCCAAAGCGTCCATCGTAGGCGTCATTCTTGTTCACCAATCAACTTGGGTTACTTCCCAAGGCGCCTAGGAACAATGCATCGACAAGAAAAAGAGGTCCAGACAGTACACTATAATGAGAGCGCGGCGAGGGTGACATCCAGCCCCATTCAGCCGTCGAGTGGCACATGTACTTAGGTGCTGACTGAGTAGCGTGAAGGTCCCCATTGCTGAGGTGGATCTTACAGGCGAGCCGTCGTCTGAGTGGTTTCGGGGAAGACGGGTGGCTAAGTTTAGTAACTAGCGGAATCAAATTGTGCTTCTAGGTTGACACTGCCTGCTGTCATGTAAGCCCTGATGTCTTCCAATTATTTCCAGGATCTTGTCGCTGGGCGGTGCTTCGAAGCTGCATCGATTTGCTCCGTTCCTTCAGGTTCTCTGAGTCTGTTCTCTGATAGTTGACAGCCAAGGCATGATGAGGGATGATCTCAGCTGACAGCGGCGGACATCGCGTGAACCACACAGCCAACCAACTCAGCAATGCGATGCAATGCAGCGAAAATGGGACCAGAGGTGAAGACGGGTCAACGGAACGGACGGAACAAAATTGAGCATATTTCGAGAGAACGGACTGCGAGAATGGGATAATTTGCGGCAAGGCGAGGTAGTGGTACTTCATACGGTTGTCCTCCTTAATTGCCCCTTTAACTTTATTTGCAGTGGGATGGCAGTGGAAACAGCTGTCTTCCAGTTCCCCGTTCCAGCCGATGAGAGCTCGGAGCATCGACGCCCCCTTTTGGCACGTGTGCGCCGTGTTCGGGAACGGGAAATGGGTAATTAATCACAGTTGTGCGAGGTCAGAAGCAAGGGGGCAAAACCGGAGGTAGAACTGACTCTGTATAGTGGTGCTTCGAGCTTACTAGAGTACTGCGGACAACGAAGAAAAGGGGAAGTTCCTGGGAGCAACGCGGCCTCCATTTGGCACGGTGCGCCAGGCGTGTTTCCGCTCCGTAGCTCCCGTGTTTCCTGTTTAGACCGATGAGCCATTGTCGATATGACCACTGCCATGCACTTCAACCTCAACTGGATAATCCACAGGTGGGTCCAGGTTCCTCAAGGAAGGGTCCCGAACCAGTGAAACCATTGGGTCGGTGCACGCTTCTTCTCCTTCCGATGCTGTCGTTGGCTACTAGTAGATCCACCAATCACTCTCCACTTCCCAGAGTTAGCCCCTAGCCTCCACCTCCCTCTTCGGGTTTCGCCCACTCACACTCAGTTGAGTGCCTGCCTTGTCGTGATTGGAGATAACTACTTGCCTACATAGGTATTGTACCTTGCGTACCCCTCCTGAGACTTTGCGTGATCGGCTCCAGTTTAGAGGTCACCCTTGCTTCACCCCCCTGTTCCACCGCAGCGACGGCGATTTGGTATCAACGTGCCACACTGCCCTCGCCCTTGGTGGCCTTCGACGGCTTGTGAGTTTATGCCTGAGGCAACACATGTCTAACTGCCCCCTTGACTCCTGTACCCCTGGACGGGGCCAGCGTGGCCTCAAGTTACAAAAGAGGCCACATCGCCTGCTCTTACTGCTCTGCTCCATGAACCTCAGCTTTCAATGCGGCACCAGAGCCACCACCGCTCAACGAACAATCTGTCCTTTTCCCAGTAAGGCCGAAGCTCGCACCCAGATCTGGTGCCTGGCCTCGGTGACTCACCTGAACCAGTCTGACTCATCCAACGAGTCGTCATCGTTTCCATCATGCCTTGTACTTAGCAGGCACATTCAATTCCATCTAGTAAAGAGGAACTAGGACGGCACCTCGATACGGCACCATCACACAATATCACATAGATAGCGCAGCGCATCTTCCTCTTCCATATCTGTCTCTCAACAACTAGACTCGGCAGTACAACCTCATGCGACTTGTTCAAAGTCCTCCTAATCCATCCACACAGGAACAGTGATCCAGTTGGCGTCTCAGAACAGTTGCATAAATCTCTGGTGTCAAAATGTCTTCTTGGGAACAGACATCACCAATGATAAAATTTGAAGACTCGCCAGCCGAGTCCTTCGTCTCCACGCCTGGCGAGCTATACCCCTCACTATTTGGTGATGGCGCCACGACCTCCGATAACACTACCATCGATCCTTCCGAAATGTTGACACCTCCAGCCTTCACTGAGGAGGGTGCTGGCGTGTTGCCCGTGGATTCTTCAGCCTCACCTGCCTCTAACTCCCCAGACAAGAAGCAGGTCAAAAAGAGAAAATCGTGGGGCCAGGTTCTTCCGGAACCAAAAACAAATCTTCCCCCCAGGTACGCTAGCTCTCATTTTCGCATCTCATTCAACGCAGGATCTAACTAGTATTAGGAAACGTGCGAAGACCGAGGATGAGAAGGAGCAACGCCGAGTAGAGCGTGTCCTCCGCAATCGCCGCGCCGCCCAGTCATCCCGGGAGCGTAAACGCTTAGAGGTTGAGGCTTTAGAAAGACGTAACAAAGAACTTGAAGCCGCCCTCCAAAATGTTACCAAGGCAAACCAGCTCTTGGTGGAGGAGCTGAACAAGTTCCGTCGAGACTCGGGCATGTTGACCCGTTCTTCATCACCCCTCGACCCACTCCGCCCCAACGCTGTGACTTTATCACAAGAACTCTTCAGCTCCCAAGATGGACACCGTCCCCCGTTGGGTGAGACCCCGTCTCTTGTAGACGATTTGATAACTTCATCTCAATCCAACGCCACTGTCAACCCCGCATCGCTCTCTCCCGAGCTTGCTCCCATCCCTGAAAATGATGAGGAGACGGGTGCTGAGGACAATAAGATGGCCGAGACCAATGCGAACTCGTCCTCCGACCTGACACAACGTCCTGCAGCGATGTTGTGCGACCTGCAGTGTCATCAGTCGGAGGATCCGCAATCATGGCTGGCCTCTCTAACCCCTCTGCATCCGACCTTGGCCTATTATCTGCAGCTTCAGATGCTGTTGGTCACCTCATCAGTGATTCTTTCAGTTTGTCGGCGGCCCTTGACGCAGATCGCTATGTCCTTGAAAGCGGGCTTCTCTCTTCCCCCAACTCCCTCGATTATGAACACGATTATATGGCTGGTGACTCTGCCACCTTCCTCCAAGACCCGTTCGACATCACCGAGTTCCTCCACGACGAGATTAACGGCGGCGTCGCATCAGACACGAACGCAGTCAACGGCTCAGCCGTCGCAGCGGACCCGGACTTCGGCCGCGATCTTACCCACTCTGAGACTCAAGTCTCTTCAGAGAATCCTAACCTGCAGCCCCACTCTGGCGCGTCCGCTTATGGATGCGACGATGGAGGCATTGCGGTTGGTGTCTGAAGGATGCGATCACCGGTTTGGGGGATTGTCGACCGAATCTCCGGCGGGGCGCGACAGCGGCCGAGTACCGCAGACGTGGTTGAACGGCGCAACGTTACCGTCCAAGGAGGTGCTCGTGACGTTATTGTGGGCTCTTAAAGTCGAAGAGCAGAGGATGATCCGCAATGGGTTGCTCTCAAGTAGCAAAATCCCCAAACCGGCGATGGGCATCTCACCACCAGCCAGTTCTTTTGTGTTGAAGGTTGCTTCCAAGAGGAAGCGAGGCGAGGCAGATATGAGCGAATCTGGGAAGCGTTTTCGATTGGCTTGATTTAGGACACTGGATGTGGGAAACTAGTATTCATGGCGTAAAGGTGGTGCCCAGTGAAAATAGAGGTACGACCTGGGTCTGTAACAGTATATCTTGTTTAACGAAAGTCGCACAGCGACCAATGAACATTGATGCCATGGCAATACGCCGAATGTGAATCGTACACTGTTCGCTTTCCATTTAGTTACCTAATGCTTTGTTACTTGGTGTGTTGTTCTGTTATCTGTCCAAGCTACCGACTGTGACAACCTAGCTATCCCTCGACAACAGCGAGTTAGCCAACACAACGCTAGCGATGGTAATTGGTGTGGGTGTAAGTCAGAGTGAAGCTCCGATATTGATTTGTTGATTCTCGCTGCAATTGCAACTATTCCACGTCTTGATTGCCGTCTAAGACTGACCAAAGCGCCTTAACTCCTTCACTATGTCTCATAACATGCGCATTTCAAGTGCGTTGTGCCTTGTATTACCACAAACCATCCATTTCAGCCATGGCTGCCTCCTCGTCAGCAAAGTTGTCTATCGATGCACCCTTCTCAGTATCGTTTTGAGGTAAGGTTGGGGGCCATTTGACCGTTTCCGCCTCGGCCATGAGATTGGCTAGATCGTCATCATCAGGGGTCCCGGTTGCCAATGTCGGCTGCATCCTGTGTTCAACAAGCCTCGGGGGTGATGCACCGTGTATGTCACCTTCGTCTGGTATGTCTCGCGGTGTCCACGGTTGCTGTGCTGTGGCCAATGGTTGCGCTAGTGTTGGTGTTATGTGGTCTGATTCTAGGTTCAACTGTTCCTTCTTATTTTCCTCAATGTCATTCAACCCCCAAGGCGTCGGTTTGCCCTCGTTGATCCATTCCATCCGCTTGTAGGCGATTTGCTTTTTGTGGCCAGCCTTCTCAACCATGGCGAGGCCATCCAGGAATTTAGCTTTTGGGAACAAGTCGTCCAGCCAGAACTGATAGAACGATAATATACGAGCTGCGTCGGAGAACTGTGCGCATAACAGTAAGCATAGAGTTTTCAGATGAAGGAAAAGCCAGGAATCCGCCCACTTCATGCCCTCTACCTTTCAGCTTGAGGTCTGCGGCACGCTTCCGCAGCTTTGGAATACCGTTCTCTGAAAGCAGCCTGGTACATCATATAATCAGCAATGGGGAAAAGAAGAAATCGAAAATCTGGCTCTTATGACGCATTCCACCAACCTCGTTTCGTCTAGTTTCACTCGTGGTACCCTTGCTCGCTTTGCAACCTCGACCTCCTCATCTAGGCCTAGCACCTCGGTCTTCTTCCTCTTGTTTGTGCTGCCATCTCTTGCGTCCGGTGGAGGAGGGGACCGAAAAGGATCATCAAAATCGTCGACAGCGTAGTTATCGAGGTCATCGTATTCATGAACTGTATCTGTGGCCATTTTGCTTTTGTCTCCATTGGTTGTCATCGTTAGGTCACTACGTTTGTTCAGAACTTCCCACCAAAGCGTCACCGGCGTTATACGACGCGGGTTTTCGCGTCGCATTAAAGAGACGCGTTGTGGCGCAGTAGGAATCCGCAATTGCGCGCCACACGGCAGGTGCATGAGGCTTAGCGGTACCTGCCTGAGGCACAAGCTCCAGAAGCTGGGTTCCAATCAGCGTCCATTCATATCCAATTGAACGGCCATCCCAACCTCTAGATGTTGCGAGCTCTCGAGCCATCACTGACGCAATTGGATCGCGAATTGTCGTCCGCTACAATGGCAACCGCACAAGCACACACATATACTCCGACTAAGGTCGTCAAAAGTGACTTCCCTGTATGTATAACGATTATGACTTCCAATTCTGCACAACAAAGGGTATGGCTAACACATGAATCTCTAAAGCTGATTGACAATGATCCGTACGACTAACTCCTGATCTATTCTCTCCATCCGCTCCGAAGATACTCTTTGCTGATTTTGCGAGTCTACAGCCACTTTAAGAGAGTTGTCGGCTATGCCAGGCCTTCCGACTACGCTCATGGAGCAGTAGCGGCTGCTTTTGCCCCGGGAGCTCTCCTCGCCCTCGAAAAGTTCGCTCCCTCCCACGTTGGTAAGGGAGGGTTTGCTCAAGCCATGCGACTGGCTGGCGCCATTGGCCTCGCTGGAGGATTTCTCTATTTTTA